TTGAACCGTCTATCACATATATATACATATATGTCCAAACTGTACTACGTTTCCTGTCACTCATTTTCCTCACCTTTCCAGTGTGTAGTCTCTGTCTATGTAGCAAGTTCTCTCGCTCTGTCAAGTCTCCCTCCCACCTGTTCACATGCTCACTGTGCGTCTGTAACCCCTCCCTCCCCCCTCCTGCTGAGTGTAGATACACAGACGTCGCCACACATCTTGACCAATCACGCGGCTTTAACAGAAAGAAATCCGGATCTGGCTCCCAATCAGGAGCCGGCTCCCGTCGTTCACCTCAAAGAGCCGGCTCTTAGAGCCAGATCGTTCACGACCAACCCATCACTACCTTCCATTGAGTCTGCCATGTTGAACTGCCATGTTCCTACAGTAGCCCAGAATGGACAAACCAAACAGTTGAATGTAGATAGGGCCTTAAGGATTTCATGTGAGTCTCCACTAACTCATTTTACCTGCTGCTTGTATTTTTGATCATATTCCTACACATCACAGCCAGACTGCCAGGAGAGAGCAGCTGGTATACTCTGCTACAGTGAAATGAATTCACTTTGCAGCATCAGAAACCTGATAGATGAGAGTTTAACCTGGCTGAGTGTGTTCATCTGGATGAGTTCTCTGGCAAAAGAGTGTGTTGACGTTTGAATGCAGATGTTGATGTGGCTTGTGATGGTAAAGTAGTTCAATAAGTCTGTGTAAAGAAGAGATTATGTAGAATGTATAATAGTATCATTGCTCTTTGTTGTAGCAGGCTGTTGGTGTTTGTGGTCAGGGCTTCTCTACTAGAAACATGGTAGAATTAGACTCCTTAATCTGACTGATATTAATGGCTCTATGGTAAGAGAGGAAAGGAGAACCTTACTGTGAGTGTAAAAATACAGTTCATCATCAGATTCACCATCACCTTTAAAAAAGATAATGGAATAATTGGAATTGTATCCTCGTTTGACTTTATGCTGCTTTCAAACAGTGACAATACATTTGAGATATATTGTAAATATAATGAGGAGAGTACATATTTAAAAGAGGTAAGACTTAACTATAAACTTACCTTTAACATTTACATATGTTGCAGTGGAAATGACGGTGTGTCTGTGTCAAAGAGCTGAAGGGCAGTCTTCCTGTGGCTAATGATACGCTCAGTGTTTTCACCACAGTGGAAACTGAAAAAAGGGGGAGGGAGGGTGTACAAGACTTGTTGCTTGCCCAAAAGTGAAAGAAAAAACAGCCAGGGCAGAAAACTACCACTCTAGCAGAAACACACAGTCTTGTGGGAACATTAGTGTATGTTTTTATCTATTATCTTGAACCTCTTCTCCTTTGCAGGGTTGTGGGGGGGACTGGAGCCAATCCCAGCTGACATTGGGCGGGAGGTGGGGTAGACAGGTCACCGGTTAATCACAGGGCTGACACATAGACACATCAAACAGGGTCACCATTAAATCTAACCTTTCTGTTGTTGGACTGTGGGGGGAAGCTGGAGCACCCCGAGGAAACCCACACAGACACAGGGCAGAACATTCAGACTCCACACAGAAAGGCCCCAGCCGGCTGACACCACCCTCTCGCTGTGAGGCGACAGTGCTAACCACTGTACCATCGTACCACCTATGTTTTATCCTAAAAATAGGCTTTACAGGCTCCTCCTGCATCAAACCTCATACGTGTTTGTCATTTTGAAGTCAAGTCTGGGTCTTACTGGCAACCCAAGACGTCAGTATTTGACAGCCTGAATGACTGACCCCACCTTTAATGTTAAACCTTTCTATCTTTTAGATATAGAGGGGAGGCATTCTGGCGTCTGACACATCTTTCTAATTGGAATAATGACTCATTTCATCTGAGATCACATGTTGATGTTTGTGCACCGCCACAACATGACAACAGGCACATAAATGACTAAAAACAATACAGGTCTTTACTGAATAAATGAGTGACTTCACTGCCTCCTGCAGTGCTGTCAGCATCACACACTACACTGTTCTGAGGTCAGCAGCAGATCTGCCATTCAGTATCCCCACATTGGTATCCAATGAAGTCTAACATTAAGGCATCATAATGAAATAAGGATTACATAACAGGATATGGCTCTATTTTCAAACAATTTTTCATAGACTAAAAGAACTATCAAAGTTCAGTTCTGAGCGGTTCAAACGATGGATGTGATATTTCCTTAATAAAATCAATAAGTTGAGCTCTCTGGTTGTTTTCACTGTATAATATTACATCATTGCCTTGTAATTTAACTGGATGATAGGTCACTGATCAGTGGGGGAAGCTTTACTCCGTTGCACGTCACATCGCTACGTCAGTGACGTGAGTGCACCATGGCGTTTCGCAGCCACCTGTCCTCGTTCTTTCCTCCTGTCTGAAATTAGTACGTCGAATTATAAAGTTCATGAAGTTGGGAAATAATGGATGGATTTGTTTTCAATTGTCCTCGGACAGAGGAGGAGCTGGACAACAACTTATTTCAACAACAACAACAACAGATTGCGCTGCTTTGGAGACATCAACAGTGAGTTTAAATATATTTTTAATAATCACTTTGAAACCTGTGCTGACTTTGTCGCATTTTGTGTGGCTGAGGCTGTTTTCATTCTCTCTCTCTGCTGTGGTCTGGGTGCTGAGGAAAACGTGCAGTGTTTGCTGGGTGCTGGTCTATGCTGGTCATGTCCTACTGTGTCTAATGTTGGGTGGGTTTATGGCTTGGTGCGCTGCCTGCTGTCTGCCTGCTCGATTCTTTATTCTGGTGGAAAAAGCTGTGATTATTATTCAGCTGTGGAGATCCTATGTCTCTACCATGTGACTTTATAGAGGTTAAACACTGTTGTGTGCCTGCTCTTTGTGTTTCTGGGAACCACTGTACTCTGCTACAGTGAAATGAATTCACTGAGCAGCACTAGAAACCTGATAGATGAGAGTTTAACCTGAAATCATGGCTGAGTGTGTTCATGTGGATGTGCACTGGCAAAAGAGTGTCTTGAAGTTTGAAGGCTGCTGAAGTAGTTCAATAAGTCTGTGTAAAGTAGAGATTATGTACAATGTATAATAGTATCATTGCTCTTTGTGTAGCAGGTTGTTGGTGTTTGTGGTCAGGGCTGAAGTCTTCCTGTGGTGCAGACTTTGTTTTTCACTCATACAGACAATGTTTGTCCCCACAGGGGGCTGCTTTATTCCATTGTTACTGATTTTCTTCACTATTTTTTTCAGTCTGTACACATCCAGAAACTGATAGTATTTAGAAAAAAGCATGTAGGTCAGTTTTAACTGTTTATTTTTGCTGCAAAGCTTTGACTTTAGAGGCCTTGTGACTTTCACAGCAGTTGTACTCAGACCACACTGTGCTGTCTCTTCCTGTGAAATGATATGTATCTCACTCCTCCCTCCCCCCTGACAGACCGTTTGACTCTCCCTATGAGGGCGTTTGACAGTCGTCAGTGTCCTTTGTGTCTCATCAAACGTCAAATATGTCCTCTTTCCTCTCAGATGAAGACTGAAGGCCGACAAAATAAGAAACCTTGACCAAAAAAGTGAAAGAAAGAAATACTATGCCAATGATCAATGAATATACAGTAGATATAGTAGTAATAGAACTTTATTGTCAAACAGTTTTTTGTATCCACCCACACAGAAATACACAACAGCTGATTCATATGATAAAGCATCAGTCGCACTCAGAGTTGCAGTTCCAGTTTGTTCCTGAGTCTATCTGCTGACAGCATAAATAACATGAGTCTCCACTTGTCTCTCTGATGCAGGCCTCCTGTTTCTTATGGTCTGTGGAAGGAACTTCAGCACTGCAGAGTCCAGCTGATCAGAGCCCAGATTCTGTAGATCAGAGGATTTAGAGTCATATATTTATTTCAATTAAAAAGTGAAAAACTTTTTCATAATTTAAGCTGAAGTTGAGCGTATGAGTTAATGGGATCATTTCTACGTGAGGTTAAAGAGGTCTGCTGTGACTGCCTGTCTGAATTTGCTGTTTGATTCCACCTGCAGCAGCTCGGGACAAAGATCATTAACAGACTCATCATGTGTTCAAATGCAACTTTAAAACCATAACACACAGTTTGTGTAAGTTAATGGTGGGTTCACCTTGTTTCTTTCTGGCTGCGCTTCTTCCTTCACAGCTAAATGACAAAAGACAAAAGTCTGATTAGTTCATTATTACTGATCACATACTTTACTTTGGATTTGTCCGTCATGTTGACACAACTCACTAGATGATGTGCAACAAATTATAAATGTACTGTACCTGTCTGAAGTTTCCTGATTTTAACAGCCAGAACAATGATGACTATAGTGAGGACAGCAGTCAGACCACCCAGGATCACACTCATTGCTATTGGATCACTCGGACATGATAGACTGATATCTAAAACGGTAGAATTAACACTCTTTAATCTGTTGATTGTTGTTGATTGAAATGAATGGCTCCATGGTAACAGAAAATAATCTTAACAGAGGAAAGGATAACCTTACCTTCAGTGACACATTCCACTTGATCTTCATATTCATCATCACCTTTAAAAAAAGATGATAAAATAATTTCAAAACGTTTTAGTTTCTTGTTTGTCTTCCTGCAGTTTTCATACTGTGACGATACATTTGAGATATAATGTAAATATGATGAGATAAAGAGATCTTTATAAAAGGTAAGGCTTAACTACAAACTTACCTTTAACATTTAAATGTGTTGCAGTAGAAATGACTGTATGTGTGCCTATGTATAATCCACAGAAATACATTCCAGAGTCAGATACATCCACTCCTTTGATTTGAAGAAAAACAGTGGAGACGTTGGAGCTCATTTTAAATTTTCCATTTTGAAATCCATCACAGAATGAAGCGTCTTTATCAGATCCGTACATAGAGGAGATACAGCTGGGTTTGGCTCTGTTGGTCACTCTGAACCAGTCTACCTGAGTTGGACTTGTGGAAATGTCAGAGCACAGCAGTGTGACATCTTCACCAGGCTGAACCTCCACAGTCTGAGACTCAGAACCTGAGACAGAGATCCAGCCTGAAACACACAGAAGAGACAAGATGAGATAGATCCATGAGAGTATAATGCAACAGTTACTGTAATAAGGCTACAAAATCATCCCTCCACTAATATGCAGTACAAGTTTAAATTACTGGTTACATTATTTGGTGCTGAAAGTAATAAAGTGTTGGCACTTACTGAGGCTGCAGAGAAGTAAAGCTGTTATCAGGTTGAATGTCCTCATTGTGCATTGAGAGGTTTTACCACTTAGCACCTATAAGGGGTTTAGAGAGGCGGAGTGTCTTTTGTTCTTCCGCTCACACTGACCTGCCAATGCAGTGCATTTTAGCTGCATCCAGTCTTGTGCATTACAATGTTTTCTTTTGGAACACACTGATTTTACTTTACAGGCTGCACATTTGACACAAAAGCTTTCAGCTGAACGTTGTTGTTAACTTTGTGTTGGAAGTTTTGCGTTTTCTGTTTCATGTCCTTTGTGAAGCTTCCAGCTTCCTGTGGAGGTGGGTGAATGAAAGGGTAAAATTCTTCTCTTTTTTTAACTCTGCAGTGTCACTTATGCAACATACTACTCACTTAATTCTGTTGGTAGCCATAGATAGTAAGTATTGACTTTTCATACTGTTTATTTTAGTCTTCAGCAGCTGTTTGTGTGATATCCTCACTTATTCTGTGAACCAGCAATATTTTAGATTGAGATATGATTATCTGTGATTTGTGGTGCTGATGTACCTTCATACAATTTTGAGTTGATAACTGGTTAATACATATAAAACATTGCTGCTGATGGTAGACATATTTCATAGTATAGCCTTACAATTTGATTTGCCAATAAAAGAACCTTCCTGTGCCATTTTCCTTTGGTTTCAGAACAATTGAGTTTCACCACTCACTCAGTAATTGCGGTGGGTGAGATCACCATGGTAAACGTGGTGCCACCATTGACTCATGTATGAAAAAGAATAATTGTTTATTTGATTGTTAATGACATAGAATTCACATACAATTACACATGAATGTTTTGATGAAAACGATCAATAAACACAAAAAGTATGAAACAATCCTGATCCTAAAAACTTTTAAATATACTGGAAAGTTTCAAATGATTCATCCATATGTACTAGAAATAACCTTTAATTTCAGATACATGGCAAACAAAGTATGTATGTATATGCTGTAGGCCATAGAGAAGCTTTAAAAGCAGTTTTAGTTCAAACTTCAGTCTGAATCTACAACAACTCAAAAAGAGCCCTAAAATAATCCTGTTTTACTCATAATTCCAATGGAATATGTCTTGTCATTTATTTGAACTGTAGTACACACACTCACTCCAGATTTGATCCCTGTGTTTTCTTGATCTCTTCGTCAGTTTGACACTTAAAGCAGCATAATGTAGGTAACTCTGGTAACAAAATATAAATGACATAACATAACATAATTATTGTGTTCTTAAGTAAAAACTATGTCTAGTTAATAATGTATTGTGCAGTAAATATGTGTCTGATTGGTAATTCAACAGCTAATTCAATGTCAGCAGTTTTGTATTTACCTCTGCAATTGCTGTGGAGGGAGCCTGACATCTTGCTGGAGTCTCTGGTTGTGGAAAAAAAAGCCATGTTAGGTGCTCTTTACCACCCTACCCTGTTCACCTACTGTGTACCCTTGGTGTGGGGATAACTGTTTTGAAGCCCAGAGTTTGGCCCTATGGCTGTTGCCCTGTCGTTTTTTTGGAGCCAGAAGTGACCATCTTTGGAGCATGGGGCTGGTGGGTTGGAGTTTTAGGCAAGGGTTAGGGTTAGTAACAGTATCTTGGTTCATGTTTGGTCAGCACTACTAGTTTGACTGTTTGATCTTGGTTTTGTGACTTGTCAATCACAAGGTAGCCACACCCTAAGCATACCCTGCTTTATTGTCCATTTTACTCTAAATGGGACCATCATTTACTAAATTAACTTCATGCTGTATGGATGAAGACTTGAAACTAGCAACTGATACCATAAACTCAAGGATTTACTGAGCTAATAAATCAAGTGAGAAGTGGGGTCGTTTTGCCATTACAGTCAATACAACCTTTTTTTTTGCAGCCAGTGCAGTTTCCCCGCAGGTCATTATTAAGAATGTGGGTCAAAGGCACTTTCATAGTAATCATAGTAACTCAGTCTCACTCCTGCCTGTGTACCCATGGCCCATTTGTTAAGTTTTCTCTTAAGGCTTTCAGGAATCCACTGTTCCCCCAAAAAACTTCCACCTGTGGGTAAGTTTCGGGTCGGTAATTTAGAAAACTATTCTACTATTTTGAGAGTAACCTTGAGTTCTTTCTGAAAAATAGAATTTTAAATGTTTTCTTAAAATGCTTTCTAGCACCACAAATCAGCATGGCTAGATACCACTGAGGTTGAGTTAGAATATATGGTTTTGAAGTTTGGTTCAATCAACCTTTCCTCTTATCCTCATCAAAAGAGCCAGACAAACTTCTTCTTTGGTAAATATTATCTCACTGTACCTCCAGAATGAAGATATGTTCTCCTGGACATTTTGCAGAGGATACTGATTAAGACGATGTTCACGGTAACAGACACAAGCAGAGCTGCAGCCACATAAAGCACCAGTACAGAGGAAGTGTCCTCATGTTTCTCTGTGAAAACATATAAAGCAATATAGACTGAGCGAATGAAGAAAAGAGACGTGGCTTCAATTTACATAGAATACATATGTTGCTCACCTCCAACATCAGCATGGACCGTGCAGTTCGGAGTTACAGAGCCTCCTGGCTTCATGGTGTCGAACACTGGCTGCAGGGGGAAAGAGCTGCGACCAGACTCTGAAAAACAGAAATGTTACAAAGAGTAATGGAAAATCAAAAAAGTGATAAAGATGGTTTTCAAATTGTTAACTGGCCAAAATACCTACGTTTTAAATCCAAAAATATTGCATTCTCAAATTCCGGGACAACAATGATGATTTTTCCGCAGTAGTACATCGCTGAATCCGAGTCCTGCACATTAGAAATGTTCAGATGGTAGAACCCTTCTCCAGCATGAACTGAAAACCGTTTGTCATGTTTAAACTGGTTGTGGAAGCTGTTGCTGTCAGGTGAATGTTTGTAGACAGAGGATATTATATGAGGTTGCTCCCCTGCAACCTGCTTGTACCAGCACAGATATTTAACACTGGCACCGTAGAAACACGGTAAAGTCACACTGTGTCCGGGGTTAGTGTAGAGCACAGCGCCATCTGAAACAAACAAAGAGATAAGTTAATGACCACTGAATGCAAATTGAACTTTACACATTACCCATCATTTATTTTTATTATGAAAAATGTTCTGTGCAGTCCTTTACCTGCTCCAAAAAGAAGAACCAAGAGCACATAAAACTTGAACATCCTTCGCTCCGTAGTGATCTTGCAGTATGATGGCGGTTTCAGTAAAGGGGTCAAAGACAATGAGTACACTTTCAGTGGAAAATAGTCTGTATGTAACACAGGTGGTGCAGATTTGTGGGTGTCAGTGCTCTCACAGAAGGAAGTGAGAAGTTCTGAAGTTAATGTTACACATCTTTCTGATTTTGCATTAAGGTTGAAACATTTCCTGCAGTCCAAACCAAAGTTGTTAGAATGAACTAAAACTAAACAAAAAACTTAAACAAGCTGTGAAAAAGACATTTTAGTTAAACTGGAACTATTATGCTTTTCCTCAGTTTCTCCCATAAATATTATGTTACAGTGTTGGAAGTTGACATTAAGTCAGGACCAAATGTGAGCCTATCATGACGTTGCCCATTGAATTGTGGAGTAATGTTTGGAAGTCTGGCGTTTGGACTTATGGTCATCGCCATGACAGTTTGTAGCGCCAGTGGAGGTGACGTACTGCGAGTTTAACTGCTTTGGGGATTCACAGAGTTTACTAATGCATATAATTACTTTATTTGAAGCTATTAGCTAACCACTAACTCCTTATGGACTGAAAACGTGAGGCACCGGCGCACCCGGCGGTCCGTAGCTCCTGTACTAGAGATATAACATTAAACACAGACACTCTCCCCACTGCTCTGAGCATGCATAAGTTAGCAGCACACCCACTGTTTCAGACAGGATGAACTTAGGCGCTGCATGAAGGGATACACATTTTGAAGAGTGAATCATGCAAAGCTACTCTAGTGGAGTCTCAAACTAAGACTATAGAGCTGGAAATGAGCATAATAGGTCCCATTTGACTGAAATAAAAATAAAAGCTAGGCTAACACAACACAAACTCAGTGAAACAATATTGGAGAGTAAAATAGAGACTGATGTAGAATGGTATCATATTCAGTCAAAAGCAGGTAGGTCAGTTGTCACTGCTTTTGCTGCAAAGCTTTGACTTCAAAGGCCTTGTGACTTTAACGGCAGTTGTGCTCAGACCACACTGTGCTGTCTGTCTCTTCCTGTGAAGTGATGTGTATCTCACTCATCCCTCCCCCCTGAAAGACCATTTGACTCTCCCTACGACTCTTTTGTGTCTCATCAAACATCAAATATGTCCTTGTTCCTCTCAGATGAAGATTAAGAGAGACACAAGCAAGAAAATACAAACTGACCATGAATGTAGGAACTGTTATTTTAAAATGTTTGTCATGGAGCCCTTCTGCCACCCACTACTCACGTGAGTTGTGGCCGTCAGCAGATTAATATGATAAAGCACCAGCATCATTAAACTGACAGTTGCCTTTTCAGTTGCTTCCTGGGTCTATCTGCTGGTCTATCTCTACCTGTCTCTCTGACGCAGGCCTCCTGTTTCTGATCGATTGGAAGGAACTGCAGAGAGTGCAGCAGAGTTCAGCTTATCAGAGCCCAGATTCCTGGATCCTGTGTCACAGTGCTGCACTTTATACCCGCTGGCTGCTAGTTGAGTTTTGTCAAAAGAAGTACATTTTCACTGCTCCCTCTTTTACTTTCCATCGAGCTTCGGCTTCAGAGGCCTCGTGATTTTCACCTCAGTTGTTCTCAGACCACACTGTGCTGTCGCTTCCTGTCAAATAATTGATGTGTACCTCACTAACTCCTCCCTCCTGACAGGACACATAAGCAAGACAGACACTTTTACCGAGAGAGAGACAGACAAGCGAGAAAATACAGAATCAAAGTTTATTTTTGGACTCCTTCCACCCACTACTCACACACAAAAACACAACAGCAGATTAATGTGATAAAGCATCAGTTCCACTCAGAGCTACAGTCCCAGTTGAGTCTATCTGGTGGCAGCATACACAACATGTGGCTCCAGCTCTCTCTCTGGTGCAGGTCTGTGGTTTCTTTTTGGTTTCGCCTGGAAACGTAGAGCTGCGTAGTTCAGGTCATCTGAGTCCAGATTCTGTAAATCAGAGTATTTAGAGTCACATACTCACAAACACTGTATCTGAGTTTGCTCATTGGTGGATTCGAGTGTTGTAACAAATGGTTTTTAAAAGAATCACAGCTGTTTGGCACAATTGAAACTAAACTCTGTTTGATTTTTATCCGAAATGGAGTAAGGAAGTCAATTGGTTGATCTAATAGAACATTTTCATGGTTTCAGAGGGAAAAAACAAAAAACATGTTGGAAAGATGGAAGAAGTATGGCTACAGCTAGCATTTGCTGACATTTGGAGTAAGGCAAATAATAACAAAAATAGAAATTTTACAAAAACATTAATAAATCTCTACTGTCGGTAAACAGTTTGTAAATGGCAGCTGAAATTAGAGATACAAGTATGAATTAATGTTCTTAATGGTGGGTTCACCTTGTTTCTTTCTGGCTGTGCTTCTTCCTTCACAGCTAAATGACAAAAGACAAAAGTCTGATTAGTTCATTATTACTGATCACATACTTTACTTTGGATTTGTCCATCATGTTGACACAGCTCACTAGATGATGTGCAACAAATTATAAATGTACTGTACCTGTCTGAAGTTTCCTGATTTTAACAGCCAGAACAATGATGACTATAGTGAGGACAGCAGTCAGACCACCCAGGATCACACTCATTAGGGTTGTCATTCCATCAGGCTCCTCTACTGGAAACATGGTACATAAGACTATTTTAATCAAAATGAATGGCTCTATGGTAACTTGCACAATTAAAATAATCTTAAGAAAGAAAAGGAGAACCTTACTTTGAGTGTTACAATCCACCTGATCATCTGATTCACCATCAACTTTAAAAAAAGATGATAAAATATTTTCAAAACGGTTTGGTTTCTTGTGTCTTCCTGTTGTTTTCATACTACTGTGACGATGCATTTGAGATATGCTGTAAATATGAGGAGATAAAGAGATCTCTATTAAATATATGTCTTTACTGCAAACTTACCTTTAACATTTAAATGTGTTGCAGTGGAAATTACTGTATGTTTGCCTTTGTAAAATCCACAGAAATACAGTCCAGAGTCAGATAAATCCACTCGCTTGATTTGAAGTAAAACAGTGGAGACGTTGGAGCTCATTTTAAATTTTCCAGTTGAAAAGCCATCACAGTAAAAAACGTTGCCATCAGATCCGTACATAGAGGAGATACAGCTGGGTTTGGTTCTGTTGGTCACTCTGAACCAGTCTGTCTGAGTTGGACTTGTGGAAATGTCAGAGCACAGCAGTGTGACATCTTCACCAGGCTGAACCTCCACAGTCTGAGACTCAGAACCTGAGACAGAGATCCAGCCTGAAACACACAGCACTCGAGCTGATTATGCAACAACAATACCTATAAATTAATTCAACAAAAAACTTTGGATTACATTAATGGATTACTGGATAAAGAGAGATTAGAATTGTATTTGCTGCTCAGAATAATTCAATAGCAGTACTTACTGAGGCTGCAGAGAAGTAAAGCTGTTATTAAGGGGAAGCTCTTCATTGTGCGTATAACCGTGTCACAGCAAGAGTACTTTATATCACTGTAAAGGGGCGGGGAATTGAATAGGCCATGTAAAGAAGCTCACATCTTTTACCACGGAACATTTGAGACAAAATTGTGCCTCAAAGAATTTCAGATGGCATGAACTAACAATTCTTCTGCCACTTTTACAATTCTATACAACCATCATGGAATACATCCTCACCTCATCTGTAGCAGTCTGATACAGCACAATCACATGCAAGCTTGTTATTCATCTGTATTCAAGTATGCAGTAAAATGACATGTTGTTCCAGTCTGAAGCCAAGGTGCACAGACAGCAAACACAATAATAAATCAGTTACCAAACCAGCAAGTCCCTGTGTAATAAAAAAAAAAAAATTATAAATGCACATCATAAATACTTTATTAGTGAATGATGATCATTGAAATAAAAAATAATATAGTAGCTAATAACTAAAAGGATCATGGTTACAAATAGTGCGTCCGTGGAAAGGGGATTGTGTTGGGGGACTATGTAAGACTGTAGATTATGTACACCACAAAAACCTTCATGCCCCTCACTCTCTGCACACTGGTGTCATTGATTTGTTTGTTGTATCATTGTTGTTGATACAGTCTGCCTCTACTGTGACATTAACAAACCTATCGACTGAAGCTGGATTTTGTTTATGTGTAAACAGTCTGAATAGCACTGGGCTGAGCATGTAGCCCTGAGGAGCACCAGTGGGCAGCCTGATGGAGTTAGAGATACATTTCCACACTCTCTCTGTGTTGTGTCAGTTCTTCCAGTGACAGAGGGAGGTGTCGACAGACCAAACACTGTCACTGTAAGCACTATAAGTACCCACAGCTCTTTTTATCAGACTCAGAGGAGGTATTGTACACATGCACACAGTAGATTCTCCAAGATTATCATCTCTGTCTCTAATCAGCTTAATCTCTGTACTGTGCAGTACAACCAAAAGTGCATACTGAAGGGCATACTAAAATCACATCTGTCTTCTGATCACCACATCTTGTCGCCTCCAGGAGGCATTACAGATCTCTGTCTACCAAAATATCCAACTCTAAAAATGGGCGTAACGTGCAATAAACCAATCAGAGCGTCATCTCACATTCCCTTTAAAAGCAGGCGCGCTTCTTCCATGGCGGATTGCTATTATAATGGCGGATTTGCCAGGCGCACGCCAGGAGCGGTTTACAGCCGAGGAGACCGACGTTCTCGTCAGGGTTGTAAAATACCGAGAAGTGACATTATTGACATGAAATAAATGTAACACAGCCATACAATAAATCAAAACAATGTAACGCAGCTTCACAGGAAGAAGACCCTGGCCTCGGGAGCAGTGTGCACGGGCCGTGCAGTGCTCAAGGGCCAGCTGAGGAGGGAGCAGCGCCAACACCAAGGTGCAGAGGATCCAGACCCGCTACACGCCGGAGGACCCCCGTTCCTGCAGCAAACCGGGTTTGACATGCTGGAGTGGGAGCTGTCCGGGATGCGGCAAAGTATTAATGCCACACGCCTCCTCTTTTCGCTGAACCGCCCCGTGGGGCGCAAGTTCATTCCCTAATTTAAGTACGTGCATTGGTGGAGGGAAAATTCCAATGTGCGTCGAGTGCAAAATAGGAATTAGCGCCAGTGTACAGTACAAGTCAATTGCGCTGAGTGCAAGATAGAAGACTGTTTTCACGTTCATGAGCTGAAGGTGGATAGTGTTTATTTGTAACCTTAAAGCAAGATGTTGTCAACAGTCTGAAAACCAGTCATGGTCAAGTATCACGTGTGAGGTGGAACTTGACGCCTCTGGGGCACAAACATTGAAACTTTACTTTGAAGCAAGAGACATCTTGTGTGCAACAGTTAAGCTTTAAAAATATTTGGATATTCAATTCAATTTCAATTCAATTCTATTTATTATTTTTTATATTCAGAGATTCTGTTTCTTTTAATGAGAGGTAGAAGTGCAGTTTCGTTATTTTTTTAACTATGGGTGAATTCACTTTTTCGTGGAAAAGAAATATATTTTTATTTTTCAAAGCAAAGAATTTTAGGATATATGTCATAAAACACGTCTGGAGCAGATATAAACCAAAGTGTAAAGGAAAAAACAATTCATATTTCAAAATATTTCGAAGACATATAAACAAGTATATGAAGTCCATAAAATAAGTAAAGCCTTATATTTCACATAAACAGTTTTGAGTATACCTTATAGTGGTAGTTATAGACCAAACATGAGCTCTCAAGTGTGTGTTCTGTCCAGTGTTTATGGTTTTACCATTCCCTAAGGAAAGTGAACAGTTTATAAAAAGTTCATAATGGAGCTGTTTGATACCACAGGACATAACAGAAAGTTTAAGTTCTTTGTTGCTATATTGTTAAAACAAATAGTGTAAGTGTCTGACCCAACAGTTTGTCAAAGTAGAGTCACTTTCATTTAACTGTGTTACTTTTATGTTCATTCACCTTTAACTGAGGTCATAACGGATGTTTACAGTGGAACACAGTCCGACCCTCTTTGCAACCAATCACATGTAACCTCATTTTAAAGCTAACGTCTGCTCTTTCACTCAAACCTTTCAGTTCTTAGGACCACTGAGACGATGCCCCTGTACACGATCCTCTGTGGAGTATGTAAGTGTCTTGATATGAAATATATTCAGGTCTGTGATTCTAAGTAAGGCTAAAAATGTAATGTCTGTATAGTTTGTATAACATTATATCTTTTTGATCCAGTTCATCTGTCAGTGGTGATCCAGTCGGCAGCAGTCCAACAGGACACTGGAGTTATATTCGCCAGTGTTGGGGACAATGTGACTCTACATTGTTCGTATGACAGCCAAGTAGCGATGCACTTTTCCTGGTACCAACAAACCTTAGGAGGTGGACCTGAGCTCCTGTCCTCTGTTTATAAGCACAATCTGCCATCCAAAGTCTTTCCCTGGATGGAGAAGAACCCTCGCATCTCTTTGGAAAGAAAGAAAGGGATAAATCATTTACACATCTCCGATGTCCACTTATCAGATTCAGCTACATATTTCTGTGGAAGCTCACACTCCAACATCATGGAATTTGGAAAGGGGGTCTTTCTAAGTGTCAAAGGTATTGTGCTTTTATTTTTCATTGGCTTTAAAGATTTGCATTCCATTCATTTGCTTTGCGTGTAAAATTAAACTTATAGTGTTGAAATATACACACCAGAGATTATATAACACTGGATGGTTCGGGGCATATGAGCTCTCCAATCAACACCCGTCAATGTAAAATATACTGTTCTTAAGGCTTATCATCTTCCGTTTTTTTTTAAGTTATTTTTTTTGGCCTTTTTATTGCCTTTATTTGATAGGGACAGCCGAAGATAGACAGGAAAGGGGGGCAGAGAGAGGGGATGACACGCAGCAAATGGCTGCAGGTCTGATTTGAACCCTGGGCCGCTGCAGCAAGGACTCGGCCTCAGTACATGAGTCGCCAGCTCTACCCACTGAGCTAACCGGGCACCCGATACTACTGATATCAAAGACATATTAAAAGAATAAAAACAAAATAAAAGGACCTAAATATACTTAATGTCTCCAACCTAAATATACTTAATGTCTCAAAAGTCAAAAACAGATTCTCTGACTGTTTACTTTGTGGATTTGTGAATTGTAGGAGCCAAACTCAAGGAAATAGTCCAGTGGCCGGTATCTGAGACCATCCAGCCAGGAGGGTCTGTGACCTTCAACTGTACAGTACACACTGGGAGCTGTGGTGAAGAACACGGTGTTTACTGGTTCAAACATGGGTCTCGACAAGGAATCCTTCACCCGCTCGGGGATGGGTGGAAACACGTCTCTGCACCAGGGTCCCCCTCACAGAGCTGTGTCTACCATTTGCAGAAGATGAACCTGAGCTCGTCTGATGCCGGAACCTACTACTGTGCTGTGGCTTCCTGCGGGGAGATACTGTTCGGGGATGGAAGCAAGCTGCTCGTCCAAGGTGCTGCTGAAGACCAGATGAGAATCTTGGTCTGGCTCTCTATCATTAGAACTGGGGTTCTCTTGTTGTTTGTAACCACTTGTCACTTGTTTTACATCAACAAGAGCAGGTGAAGTCCTCAATGCAGAGTTTGGCTCTCTGAGATCAAAATGTTCGTTTAGCTCAGAGTCTCTGTTACAGTTAAATGACATGTTATCACAGAAAAGTTATCACAAATTACACAAGATGAACACCAATGTTAGATACACATTATTTAGTTGTTTGACTGTATTACACTTTCATTAATAAAAAAACATTTGACAAAGCTGTTGTTCCTCATACAGTCATTATGTGGAGGATGAATAATTATGTAGAGATATAATTAAAGCATAAAATACATTTATGAACAATAACCACAGACCAATAATCAAACAGTAAGAATCATTTGAATCTATTGTCTTATCAGCCCATAAACTTTGATCAGGTTTTGCTAACCACAGCAGCGCTACATAACATCTATGATTTTTTGCTCACAAGCTGTGTGCGGTTAAACACAGTGAAACACACTGTGTTGTGGGACATCAGTCAACTTCTGCTTCTAAACATATAGTTTGATCATAGAAAAAGGCTTCTGTGGTCCACTGAGAGTCGTATGGGTTCTTTGCAACAAAATGAGAACATCCTGCTTGAAAACACCAACATGCAAACACAAACAGCACAAAGGGAGTTTTAAATATGCATATGACCAAACCCTACCGATATATCGACACTTTTACTGACAACCACAAGGTTGCTATAAAGAAATTGGTACACTGAGAATCAAAGGTGTGGCCTGTGTTCTGTGATGAAGCTCAGTGCAACATGTGCGTCATGGAAGAAAAGTGACCTAATTCCACTGAAACACTTGATTGTTGTGCTGTGATTGTCACAGGATGTGGCAGCAGCCCCCACAGTTTTTCGGTAGGCTTTTATTGAACTGCCGGTAATTAAAAATATATATATTAACCACAGTAAATGTTGTGTCACTTGCGTTTAAGCGGGTTGTTAGTCTGACATTCTATCTGCTCTCTCTCCCTCTCCCTTCTTATCTCACGTGTTCCATGTGTAAATTACTGAACTGATGCATACTTGTCAATGTAGCTTTTTTAAATTTTATTTACACTAATAAGATGTAACAACCCGTACTTTGTATCAAATTAGATAAAACAAACCTTATGTAATGCCGTATTAGATCCAAACTATACCATACTTAGACACTATTATAACAAGTTATACTGTAGTTAATAACCACATAGGAGATCATGATACATAATTATACACCATTTTACAAGATCATAGTCTAATTAGAAATCAAATCTAATGCTACTACCCTTACTACCAGACATGTGATGCTACCAGTCTGGGCCTGTGGTAATTTAATTAGACAACACAGGCTGCAATCATGCTGTATTATATCAGGCATACCCTTTATAACAGTGAGATGTCTGTCTGCTCACCCACACCCGCACCCGTGACCACATTACCCCTCTCCTCCAGAACCTCCACTGGCTCCCGGTCCCACAACAAATTCAATTCAAAATCCTCCTTCTCACACACAAAGCCCTCCATAACCAGGCCCCTTCCTACCTCACTGACCTGCTCCACCGCCACAACCCATCCCGTAGCCTCCGCTCATCCGATGCAAACCTCCTGACTCCACCACCCAGGACCAAGCACCGAACCTGGGTTGACAGAGCCTTCTCTGTAGCTGCCCCCTCCCTCTGGAACTCTCTTCCCAAATAAATCTGTGACTGCACCGACCTTCCAGCGTTCAAATCTCTGACAAAAACTCACCTTTTTAAAATTGCTTTTAAAGTTTAGCTTAGTCTGATGTGTTTTTAGTATTTTTACTATTTGAGGTTGTTTTTGCTGCTTTTGTGTTGTTTTTTATGTAAAGTGTCTTCGAGTATTCAGAAAAGCGCTTACAAATAAAATGTATTATTATTATTATTATAGTGAGAAAACTGGTTGCTACTTCACACATCCCTCGTAGCCTGGATGTTATCCTGGAGTCTGGAGCTAGTAATGCCCTGGACGCTCTACTCTCATACCAGTTAAGACATCAGACCAGTTGATTAATGCCACCACTATCCAACCTCCATAAGAGGCAATGGAAGCTGCCAGGGCATTGCATATTCATTAGATCCTTATTTGACATTTATAGAGGGTAATTTGCAACACATTACAACCAAACTGTACTGTATACTGAAGTGAAAACATCTTTATTTCCTGCCTTTATTAGACAATCTTTGTGGATAATTTGCTGAAGATAATGTGATATCTTCTTTTGTGAAGTCTGAAGTCTAATAAGGTTAATAAAGTTTACGGTGCAATTCTATGTAATGTGTTGCAAATTACCCTTTAAGTCTAATAAGGATGATGCAACACCCTGTTCTAAAATGGCATTGTATGTGGTTTCTAATTACAGCACAGTGTATGCTGTTCAATTAGTGTATAACTGTGTTTCTTTACTGTCTAACAAGGAACATATTTCTAGTCTTGTGTGTTTTTGATATAAAGTATGCCTGGTTATGTCATATTAGTGTATTAGTTAAAATAAAATACGTTGGGGGCACACACACATGAACGCATGCAGTCATGTACACAGGTACGCACTCAACAAGACAACTGTCTTTTGACTGCTAACCACATGGAAACTGTGAAAAGATGCTCACACCTGTGGCCTGTGTTTAATGTCTTTACATACGAGAGCTTCTGCAAGCTGCAGCTATTTCTGTGTGAATGACACTTGTTATAGTTGCAGTGTTCAGAAACCACTGAGGAAGTGTTTTGCTACCTACTGGCACAGAGGCGTGGAAATCATTACACTTTCATGTATTGTCTTTGTAAAAGCTTGTTTAATTAGTTTATTGGAAAGCAGTGCTTTATTTTACAGCCATCATATTTAGCTGAAATCATGTTCACAAAAGCCATATTACACTTTAAAATGAATCAGTATGAATCATGTTGTGTCACATAGAGACAAGGAGGAAACATGTCCGACTACTTAACAGTGAAGTACACACATTCACTCCAGGTGTCGTCTCTCTGTCCTCCTCGTCTGTTGACCTTGTCCTCTTTGTCTGCACCTTGGTAACCCTGGAAATGACACAGAGAAAAACACGAAATTGTCCATAACAGAAATAAAACCACAAACATTTTACTGCTTAAAAATGTTTGAATGGTAACACATTTTAACATCTAAACAGAAAATACCTCTACATTGGTTAAGAAGGGAGCTGAAAATCTTCCTCGAGACTCTGAAAGGCAAAATGAAAGCTTTACAATGTCATATTCACTTAATATACAATATATATGTTAACAGCACCAGTTACCTGTACAATGGCAGCTGTTTCTGTTGTTCATCATGCACATTGAGAAAGCCAGAAAAACAGTCAGGATGGTGGTGAATGCCGAAGTACCACTCAAGAAATACACCAAGACAGGAGAGTTCACCTCATCTGTAGAGATAGTTGTCGTAAACAGAGCTTTCAGTGTGTTCTCTGTATTTTGATTGGGCACTTATAATGTATTTTTAAGATGAAATAACCTCTACTAGGAAGTCACTTACCTTCAAAGTCCAGCTTGGTCCCATTTCCAAACAGTATGTGTCCACATGAGACAACAGCACAGTAGTAGGTCCCAACATGAGAAAGATCCAGGCTCTGCATTGGCAAGTTGTAGACACAGGTGTGTGTTTGGTTGTTGGGTTTCCTCTCACACTGATCATTACTGCCTCCATGGGTGTAAATGAGTCCTGGATGAGATTCTTCAGAGGTTTTGAACCAGTAAACACTGTGTTCTCCATCACAGGTCCCAGTGTGTACTGTACAGTTCAGAGTCACAGAGCCTCCTGGCTGGATGCTCTCAGATGCTGACTGATGGACCGAAGCTGGGATGTTCAGACCTGAACCCTTTATGCTGACAAAAATTCCTGCTGCAAATTCAACAGTTAATAACTTCCTTCCTGCACAGTAGTAAGTAGCTGAGTCTGAAGGGTGGAGATCTGTTATCGTCAAGTGATTTTGACCAGTGATGTCAGTATCCAGTGTGAAGCGTGGATTGTTCTTGTATTCATCATGAAAAGTTCCATTTTTATTGAACACATATAGGGTAGAGATGAGTCTTGGCTGCTGTCCCAGACTTTGCTTGTACCAGAAAATCCTTGTTGAATCATCATGTTCATAGAAACACCGTAAAGTCAAGCTTTGACCAACACTAGCCGATACTAAGCCACTCTCTTGGCGCACGGACGACGACAATTTCACTTCAGTTGTCTGAGCTAATGTGGAATGAGAGAAAAAGCAAATTCATTCTTCCTCAGTACAAATAAACATATGTGAAACCTTTGTATGAGCAGTGACCAAATTCTATTTGAGTTGGAACCACAAAAAACACAACTTACCCATTCTCCCTAAGAGCAGACATGTGAGATAGCATGCAAACACTGGAGATGTCATCATGTTCAAAGTTCCGTGTTGAATGAAACACATCAAAAGGCTCTCTCCACTTTTCACAGACCAGACTGTGTTTGATTGGCCAGCCTGAAGTGACACTGTAGGTCCTGTATAGGAAACATGATCACATGCTCACTGCTACCTGTGGTGTCAAGGTTTGTTCTTCTGAAACTCTGCAGTGAGTAAATGAAGAACATAATAGCTTCTCAGCAGTAACCAGTAAAATAAAGTTTATTTAAAACGTATATAGCCTTTATTTCCTGGTTAAAAAGCTTAGTTGTAACTGGTTCTGTGCAGAGTCAGGTGCTGTACAATGCGTAAACTGCTTGTGACAAAATCGCCATTCCGAGTTACTCCAAAACCACAAAAGGTTATTCCTTACATTTCTGTTTGTGCACAGATTGAACAAACAGGATAAGATGTACTAGCTTTAGAGGTGATGGTGTATTATTGAATATGCCAGACAGCCCCCTCCCCTTTCTCCAGTCTTTACGCTAAGCTAGGGCTAAATAATGATAAAGACCAAATACACATCTCAGGTTCAAATTGAAGATTTTGTAAAATGCTTCAAAAACAGAAAAGATAAATATTAATTTTTTTTTTGAACATCACAATGTCACCAAGTTTTCCTCACAACTGGAAATCATTATCAGATCCAGCAGCAATGTATGAATAGGATTCAGGTTTTTTTTGGCAGACTAACTAAATACCAGTAGCAGAGGGGCACCCACCTCTCAGAAATAAGTTCAGTCAGCCAACTCACGTTTGGAATGTTTATTAAGCAGTATAGCATATTTAGATTTTGGCGTCTAGGCTCCGACCTCATCACTCCCCGCAGATATGTTTACATAGAGATATTGGGGAGTGATGAGCAAATACCTTAACCCCCAGTCGGAGCCTACAGGTGGATGTTGGGTGGTGGTGGGGTTTACAGCGCAGCAGGCAGCAATAGCTTACAGAGTAGCAGCAGCAGCAATACAGATGCAGGGCAACAGCAGCATTGACAGAGCAGAGGGAGAGCTGGGAAATTGTGCAGTTTCAATAGATCGCCAGATTGGAAGGGAGCGCTTGGTTAGTGATTATGGAATAAGGCATGTTATGTGTGTATATCAGCATTGTACAGGGTACTTTGCATAGGGTCAAAACCTTTCTGTCGGCACTGGACTGCATGAGGTTTTTAAAACTTCACATAATAACTTAGAGAGCAAACCAAACAGATGATGAGTTTTCTCTCTGCCTTCCAGCACAGTATTGTTCAGCAGTGTGGTTACTTATGCATGCATAGCCTGGTCAGGGCTGCACTGATGAGTTTGGCTCAGCTTAGCAGAAGTAAAAGCCATCTTCTAGTGATACTCTTATGGTAATTTATATTTTAATTAGTTTCTATTAAAACCGGCTGTTAAATCAGAGAAGTCTTTTGCTGACAACAACACAGAGCCAAAATGTATTAAAAATATAAAATATAAAATGAATACAGCTTTTGTCCAGTACAGTCAGCTAAATTTTTAGTTGCACCTCCAGTATAAATGAGGATGATGAAGGATAAATGCTCACTGACAGGATATTATTTTGAAAGATTTATATTTTCTCCATTTCATTGCAATTTTACCTGATTAAAATACTGTTTAATCCACCAACTGTTTATATATGTTTTATGTATATTGGGAATATTCCATAGGTTTTTGGAATGTTAATATTAATTGATTTTTTCCGTTTGAGTAAACTTGAACTTGTTTTCAGCATTTTAAAGGCACTCCTTTAGCACACTTAATGGATTTCTTGAATATTACTGAAATTCACACCTACGGAAAAACAGTACATGAACAATAAATAAATAAAAAAATATTAATTTTAATTTTCATGATTTATTTAACACGTTTAACAATATTATTGAAAGATAATTTTTCCTGTGATTTCGTCCTCGCTGGAAATACAAAAGCAGCATGTCGCCATTTTCCAGACACCACAGAAAAAGACACCCACTCCTCAACACCACAGTCCTAAACCAGGGATTCCTGTGTCTCAGAAGCCTTCACTTTCTCCAGATGCAGGACCTCCAGCTGATCATCCACAATCACATTAGTCTCCAGTCTGACCAAATATGCGTCCTTCGTCACATGATTTTGCATAGTAGCCACCTCCTCATCCAGAGAGACTCCTGGAAAAGCCTCCCTTTTCTCCAGAAGTCCCTCTTCCAGCTCCTCAGATAAAAAGACCTCTAGCCCCTTCCAGAAGTTGATCTTTGAGGTGCTGAGCTAAATATGATCCTGGCTGAATGCAGCTGTCTGCAGTTCATCTTCCATATCCATATAAAAATAAAACGACTGTGTTATCTAATGTCTACAACTTTTAAACATTTGTAAAAAGCTTGAACGTAATATGACAGTTTTTCTCATCATTGTATGAGTCCAATCAGTGATCAGTTTGACTCACTCCTCCAGGAAGCTTCTTCCTGTCAGCAGCCACATCTTCATGTGTCATATGACATATAAATAATCAGGAACTTTATCCTGCTGCTTCATGAGCATTAACTGCTTCAGCATCATTTTCTGCAGCACAGATTCAGTACAGCACAGTTTGAACCAGCTCACAGAAGCACTAAATTATACAGTGTATCATAAATATGAACAGTGCACCTTTACATTAACAGTAACTGACCTCTGCCTGGTAGCAATGTCGCTCTTCTTCAGAGATAGAGGACGGTCTCAGTTTTTGAACTTGTTCAAAAATGAAGTGAGTGTCCATATTAAGAGACGTGAAGTTTCAAACAAGAGAAAAACAGTAAAGTAAGGAAGTAAACAGGTTTGTTGAACACGGTGAACCAATATGTCTTTCAGAGGGTTTGGATAGCCGAGCATTCAGATACCAACTGAGTGAGAATCTACACCTGAACCTCAAGTTCACAGTGTACAGAATGTAGAACTATGGGACATCAACACCATAACTGTAAATGTTCTGTCAGAGAACAACAACCAACAAACATCAAACTAATATTCAAATTGTGGAACCAAAAACCAAAATGAGTATCTTTTTTTTAACAAAAATTATTCCCAAATTGAAGTTGCAACATATTTCAGTTTAAATTTGAAGGATTAGGATGAGGATAGTCTACATTTCTCTTATTGTTGAGGAATCCATTGAAGCAACCAAAACCATCATTGTTGCTCTAGGCAACTCTATCTGAAACATTCCTGTGCTTCCAGTGTGCCCTCCCGGATCTAATGCGCACACACTGGTCTTACTCTTAAAATAAGGAAAATAATCTTGTTTCTCCACTGGGATATTATGTAAACCATTGTTGCAACCTTTATTTTTTTTTATACTTTTATTGCATAAAATTACACCAAGTGCCACCAACAGAGTCTAACAACAACATTTAAAAAAAGGAAATTGTCCAATTTGAGTAAGCACATTTAACAAAGACATGTATGTATATATATAAAATTAGATTATATATATACATAGATACATACATACATACATATATATATACATACATACATATACACACATAGACATCTTCCTCTTTGTGTGTGAAAATACATTTTACAAATTTATTCTATATTCCTAATTCATGGCCTCGTCACAGTCTTTTATACTTCATCACTGAGATTTCCTTTATTGTTACTTTCCATCTTTGCACTGATGGATAGCCAGTTCTTGGTAATTTGCTTCATGGCTGCGATTCAGGGTATTCTGTATAGGTTTCCTGTGTCGGGTCTATTGGGGATTTCCCCCAGAATAATATCTATTAAGTTGTCTGTTTGTTCCAAATAAAAAATACGTCCTGCACGGCCAATGACAGGACTCTGCAGCAGGCGACTAAAAGGTGAGGTGCTTGCGCAGAGCCCAAATGACACTAAAAGACAGCACCCACCCCCAATACATATTTATATTTGTTTTTTGTTTTTTTGATTGGATTTGATTATAATTATTTAAAATGTGGAAGAAAACCGAAGCCTTTCAGACTAAACACTTAGTCACCTGTGTGGCACTATAACACCAGGAGTCCTGTGTCACATCCAGGTGGAACACTTTGTGATACTAGCCAAACTGAGCCTAGTAGCACAAAGTGTTCTGCCAGACATTTTTCTTTTTTTTTTTTAAACACAGCTCTGTCCGATCTACCCGCCTCGAGACCGCTAAAGATTACTCTGACAGATTGATAGACCACACTTTTTCTTCCACTTTCATTTTATTCATGACGCTAGTTGTTGTTATATAAATCATTGCAATGACAAGTGAAATTGGACACTATGATTTACAGAAGTCATGGTGACTGGATATTGGAAATGGTGTATATTCATATTTGAAACTGCACATCTCAGACCAAGAGAAACACATAAATACATATTTATTTGTAAATCTATGTAAATGTACAGTACATGTTCAAATAGATTGTAACAACTGTCCATCTTACTCACACTGTGCAAATGTAACATGCAGTTCTACTGCTTCACACTGGAGTACACACATTCATTATTGGTGCTGTTCCTCTGTCTTCTTGATCTGTTGGGCAGGTTGACACTTAAAGCAGCATAATGGAGGTTGTCTGTATCTTGGTGATCCTGGTAACATAGTATGAAAAAAGCAGATTACAACAGGATTCCTGACAGAAATTTAAATAAATAATCTGCGAGTAATTGTTATGAAATAAAACTGTCTGAATGGTAATTCACCAGTCAATCTACACACTTTAAATTTACCTCTGAATTTGCTGTGGAGGGAGCTGAACATCTTGCTTGAGACTCTGATTGTGAAACAGAAAATTTTGTTTTATTTACCAGTTACATTTAGTGAATACAAACTGTGGGATACAAATGGTAAACGTTACCTGTACATTGGCAGTTGTATCTCTTGATTAGCTTGAATACTGAGAAAGCCAGTAAAGCAACCAGGATGGTGGTGAATGCCAAAGCTCCACTCAAGAAATACACCAAGACAGGAGAGTTCACCTCATCTGTAGAGATAGTCGTCGTAAACAGAGCTTTCAGTGTGTTCTCTGTATTTTGATTGGGCACTTATAATGTATTTTTAAGATGAAATAACCTCTACTAGAAAGTAGTAAGTCACTTACCTTCAAAGTCCAGCTTGGTCCCATCTCCAAACAGTATGTGTCCACATGAGACAACAGCACAGTAGTAGGTCCCAGCATGAGAAAGATCCAGGCTCTGCATTGGCAAGTTGTAGACACAGGTGTGTGTTTGGTTGTTGGGTTTCCTCTCACACTGATCATTCCTGCCTCCATGGGTGTAAATGAGTCCTGGATGAGATTCTTCAGAGGTTTTGAACCAGTAAACACTGTGTTCTCCATCACAGGTCCCAGTGTGTACTGTACAGTTCAGAGTCACAGAGCCTCCTGGCTGGATGCTCTCAGATGCTGACTGATGGACCGAAGCTGGGATGTTCAGACCTGAACCCTTTATGCTGACAAAAATTCCTGCTGCAAATTCAACAGTTAATAACTTCCTTCCTGCACAGTAGTAAGTAGCTGAGTCTGAAGGGTGGAGATCTGTTATCGTCAAGTGATTTTTACCAGTGATGTCAGTATCCAGTGTGAAGCGTGGATTGTTCTTGTATTCATCATGAAAAGTTCCATTTTTATTGAACACATATAGGGTAGAGATGAGTCTTGGCTGCTGTCCCAGACTTTGCTTGTACCAGAAAATCCTTGTTGAATCATCATGTTCATAGAAACACCGTAAAGTCAAGCTTTGACCAACACTAGCCGATACTAAGCCACTCTCTTGGCGCACGGACGACGACAATTTCACTTCAGTTGTCTGAGCTAATGTGGAATGAGAGAAAAAGCAAATTCATTCTTCCTCAGTACAAATAAACATATGTGAAACCTTTGTATGAGCAGTGACCAAATTCTATTTGAGTTGGAACCACAAAAAACACAACTTACCCATTCTCCCTAAGAGCAGACATGTGAGATAGCATGCAAACACTGGAGATGTCATCATGTTCAAAGTTCCGTGTTGAATGAAACACATCAAAAGGCTCTCTCCACTTTTCACAGACCAGACTGTGTTTGATTGGCCAGCCTGAAGTGACACTGTATGTCCTGTATAGGAAACATGATCACATGTTTACAACCACCTACAGTGTTATTTGGTACCTAAAATAGAATCACATGGTGAGAGGTATATAGATAATATAACGGTTATTCATGTTGGTGTAAGATTTTGAATCGATAAAAAAATAAATGATCTGTATCTACTAGTATAGACTCCAGTAACAGCACACAGTGGCACTCATTTCTGCTTAATATGTCGAGAAGATTAACATGCTAAAAACATAACTGTTGAGTATATAGCATGGCAAAGATTATTTTTCCAATGTAGTCATCATTTAACAAAACATTTGCCCTATTTTTATGACATTGAGCAGTTCATCATTCGGTGACAATATATTAATAAATAATTTTCCCCATGCAATACTCCAGAGAAAAATGACTGAGTGTAATTGGAGCTTCTCAAAGTTCTGACAATAAATGAACATAATCAAACATACATACAAACAATTGAATACTTCTTTAATCAATCAAAATGTACTTGTGAGATATTATTTCTGTATAGTTCTTTGAATATTTTTAAATTTTGAATTTTTTAAAGTAATTGTAAATGGTAAATGGTAAATGGACCTGTACTTGTATAGTGCCTTTCTAGTCTTCCAACCACTCAAACCGCTTTTACACTACATGCCACATTCACCCTTTCACACACATTCACACAGCAGTAGCAGCGTGCAGTCTAACTTTCTGGTTAAAATGTTTGGTATTTCTCTTAAGGAGCATCTATTGTCTATGAAAGTGCAAACACCCCTACATCCTGCCTAAAACCACAAAGCCTGCAGCACAAAAAGACATACAAAGTAAACAGTATGGGTAGAGGTCAACAGGTCCAAGAGCAATGACTGAAAGGCAGCCAACAGTAACTAGCAGAGCAGCACTGTTTGGAGTTTCCCAAGTGCTCTCAGCTCCTCTGTCAAGTCATCAAACATGGACACAGTTAAATAAATTATGGTCAATAGTAACCCTCTTTTAATTTTACTTTGGTAACAGTATGACAGTATAACCCTGACTGAGCTGTTTCACCATAAATGCATTATAACTTTCTACATAAAGGTGCCCTTTTTATTTTTTTGACCTCTGCCGCTCAAAAAACTCTGGATTTCTGGGTAAATAGAACCTGTGAGTTCCACCACCACCTGTCTAGACTTCATCAGGGGGGTTTCCGTTACCACACAATGCTTTGTTACCCCCTCAAAATATAATAATGTCAGGATGAGGTCTAATTGGCAAAAAGTATTTATATTTCAAATTTTTATGGTGCATATACCAAAAAATATTGTTCATTCTTAACGAAGTCTCTCCTGATTTAAAAGCTTCCCGAGAGCTTAACCTCATTGTCATGTCTAATTGAGCGTCAGATAAATCGTTTGAGTCAGTGGCGGTTCTATCTTGAATGACACCCTGGGCGGGACCCCCTTCGAGGCCCCCCCCAACAGCAATTGAAAAAAAAAAAAAAAAAACACAAAATTCTGCACAAACTGTTATGTTTTATTATAACAACATAAGTGAAGTAGATAATTATATTTCTTGATTGCATACATCCTTCATCAGAACAATTGGATATAACTATTGCACTTGGAACAGGGAACACACTTTTTAAGGTGCACATCTCCACCTCCAACATTGCCAAAAGGCAATGATCACAGTTCTGCACAAAATATGACAGTATAAGTTATCAGAACTTAGAGAACCTTGGTGACCACATAATCGTTTTGTATTACCTATTTTTGTTAGCCATTTCACACAATTCAGAAAAACAAAAATGTGCATGAACTATAGGCCTGTATTTATTATATTATGAATGAAATGTGCGTTATTTGGAAGAAAGTCAAGGTGTGACTGACTTACAGTGGAACCCCCGTTCCCCCCCTTGTCCGTTCCATTAGGGAGACCCAGAGGTGAACTGTCCCCTGCCCCCCTTCCCCTTCCCCTTCCCCTTCCCACACAGCTTCTGTGCAGGGCACCTTCTCAGCAAGCAGGGGCACTTGCAGCTCTAGGGGGCGCCAGTTTGCCAATTCCCCACACAGTGATACGATAGAACAGATAGATAATAGAAAACTGCTTTGTGGCGCAGAGGATTTTTTTTTTTTTTTTTAAGTGCTCGTGCCGCCCCCCATGTGTCATGAAAGGGTTAGCCCTGAGCTTTGCCCATGCCCAAAACCGCTACTGGTTTAACTTGTAGTTATATCTGCACCATATGTGTGTCTGAAAAGCCATTCAAAGGTCAAGAATTACTCTTTCTTACATCATGGATGGATGAGGTCAGTCACATGCTTTGGTGCCACGTGTGACAAAGCAAGATGTGCTACTTTCCCGGGGATTGAACCAACACGCATTGTCTCATGGTCAAAATGATCCAAAAATAGATTTGTATATGGAAATGAATAATACACATACATAGTTTAAAAACCAAGACAGATAATACCTCTTATTTGTGTTGTGGTCCTCACAAGAGGCCCAAGAGAGCTTGTACAAACAAAACAAGAAAATCATTACAAATGTATGTTTACAAAAATATAATGTTAAGATTTTACATATATTTTGTGAGAAATCAAAGTAACAGTGGAAATTACCAAGACAAACAGAACAAAGAATATGCAAATTATAAAACCTTAACACAAGAAAGCTACAAACACACGTTTACTTCGAGAGCTACGTCTAAATCTACGTCACATCTCCCAAGAGCTTCTAAGAAACTGACTCTTTACTCACACAATCCACTATTCTACTGCTTCACACTGGAGTACACACATTCATTATTGGTGCTGTTCCTCTGTCTTCTTGATCTGTTGGGCAGGTTGACACTTAAAGCAGCATAATGGAGGTTGTCTGCCTCTTGGTGATCCTGGATAAAATATATAGAGCAGATCACAATTAAGTTCCTAACAACACAAATGTCAGTGAGACAGTTAATTGTGCTTCTATGAAGGCTGTTAAACAGTTAATCAAAACTGCATTTACCTCTGCATTTGCTGTGAAGGAAGATGGTAATCTTGCTTGAGAATCTGATTGTGAAACAGAAAAAATTAAATTTTATTCAAAAGCTGAATTTAGTGAACACAAGCTGCCAGAAATAAAAGTACCAGTTACCTTTAGATTGGCAACTGCTTCTCTTGTTCATCTTGTACATTGAGACAGTCAGTAAAACAACCAGGATGGTGGTGAATGCCAAAGCTCCACTCAAGAAATACACCAAGACAGAAGAGTCCACCTTTTCTACAGAGTCAGACATCAGATACAGAGCTTTCAGTGTGATTGCAGTTTTTAATTCTAAGTTTGGTTGGAAGTAACAATCACTAGTCAAGAACATTTTATGTATATAGCTCAAAATCACAAATTTACAGTCTGGATGACATACAACACCATCTATAAGCTAAAACACACCAAAGACAAACCCTTTAATGGGGAAACTACTGTTCACTTTTTACTATTCATCAGACAAGACAAATTCTGCTTGAAAGTTCCTTACCTTCAAAGTCCAGCTTGGTCCCGTCTCCAAACAGTATGTGTCCACATGAGGCAACAGCACAGTAGTAGGTCCCAGCATGAGAAAGATTCAGGCTCTGCATTGGCAAGTTGTACACACAGGTGTGTGTTTGTGTGTTGGGTTTCCTCTCACACTGATCATTTCTGCCTCCATGGGTGTAAATGAGTCCTGGATGAGATTCTTCAGAGGTTTTGAACCAGTAAACACTGTGTTCTCCATCACAGGTCCCAGTGTGTACTGTACAGTTCAGAGTCACAGAGCCTCCTGGCTGGATGCTCTCAGATGCTGACTGATGGACCGAAACTGGGATCTTCCAATCTGAACCCTCAACACTAACAGTAATGCTCTCAGAAAATTCTAATGTGTATACAAAATGAACACAGCAGTAAGTACCTGAGTCTGAAATGTTTAAATCTGAGATCGTCAAGTGGTTTTTACCGTTTTCCGAATCCAGTGTGAAGCGTGGATTGTTCTTGAATTCGCCATTAAAGGTGGCATATTTAAAGTAGCTGGAGATGAGTCTTTGTTTCTGTTCCAGATTGTGTTTGTACCAGTAAATCCTTACAGGAACATTACCTTTATAGAAACACTGCAAAGTCAACTTGTCCCCAGTTTTAACTGAAACTAAATGTCTCTCCTGACGGACAGACGAGGAGAATGTCAGAGCAGTCGTCTGAGCTGAAACTAAATAGGAGACAGAGTAAATGTAGAGTTAATGTGATGTGACAGAATTCAACTTAATCAGTGTAAACATATTAGAAACACTGATATGAGAACATACACTCTCACAGATAAAAGTCACAAAAATACAACTTACCCATTTCCCCCAAGATCAAACATGTGAGACAGAGCGCAAACACTGGAGATGACATCATGTTCAAACTGCTGTGCTGAATGAAAGAACATCGATGGTTCCTTGACTCTTCAGAGACAAGAATGCATTTGATTGGCCAGCCTGAAGTGACACTGTATGTCCTGTATAGGAAACATGATCACATGATCACTGACACTTACACTGCTGAGTTTGGTTTTTGAGAAAAAGTTCACATTGTTATAGATACATGAAGAATATTACAGCTCCTTACTGTCATTAGAGTTTAATTCACTGAAAAATAACATATCTTTAGATCCAATATAAACATGTCAGCAACAAGACACTTAGTAATGGACTTGTCCTTATGTTTAACAGGTAATAAAAAAGATTGTGAGCAGTCCATCCATTCTTGGTATAATCACCTCTCTTTTCAAGCTGTGGTACAGAGTACTCACTGCACTGTGCACTGTATTAAAGAAACATGTTTTACAATATGTCAAATGTAGGATGCTTTGATTTCCATCATCAGAATTCTGTCCATCTAGGACTGCATGATTAATCAAAATAAAATCACAATTTCAATTAAGTCCTTTCATTTTTACGTGTCCTGTTTGTATCGACTGGGAGATCCAGTGCATCAAAACAAGCACTCTTACTTTCTCTACCTAATTACCATAAACAAATAAGGAGTATACTTTAATCTACAAGGCAAACTGTGTACAGGAAGAGGGGGGCGGGACATGAATGTACCATGATGATGATTCAAAAACACCTAACCAACATTGAGAGCGATACAGAGAATAAAGACTAAATCAAAGAAAACTGCAATGACATTAGTTTATCTGTCTTGAAGTAGCAATGCGATATTGTTCCATAAGGAAACTCTTAGAACTTGTACTATAGCAGTGCAGGCCTTTATAGTTTTAAATATTGTGTATATTGCACATCTGCTGACACCAGATTACAGATTACTACATTTTGTCCTCTTGTCTGTGTGATATGACACTGTGGTGACCCACAAGTAAGACTGAAAGAGACATTCACCAGGGGACTGTACCTTTAAGGGAGAGGTGTGAGGGGATGCCGGTTCCGGGTTAACGTAGTGTAGCCGTTTCTGACCTCACTCGCTGTACAGTGTGTTATGATATTGAAGTGGAGAGTAAAGCTGACTCGACGCATCTCTGTCTCTTGTCTCCTCACTTATTGCACTCCACATTGGTGACCCCAACGCGAGTTGGATAAGGCTGAATTATGTCACACAACGACGGTGGTGAAAATGCTGCCGCTGCGGCGCCGGCCGCTGCTAGCGGTGCGGCTAATGTCGGTGCTATCTACGCTGCTACCATCAAGTTACCGGACTTTTAGCAGCACAACCCACGGCCGTGGTTTCAGCACATTGAGGCCCAGTTCCAGCTGAGAGGAATAACACAGGACGTTACAAAGTATTTCCACGTGGTAGCGGCCTTATATGCCTCGACGACAGCCAGGGCTATGGCGCTGTTAGAGGCTCCTCCGGCTGACGGCAAGTACAACGCACTCAAAACATTCCTGTTGAGCCTCTTTGAACTGTCGGAGCTGGAGAAAGCAGACCGTCTGCTGTCCCTGAACGGCCTTGGTGATAGCAAGCCGTCCGAGTAAATGGAGAGGATGCTGGCTGTGCTGGGCGCGGCGGATCCCTCATTCCTCTTCGCCCACATTTTCCTGCGGCAGCTTCCAGCACCCGTGCGCACCGCACTGGCCAGTTCCCCCCTCCCTTCCTCCAGAGACTACTGGGCGCTGGCTGTGGAGGCAGACAGGATTTTCCTCGCCAACCGGCAGCAGTTTGTCCATGCGCTGCTGCCCCCCCAGCACACCTCTGCCCCGCTTTCCCCCCCGGAGGACGACCCGGGCACCGCAGCTGCTGTGACGGCCCGCCGACAGCTTGAGGACGGGTGGTGTTATTACCATTCCAGGTTTGGGGCCAAGGCCAAGCAGTGCCGCCAGGCTTGCAGTTTTGGCGCCCAGGGAAAAGCCCGGGCCCGCGCTCATCAGCAGCTATGGGCGCCGGCCATGAATAAGCTGTTATTCATCACTGACACCTTGTCCGGCCGGCGGCGACACCTTGTCCGGCCGGCGGCTGCTGGTCGATTCTGGGGCTCAGCGCAGCATCCTGCCGGCGAAACAGGTGGACACCATGGCTTGGGGCATGGCCCCCCGATGGACGCCGCCAACAGCACACCCATTCGTACCTATGGCACCAAGTATGTGGAAGTGTGTTTCGGTGGGCGGCGTTTCGGCTGGGACTTCGTCATGGCCGCCGTGTCTACGTCACTCCTGGGAGCAGATTTCCTCTGCGCTTACAGACTGTTGGTGGATGTTACAAACTGCCGCCTGATCGACGCCCTCTCTTTTGCTTCGTACCCCTGCAGGCTGGGAGGGCTGGGGGCGCTTTGTCTGTCGAACATGTTTGCCACCGGGGACCTGTATCAACGCCTGCTTGCTGAGTTCCCCGACATCACCACGCCCACGTTTTCATCGGCGGTGGCTAAGCATGGTGTGGAGCACTACATCACCACGGTTGGCCCCCCAGTCTATGCACGAGCCCGGCGCCTCGACTCTGCCAAGCTCGCGATCGCCAGGGAGGAGTTCGCCACCATGGAGCACCTCGGCATCGTGCGCCGCTCCAACAGCCCGTGGGCCTCCCCCCTGCACATGGTGACCAAGGCTGATGGCGTTTGGCGTCCCTGTGGTGATTTCCGTCGCCTGAACAACGCCACCACCCCCGACCGGGACCCAGTGCCGCACATACAGGACTTCTCCGCCAACCTAGCCGGCGCCACCATCTTTTCAAAGGTGGACCTGGTACGCGGTTACCACCAGGTGCCTGTCCATCCGCAGGATGTCCCCAAGACAGCAGTCATCACACCCTTTGGCCTTTTCGAATTCCTACGGATGCCTTTCGGCCTCAAGGGTGCAGCGCAGACGTTTCAGCACCTCATGGACTCCGTGCTGCGGGACATGCCGTTCCTGTTTGTTTATTTGGACGACATTCTCGTGGCCAGCGCATCCGCAGACGATCACCTGACGCATCTCCGGCAGCTGTTCGGCCGGCTCAGTGAGCATGGTCTCATCATCAACCCGGCCAAGTGCGAGTTTGGCCGGTCGGCCATCACTTTCCTCGGCCACCACGTCACCCCGCAGGGGGCCGTCCCCCTCCCTGCCAAGGTGGACGCCGTCGCCAGTTTCCCACGCCCACGCACTGTGAAGTCCCTGCAGGAGTTCCTGGGCATGGTGAACTTCTACAACCGTTTCCTCCCCCATGCGGCCCAACTCATGCGACCCTTGTATGACGCCTTGCGGGGTAGGAGGCCGGCGGACGTGTTGGAGTGGTCCCCAGAGATGACTGATGCCTTTGATGCTGCCAAAACCGCGCTGGCCAACGCTGCTCTGAACAGTGGGTGGGTGGAGGCTGGCAGCCGCTGGCCTTTTTCAGCAGGAAGCTCCGTGACAATGAGAGGAAATACAGCGCCTTCGACAGGGAGCTCCTGGGTCTTTTCCTCGCCACCTGTCATTTCCGTTTCCTATTGGAGGGCCGGCGGTTCACGGCTTTCGTTGACCACAAGCCGCTGACGTTCGCCATGGCCAAGTCTTCGGAGCCATGGTCTGGTTGACAGCAGCGTCAGCTCTCTGCCATCTCGGAGTACACCACTGACATTCAGCACGTGGCCGGCAAAGACAATTTCGTCGCCGACTGCCTCTCCCGGGCGGTCACTGGCTCCGTCCACTTGGGCCTCGACTACGCAGCCATGGCTGGGGATCAGACTGCGGACACTGAGGTGCAAGCCTACAGGACAGCCCCTACGGCACTGCTCATGGAAGATGTGGTGTTTGACGCGGCCAACGCTACACTCCTCTGCGACGTCTCCACTGGCCAACCGCGCCCCATGGTACCCTCTGGCTGGAGGCGTAAGGTTTTTGACGCCATCCACGGTCTTTCCCACCCAGGGGTGAAGGCCTCTACCAAGCTGGTGGGGGCCAAGTTTGTCTGGCCGGGCCTGCGGAGGGACGTCAGGGCCTGGGCTGCTACCTGTGTGGCGTGCCAGCGCGCAAAGGTGACTCGTCATACCAAGGCCCCTTTGGCACCCTTCAAAGTGCCGGAGAGACGTTTTGATCATGTGAATGTGGATCTGGTGGGCCCACTTCCCCCCTCCCGTGGTTACACCTACCTCCTCACCATGGTGGACAGGACCACCAGATGGCCAGAAGTGGTTCCCCTTCCCTCCACTACATCAGCTGAAGTGGCTCGGACGTTCATTATGGCTTGGGTGGCCCGTTTCGGCACACCGTCCGACCTCTCCTCGGACCGAGGTCCGCAGTTCACATCGGAGCTTTGGACTGCGGTCGCCGAGGTCCTGGGGGTGAAGGTCCACCGTACCACAGCCTATAACCCACAGAGCAACGGACTTTGTGAGCGGTTTCATCGGGACATGAAGGCCGCACTCAGGGCCAGCCTTACGGGCAGCGACTGGGCTGACCGCCTCCCATGGGTTATGCTTGGCCTTTGCTCCGCCCCCAAGGAAGATCTTCAAGCCTCATCGGCCGAGCTGGTGTACGGCCAACCTCTGCGCGTCCCGGGGGAGTTTCTTCCCGATGCCACGGCCCCTTGGTCGGTTGCCTCCCATCGCGCTGTGTCCCGGGACATTGCCGGCGCTTTTGTTCCTATTCCGATGTCTCACCATGGCCTCCCCCAGTCCTACGTTCCCAAGGATTTACCGTCAGCCAAGTACGTCTTCATCCGCCACGATGGCCATCGTACCCCGCTGCGGCCCCCCTACGATGGGCCCTTCCGTGTCCTGGTGGGAGGGTCTAAGAACTTCGTTGTGGATATGGGGGGCAGGCCTGAGCGGGTGGCTATAGACCGTCTCAAGCCTGCTCATGTGGATATTGGCGAACCGCTTCAGCTGGCCCAGCCCCCACGGCGAGGGCGCCCCCCTGCGACAGCCTCGACCCCTGCCGCTGGCACTTCCCCTGCCCCTGCCCTGCCCCTTGCCCATTGACCCTCTCCTGTTAAGCGCAGCCGTTATGGCCGCCTGGTCCGCCCCCCTAAACGTTGACTTTTCTAGGGACTGTTATGAGAGGGACTGTTCTGTTTTGCACTAGTGAATAGTGTCCTATGTTCTATTTGGGGTACCTGTTCGGTCTGGCCCTGTTATTATGGGTGAATTCTGGGGGGGCCTGTGTGGTGACCCACAAGTAAGACTGAAAGAGACATTCACCAGGGGACTGTACCTTTAAGGGACCGGTTCCGGGTTAACGTAGTGTAGCCGTTTCTGACCTCACTCGCTGTACAGTGTGTTATGATATTGAAGTGGAGAGTAAAGCTGACTCGACGCATCTCCGTCTCTTGTCTCCTCACTTATTGCACTCCACAACACAATGTTATTTGTGTCTGCTGTGTGTGAACTGGGACTTTAAATGTGCGTGTTCAATCTTGTGTCCACACTGCAAACCAATCTCCCTCTGGCATAATACGTGAAAGTCGAGTTCAAAGGTTTACTATAAAAATGTTTCAGATAGATGTAAAATATCGGATCATTTCTAGCTGTTTTCCTATGAATTATGAAGTCATCTCTAATCTAAACGGTAGACTAGTAAATCCTTGCGTCTTTAGGTTGGTTAACCTTCCTGTGTCATTCTACTTTGGCATCAAAACAATTTACTTTCACCACTGAGTCACTTACTGGGGTTGGTGAGGTCAACACAATATATACAATGTATAAAATATGGACGTAGACTCCGTGACGTCACCCATAGGTTTCAGAAGAGTCTATTTAAATGACTGAGTTATATATATATATATATATATATATTTACAGTTGTCATAAACAGAGAAATAAGTTATAGAGACCAAAACCATTTTTTTGCACCAGCCTGTAAACATGTTTATTTGTGCTGTGAAGTTGGGCATTTTAACAAAGAGATTTATGGAGACTGACTCACTTTTGCAGCCTGCGTCCAGTGGTCGTTTGAGGAACTGCAGTGTTTGTTACTTCCGTGTTGGCTTCATTTTTTAGCCAGGGGGGTTGGCTCTTGGTCCACCCATAATCTCTGATAAACATTCATGTATGCAAAACCCAGAGTTACAGCCGGATTGAACACGCACACACATCATTTTTCAAACTCAAAATGCTCCAAATTTTCCTTTAATCAATCCTTAAAAACATAAAATCACATACACAAAGACATAATTTGTTTACAAAGCTAAAAGTATAAAGCATTCTTGATTTTGAGGATCTCAATATGCTGGTTAAGTCTCCAAAATCATTCATCATCAATGCTATTAGTCAACCTTTATGTCTCACAGTCAGTTTTACAAATATTTTACAATTAAAAAGTACTGAAACCAACAATACCAACTCTGACAATGCAGTGTTCAATATTGTAGAAACATAGGGTTTTGGTTCATTTCCTGAAATGTAACGGTTTTGGACATACAAGTATTCCGATGATGACAGCGACAATATGCACATTTGTAAAGCACAGTGCAATTTCATTTTGGCTGCAGACCACAAAGAAACTATAAAATCAAATGTATCTCAAATTTACATTCAAATCTACATTACAACTCAAGAGGCATAAAGAAAATGCTGTCTTACTTAGAATCAAAGTACAAATGTGATATGTCCACTTCTACTTCTTTACGCTGTAGTACACACACTCACTCCAGGTTGGATCCCTCTGTCTTCTTGATCTCTTCGTCAGTTTGACACTTAAAGCAGTATAATAGAGGTTGTCTGCATGTTGGTAACCCTGGTAACAAAATATATATGTCACATATAGCATAATTATTTTGTTCTTTACCTAATGGAAAACAATAACCAGCAAAATTGGTAATGGTAATTCAACAGTTAATTTACAGTCAACAGTTTTTATTCACCTCTGCATTTGCTGTGGAGGAAGCTGGTGATCTTGTTTCAGGATCTGATTGTGAAACACAGAAAACGTTTTTTTATTCAAAAGTCAAATTAAGAGAATACAAGCTGCCAGATATAAAAACTACCAATTACCTGAAGATTGGCAGCTGTTTCCCTTGTTCATCATGCACACTGAGAAAGCCAGTAAAACAACCAGGATGGTGGTGAATGCAGAAGCATTCGACGCAGTCATCCTCATCTGTATAGAGCCAGATATCACAAACACAGCTTATAGCATGCTTTCTATTTTAATTTCATTCAATTTAACAAAATTTGTTCAGGAAGTAACAGTGAGCATTTATCAGATGCACCACCTTTGGCTCAAAAGTTACTTACCTTCAAAGTCCAGCTTGGTCCTGTTTCCAAACAGTATGTGTCCACATGAGGCAACAGCACAGTAGTAGGTCCCAGCATGAGAAAGATTCAGGCTCTGCATTGGCAAGTTGTACACACAGGTGTGTGTTTGTGTGTTGGGTTTCCTCTCACACTGATCATTCCTGCCTCCATGGGTGTAAATGAGTCCTGGATGAGATTCTTCAGAGGTTTTGAACCAGTCAACACTGTGTTCTCCATCACAGGTCCCAGTGTGTACTGTACAGTTCAGAGTCACAGAGCCTCCTGGCTGGATGCTCTCAGATGCTGAGGGCTTTCCGTTACCACACACTGCTCCGCTACCCCCTTAAAATATAATAACGTCATGATGGGGTCGGTAAAAACTATTTATATTTAAATTTTTTATGGTGCACATGCCAAAAAATATTGTTCATTCTTAACGAAGTCTCTCCTAATTAAAAAGCTTCCCTATAGCTGAACCTTATTGTCACGTTTATTTAAGCGTCAGATAAATCGTTTAACTTGTAGTTATATCTGCACCATATGTGTGTCCGAAAAGCCGTTCAAAGGTCAAGAATTACTCTTACTTACATCATGGATGGATGAGGTCAGTCACATGCTTTGGTGCCACGTGTGACAAAGCAAGATGTGCTACTTTCCCGGGGATTGAACCCACACGCATTGTCTCATGGTCAAAATGACCCAAAAATAGATTTATTTGATCTTTAATGTATATGGAAATGAATAATACACATACATAGTTTAAAAACCAAGACAAATAATACCTCTTATTTGTGTTGTGGTCCTCACAAGAGGCCCAAGAGAGTTTGTACAAACAAAACAAAAAAATCATTACAAATGTATGTTCACAAAAATATAATGTAAAGATTTTGCATGTATTTTGTGAGAAATCAAAGTAACAGTGGAAATCACCAAGACAAACAGAACAAAGAATATGCACGTTATAAAACCTTAACACAAGAAAGCTACAAACAGACGTTTACCTCTAGAGCTACGTCTAAATCTACGTCACATCTCCCAAGAGCTTCTAAGAAACTGACTGACACAATCCACTATTCTACTGCTTCACACTGGAGTACACACATTCATTATTGGTGCTGTTCCTCTGTCTTCTTGATCTGTTGGGCAGGTTGACACTTAAAGCAGCATAATGGAGGTTGTCTGCCTCTTGGTGATCCTGGATAAAATATATAGAGCAGATCACAATTTGGCTCCTAACAAAACAAATGTCAATGAGACAGTTAATTGTGCTTCTATGAAGGCTGTTAAACAGTTAATCAAAACTGCATTTACCTCTGCATTTGCTGTGAAGGAAGATGGTAATCTTGCTTGAGAATCTGATTGTGAAACACAGAAAATGTTATTTTATTCAAAAGCTGAATTCAGTGAACACAAGCTGCCAGAAATAAAAGTACCAGTTACCTTTAGATTGGCAGCTGCTTCTCTTGTTCATCTTGTACATTGAGACAGTCAGTAAAACAACCAGGATGGTGGTGAATGCCAAAGCTCCACTCAAGAAATACACCAAGGCAGAAGAGTCCACCTTTTCTACAGAGTCAGAAATCAGATACAGAGCTTTCAGTGTGATTGCAGTTTTTATTCTGTGACGGTCCCCTGAGTGGCTCTAATGTTTCCTCTTCCTTTTAAGGCAGCAGGTACTTGTGGGTTGGACCAATCGGCATAGCCAGAAGCACCTGGGCCCGGTGTTTCCCAGCTATAAAAGCCCCGCCTCTCTGGCTGACGGGGGCTCTCTTTTCATCTTATTATCATTGCTGGTATTCGGAGTAGTGGAGTTTTAACATCCAACATTTACTTTTCATTATACATCACACTCATGCATACACACACTTTCACTACTGATGTTACTGACAAACACACCTCATCTTCTATTTAGTTCTTTTTCGGGTTGCATTTAGGTTGTTATGTTAAATAAATTACTTATAATTTGTCCTTTCAACTGCGTCTCCTCGTTTTTGTCACGCCTCCAGAGCCAGGTCGTGACAATTCTAAGTTTGGTTGGAAGTAACAATGACTAGTCAAGTACATTTTATGTACATTGATCAGCCATAACATTCTGAGTGAATAACACTGATTGTCTGGTTATTATAGCACCTGTAAGTGGGTAGGATATATCAGGCAGCAAGTGGCAAGGCATTTTGTACTCAAGTTGATGTGTTAGAAGCAGGAGAAATGGGCAGTATGAGGATTTGAGCAACTTTGACAAGGGACAGCCTCAATGAGCCTTGGCATCAACAGACGAGCTACTGTAGCTCAAACTGCTGAAAAAGTTAATGCTGGTTCTGATAGAAAGGTGTTAGAACACACAGTGCATCACAGTTTGTTGGTACGGGGGGCATAACATTATGACCACCAGGGTGCCCAGGTGGTCATCATTGTGGTCAAACACAAAAACATTGTTGTTAGACGAATAAGCAGAGACCCTTTAATGGGGAAACTACCATCTTCTTTCAACTACTGAATGGATAAAATCATTTCTGATCCTTCTGAAGTTATTTACCTTCAAAGTCCAGCTTGGTCCCGTCTCCAAACAGTATGTGTCCACATGAGGCAACAGCACAGTAGTAGGTCCCAGCATGAGAAATATCCAGGCTCTGCATTGGCAAGTTGTACACACAGGTGTGTGTTTGTGTGTCGGGTTTCCTCTCACACTGATCATTCCTGCCTCCATGGGTGTAAATGAGTCCTGGATGAGATTCTTCAGAGGTTTTGAACCAGTAAACACTGTGTTCTCCATCACAGGTCCCAGTGTGTACTGTACAGTTCAGAGTCACAGAGCCTCCTGGCTGGATGCTCTCAGATGCTGACTGATGGACCGAAGCTGGGATCTTCCAATCTGAACCCTCTACACTGACAATAATGCTCTCAGAAAATTCTAATGTGTGTAAAAAATGAACACAGCAGTAAGTACCTGAGTCTGAAATGTTTAAATCTGAGATCGTCAAGTGGTTTTTACCGTTTTCTGAATCCAGTGTGAAGCGTGGATTGTTCTTGAATTCACCATAAAAAGTGACATTTATGTCATACTTGTAGTAACTGGAGATGAGTCTCGGTTTCTGCCCCAGAGTGTGTTTGTACCAGTAAATCCTTACAGGAACATTACCTTTATAGAAACACTGCAAAGTCAACTTGTCCCCAGTTTTAACTGAAACTATATTTCTCTCCTGACGGACAGACGAGGAGAATGTCAGAGCAGTCGTCTGAGCTGAAGCTAAATAGGAGACAGAGTAAATATAGAGTTAATGTGATGTGCCAGAATTCAACTTAATCAGTGTAAAAATATTAGAAACACTGATATGAGAACATACACTCTCACAGATAAAAGTCACAAAAATGCAACTTACCCATTTCCCCCAAGATCAAACATGTGAGACAGAACACAAACACTGGAGATGTCATCATGTTCAAACTGCTGTGCTGAATGAAAGAACATCGATGGTTCCTTGACTCTTCAGAGACAAGAATGCATTTGATTGGCCAGCCTGAAGTGACACTGTATGTCCTGTATAGGAAACATGATCACATGATCACTGACACTTACACTGCTGAGTTTGGTTTTTGAGAAAAAGTTCACATTGTTATAGATACATGAAGAATATTACAGCTCCTTTCTGTCATTAGAGTTTAATTCACTGAAAAATAACATATCTTTAGATCCAATATAAACATGTCAGCAACAAGACACTTAGTAATGGACTTGTCCTTATGTTTAACAGGTAATAAAAAAGATTGTGAGCAGTCCATCCATTCTTGGTATAATCACTTCTCTTTTCAAGCTGTGGTACAGAGTACTCACTACACTGTGCACTGTATTAAAGAAACATGTTTTACAATATGTCAAATGTAGGATGCTTTGATTTCCATCATCAGAATTCTGTCCATCTAGGACTGCATGATTAATCAAAATAAAAGTCCTTTCATTTTTACGTGTCCTGTTTGTATCGACTGGGAGATCCAGTGCATCAAAACAAGCACTCTTACTTTCTCTACCTAATTAGCATCAACAAATAAGGAGTGTACTTTAATCTACAAGGCAAACTGTGTACAGGAAGAGGGGGGCGGGACATGAATGTACCATGATGATGACGTTCAAAAACACCTAACCAACATCGAGAGCGCCTCCAACATACAGAGAATAAAGACTAAATCAAAGAAAACTGCAATGACATTAGTTTATCTGTCTTGAAGTAGCAATGCGATATTGTTCCATAAGGGAACTCTTAGAACTTGTACTATAGCAGTGCAGGCCTTTATAGTTTTAAATATTGTTTATATTGCACATCTGCTGACACCAGATTACAGATTAATACATTTTTCACCTCCTGTCTGTGTGATATGACACCATGTTATTTGTGTCTGCTGTGTGTGAACTGTGACTTTAAATGTGCGTGTTCAATCTTGTGTCCACACTGCAAACCAATCTCCCTCTGGCATAATATGTGAAAGTCGAGTTCAAAGGTTTACTATAAAAATGCTTCAGATAGATGTAAAATATCGGATCATTTCTAGCTGTTTTCCTATGAATTATAAAGTCATCTCTGATCTAAACGGTAGACTACTGAGTCACTTACTGCGGTCGGTGAGGTCAACCCAATATATACAATGTATAAAATATGGACGTAGACTCTGTGACGTCACCCATAGGTTTCAGAAGAGCAGGTGTGAATCTCAGTGGGTTCGGTTCTGGCCCTCGCCATCTTGGCCTTGTCCTTACTACGAGCAAATGCAAAAATGGGCAACGACGTGGAGCATGGGTGGAGTTGAGGCTGGCCCAATGAAGCCAGGTTACTGAAGCCAGCCACCTGTGACAGCCACCTGTCACTCAAAGTGGGCATGTCCTTAAAGGTCCAGTGTGTAACATTTAGGAGGCTCTATTGGCATAAAGGGAATATGATATTCATAGGTATGGTTTCATTCATGTATAATCACCTGAAAATAGGAATCCTTATGTTCTTGTTGCCTTAGAATGAGCCTTTCATATCTGCAGACGCTGCAGGTCGGTTTCTACGGAAGTCGCCATGTTTCTACAGTAGCCCAGAAGGGAGAAACCAAACACTGGCTGAAGATTGGTGCCTTTGCGTTATTTTGTGATTTTTTTGGCCACCGTAGTTTCTGCCTCATGCTTGGAAAGGCAGGGTGAAGCAAATACAACTGCACTGCTAGATCCCACTAAATCCTACACACTGGACCTTTAATTATGAATTAAATATAATAGACCTTTTTCACAGCAGCTAGTTTGTCATGAAATAGGGTGTTACCAATAATATTAATTGAGGTTCTGTTTCATTCAGGTCAAACACAGTCTGAGTGCTGCTATTGTGCTCGTTTGGCTCAATGATAGGCTCTGCTACACTAAATGGAACGGAGCCTTAATTAGTGTCATAAACAGAGAAATTAGCAATAGAGACCAAAACCATTTTCTTGCACCAGCCTGTAAACATGTTTATTTGTGCTCAAAAGTTGGGCATTTTAACAAGGAGATTCATGGAGAATGACTCACTTTTGCAGCCTGCCTCCAGTGGTCATTCGAGGAACTGCAGTTTTTGTTACTTCCGCGTTGGCTTCACTTTGTAGCCAAGGGGGTTGCCTCTTGGTTGACCCATATACTCTGATACATGAATGTACGAAAAAGCCCAATTTACAGCTGGATTGAACACACACACTTAATCAATCATTCATTTTATTTTATTTTAATCAATCATTAAAAACATAAAATCACATACACAAAGACATAATTTGTTTAAAAAGCAAAATGTATAAAGCATAATTAATCTGAGGTTCTCAATAAGCTGGTTAAGTCCCCAAAATCGTTTACTGACTGTGTACTAAATACAACCATATGGTTCTAGATACATGGTTAAAAAGGAAGAAACAAGGCAGCATTGTAGAGATATCCTGCTTCAGACCTCACAGACACAAAAACAGCATCCTAAAAATCATCGCTGTCGGGCGGAAAGCTTGTATCTACATATTTCATCTTTTTTCCCCTCGTCAATAAATGCTATTGGTCAAGCTTTATGTCTGCCAGTGAGTTATACAAATATTTAACAAAAAAAAAAAGTATTGATCAGGCGCCCGGTTAGCTCACTTGGTAGAGCTGGCGACCATGGACCTAGTCCTGCAGCGGCCCAGGTTTTGAATCCGACCTGTGGCCCTTTGCTACATGTCATCCCCTCTCTCTACCCCCCTTTCCTGTTTATCTCCAGCGGTCTCTGTCAATTAAAGGTAATAAAGGGCCAACAAAAAAAAAAAGTATTGAAACCAACAATACCAACTCTGACAACTATGTTCAATATTGTAAAAACACAGGGATTTTGTTTATTTCCTGAAAAGTAACAGTTTTGGACATACAAGGTTTCCGATGATGACAGCGACAATATGCACATTAGCAAAGCACAGTGCAATTTCATTTTGGCTGCAGACCAAAAATAAGCTATTAAAGCAAATGTATCTCAAACTTACATCTAAATCTACATTGCAACTCAAGAGGCACAAAGAAAATGCTGTCTTACTCAGAAAGTACAAATGTGATATGTCCACTTCTACTTCTTTACGCTGTAGTACACACACTCACTCCAGGTTGGATCCCTCTGTCTTCTTGATCTCTTCGTCAGTTTGACACTTAAAGCAGCATAATAGAGATTGTCTGCATGTTGGTAACCCTGGTAACAAAATATATAGCACATATAACATAACTACTTTGTTCTTTACCTAAATTAAAACAATAACCAGTAAAATTGGTAATGGTAATTCAACAGTTAATTTACAGTCAACAGTTTTTATTCACCTCTGCATTTGCTGTGGAGGAAGCTGGTGATCTTGTTTCAGGATCTGATTGTGAAACACAGAAAACGTTATTTTATTCAAAAGTCAAATTAAGAGAATACAAGCTGCCAGATATAAAAAGTTACCTGAAGATTGGCAACTGTTTCCCTTGTTCATCATGCAAAATGAGAAAGCCAGTAAAACAACCAGGATGGTGGTGAATGCAGACGCTCCTCTCCAGAAATACACCAAGTCAGCCTCATCTGTATAGAGCCAGATATCACAAACACAGCTTATAGCATGATTTCTTTTTTCAGAAAGGATAACTTCTGCAAGAAAGTCACTTACCTTCAAAGTCCAGCTTGGTCCCGTCTCCAAACAGTATGTGTCCACATGAGGCAACAGCACAGTAGTAGGTCCCAGCATGAGAAAGATTCAGGCTCTGCATTGGCAAGTTGTACACACAGGTGTGTGTTTGTGTGTTGGGTTTCCTCTCACACTGATCATTACTGCCTCCATGGGTGTAAATGAGTCCTGGATGAGATTCTTCAGAGGTTTTGAACCAGTAAACACTGTGTTCTCCATCACAGGTCCCAGTGTGTACTGTACAGTTCAGAGTCACAGAGCCTCCTGGCTGGATGCTCTCAGATGCTGACTGATGGACCGAAGCTGGGATGTTCAAACCTGAACCCTTTACACTGACAGTAATGCTCTCTGTAAGTTCTAACACGTAATAATAGCAACTTACGCAGTTGTAAGTAGCTGAATCTGAAGCATGTAAATCTGAGATCTTCAAGTGGTTTTTACCATTTTCAGTATCCAGTGTGAAGCGTGGATTGTTCTTGAATTCACCATAGAAAGTGTTATTTTTATCAAACATGTAGTAACTGGAGATGAGCATTGGTTTCTCTCCCAAATGTTGTTTATACCAGTAAATCCTTGCAGGAACATTACCTTTATAAAAACACTGCAAAGTCAACTCGTCCCCAGTTTTAACTGAAACAAAACTTATTTCTTGATGGACAGATTTCAGAGCAGTCGTCTGAGCTGAAGTGAAATGAGAGACAAAGCAACAGCACAATTACTTTGATGTGACAGAATTCAGTGCAATCAGTGTAGTAAAAATATTAGAAACATTTGTATGAGGACTGACCATATACTCTTACAAATAAAAGTCATAAAATGTAACTTACCCATTTTGCCCAAGAGGAAACATGTGAGACAGAGCGCAAACACTGGAGATGTCATCATGTTCAAACTGCTGTGCTGAATGAAAGAACATCAATGGTTCCTTGACTCTTCAGAGACAAGAATGCATTTGATTGGCCAGCCTGAAGTGACACTGTATGTCCTGTATAGGAAACATGATCACATGATCACTGCTCATTTACTGTGAAGTCATTTTTGAGAAAAGGATGACATGGTTACAGATATATGTGTCCAATTTAAACATGTCAGCAAAAAGAGGGTTAATAGTTGCTAATGGACTGAACATTATTACATTTAACATTTAAAGGTATTACATCAACAAATGAAGAGTGTGTGTTACTCCTTCACGACAAACTGTGTTGTGTGTTGTATACAGGAAGAGGGGGGCAGGACATGGATGTGACATGACACTCAAAGGCACCTAAAACCATGTTACTCAACACCTCAAATTAGTACAATTAGAGATGGAATTTCAGGGCCATTGCTGATACAATTACCAATAATGTTAATCTAACAAGTGCAAAAATGTGTAAATATATTTTTTTTTAGGTTGACAGGTTTTATTTTCTAATTCACCATCAAAATGTATAGCGCCTTCACCATGCCTACAATATAGAATGAATATTAGCAACTTCCCATAATGTTAATTTCATATTTTAATATGTAGAATAATTAATGACAGGCCTTACTGATAACCATGTATAGACTACAAACCCATCAGAATAACTTCACATAATATTGGGCTAATAATATTTACCTAGAGCTCAGATTTCTTACAATAAACAACTGAGGGCATCATTCATCCTCCCTATGCTGCTGATCTGAAGAATCACCATGCTTCCACAAATGTAACACATTTTAAGTTACATAGCTAATTCAGCCGCTACCTACAATTATCATGTATGACACAAAAAGCAGCAAAACCACAGAAATGCAGAATCTCAGTTTGAGGTCACAGCAGGTTTATGGTAAAAGCACACTTTGGAAGGCCTTACAATTTGTCATGAACAGTACTGTATTTGGTTTGCATTTCATAATATTCCAACTAAAAAGTAATCTGGCTGTAGTTGCAGTATTGTTAAATGAGACCTGATAAAGATTCTGCCATTCTGGATGTTTACTGGAAGTGGTTTTTGGATTGAAGCGGTACCTATCTGAGAGTGCCCATGGAAGGTAGAAACAAACCTTGGTTTCTGTCCCAGAATTTGTTTATATCAGTAAAGCATTGCAGCAATATCACCTTCACTGAAGTATTGACCTCGTCAAAAATGTCTCCCGATGAAAAGAAGAGGACAATTTCAGTTAAGTTGTCTCATCTGAAATGAAAAATTATGATGTTGATTTAAATGAATGTAACCACACCCAACATAATCAGTATATGAAACATACACTGAAAAAACCTGAGTAACAAAACACAACTCACCCACTTTCCCCAAGACAGACCCAAGATAGAGAGCAAACACAGTGCAAACTGCGGTGTGAAATGAAAACAACATTGACAGTTGCTCCACTCTTTGGAGATAAAACTGTTTGGTTAGCCAATCTGAAGTGTTTGTCCTACTTAGGAAAGATCACATGTGCAATGCCCATCATAGTAACAAGTTTAGTTTTTTTAGAAAAGGTTCAGACATTCAGCTCCATTTACCTCCACTGTACTGGACTGGCAGCAGAAGTCAGATAAATTCTTCATGAATAACTACCACTTGGCATAAAGTGGGACATGCTTTTAACATTTAAAAAGCAGGCTGTTGGTCTCACAGAGTCGATATAATCATATAAATCTGACCCGATAAGGGCCCTGCTGTTGTTGATGGTTTACGTGGCTTTAGCCTCAACACACTTATGCTGAAAACAACAAATGCTGCTGCCAAGAAAGAGACAGCGATAAAGAAAAAACGTTTGGGTGTGTCTGTGAGTCAGAACAAGTCAAAGAGTAATGAATGCTTCATTTCTTTTCTGCTCATGGTCATTGTACAAAAACAGTGACCAAACATCTTACCAAGCATAACTATTGTATCTCATAATGGCTTTGCTCCTGTTACACCTGGTCTACATCTGCTGCATAGTGAGAGCAGCATGTCTGCAGCAGCTACAGTCCGCCATCAGTATCAGCCTTAATGCTGCTGTACGCTTAGACACAGCTCAGTACACAGTCAGTGTAGTTACCAAGTGTGAACCTACCGTTACGTCACCCATTGGTTTGTGGAGTACCATCTTGAAGCCTCGAGTTCATCTTTTGCTACCAGCAGTGGTGACTAGGGGTGTAAGAATATATCCAAAAGTATCGTATTGCAATATTCTGTTTATATATGTAGTATCAATTCTCAAAAACACAATCAATTTCTATCTTTTAACCTCCAACTGCTAGACAGCAGTGTTGTAAACTGAGGGTTCTGATGTTGGATTTTACAATGACTGTGATGAATAAAAGTACATATCCCACTGCTCTAGCTGCGTAACAAAGTCACCTTAATCTTACTCAGATTTTATGCATATGGTTGCGTGTTCTTTACGCTATGTTTTTTCCAAAAATTAGGTTTAAATAAAAAAATAATGGCAATATATCACCTTGCTTACAGTATCACAATATATTGCAATATATTGAATCGTGACCTTTGTATAATTACAGTATATGTATCGTATTACCAGATTCTTGCCAATATACAGCCCTAGTGCGGACGTACTGCGGGTTGGCTGTGATAAATTTCAACCGGTCTTTCGCAGGAAATTATGGCGGCTTGCCAGATGACACACTTTCTTGTATCGCAGATAAGCAGTACAATAAAGTAGGTATTTAAGCAAGAAATCAGCAATGCAGTAACAAAATCCTGATTCACATTTCATCAGCACTGCCTAGTTTAATAGTTTAATTTGAGTTTCATGCATTGGGTTCGACAGACTCACTGAGAATGACCTGTCAATCAAAATGTAACCACGCCCTAAAGCATACCCTACTTTTTCATCTATTTTACTCTAAATGGGACCATAATTTACTAAATGAACATCATGCTGTATGGAAGAAGACTTGAAACTAAAGACTGAGACCATAAACTCATTAGGAAACTGTTTACTGAGCTAATAAAGTAAGTGAGAAGTAGGCCCATTATCAATGGAGACGAATACAAACGCAGGTTTTTTGAAGAAACTGGGTTCAAGACACCTCACCACTCAGACCTGGAATCTCTGTCCACTAATTATTTACTGTCAATGGTAGTAGGGCTGCACAATTAATAGAAATATTAGAAAAACTGCAATTTGGCCAAGTGCAATATGCAAATCACAGAAGCTGCAATTTGTCTGATAAAGGTAAAATATGTATCAAAGCAGCTTTATTAAGTACTGCAGTGCTGCAAAGAAAGCCTGGCCTACAAATCTTCTTCTCCAAATGTAAAGAAACATGTTTGTCTGGTACAGACCACAAAAATGTCACCTCATCATGATTTTAAATAGGTTTTTTTTCAATGAAAATGAAAATAGTGACGCAAAAATTAAAAAAATAAATAATTCCCACTGATTGTTCTCATGTGTACTTTTTGCATTTTCATTTGCATGCACATAGCAAACACAACAGGGACCCAGTTGTAAAAACATTGCTCTGTAGTGCTACTGAAGGTTTAAAACCCCATGGGTTACCTTTTAATTTATCAAGTCAAACATGCTTGAGACGAACAATTGAAAAACCCTCTGCAACATTATCATTCAACAACACACACTGAGAACACATGAATTTTCACTGTGAGGTAGGGCTGGGTATTATTAAAAAAATATTTGATACCGATGCCTTGACTTCGATACCGGTTTCCGAAAACTTCTACACCAGTTTTATAAAATACATTTTAACATTATACTTTATGATACAGTTACTCACTTTAAAGGAGGAAGCTGTCCAAAGATGGGGAAGCTGTTACTACTCTGTGCACTTTACTCAACCTGGATGAGTGTACAAAATTGATAAAATAAAACATAATATCTGTATGGACTATATAAAACATTTTAATTACTGTCAGTGGAACATTGATTACAAACACTATGGCAGCAATAAGTCTAGTCTAACCCAAAAAAGAAAGGCAATATACTTGATTCTCAAGTATATCATGACAATCTATTTGAAAGTACCTTAAATAACCATGAAATAGATAACTGACTACTTACGTAAGACAATTTACAAAGTAAAAATAAGGAGACATCCTGCTTGAAACCACAAAGACAAACACAAGAAAGTACAGCGCCCTAAATAGAGATCATATCTAGCTCTAGATATCGTGTCATTTGACTGGAGACCACAAGGTATATGAAAAATATTTATCTCAAATCTACATTACACTTTGGAAGAACAGTAAAAATTCTACTGCTTCACACTGGAGTACACACATTCATTATTGGAGCTTTTCCTCTGTCTTCTTGATCTGTTGGGCAGGTTGACACGTAAAGCAGCATAATGGAGGTTGTCTGCGTCTCGGTGACCCTGGCAGCACAATATGTCAAAGTAAATCAATACCAAAACTTTAAACAATATACCAAATTTTTCGTTTTTATATAAATGAATGCGTCTGAATGGAAATTCACCAGATCATTTAATGAAATAAATCAGACCTCTGCATTTGCTGTGGAGGGAGCTGAAAATCTTGCTTGAGACTCTGATTGTGAAAAACAGAAAAAGCTCTTTTAATCAACAGCCATGTTAAGGGGACACAAGCAGATACATACAGTGTTAGTTACTGTACCTGCAGATTGGAAACCGTTTCTTTTGTTCATCTTGTACATTGAGACAGTCAGTAGAACAACCAGGATGGTGGTGAATGCCAAAGCTCCACTCAAGAAATACACCAAGACAGGAGAGTTCACCTCATCTACAAAGAGACAGACGGAGGTTTTGGCTTTTAACTCTATGTTCATCTTAAGTTTGAGGGGCTAAGAATGTATTTATCAAGTGGGACAACTTATGTTTGAAAGCCACTTACTTTCAAAGTCCAGCTTGGTCCCGTCTCCAAACAGTATGTGTCCACATGAGAAAACAGCACAGTAGTAGGTCCCAGCATGAGAAAGATTCAGGCTCTGCATTGGCAAGTTGTAGACACAGGTGTGTGTTTGTGTGTTGGGTTTCCTCTCACACTGATCATTACTGCCTCCATGGGTGTAAATGAGTCCTGGATGAGATTCTTTAGAGGTTTTGAACCAGTAAACACTGTGTTCTCCATCACAGGTCCCAGTGTGTACTGTACAGTTCAGAGTCACAGAACCTCCTGGCTGGATGCTCTCAGATGCTGACTGATGGACCGAAGCTGGGATGTTCAGACCTGAACCCTTTACACTGACAGTAATGCTCTCAGAAAATTCTAATGTGTGTAAAAAGTAACTTATGCAGTTGTAAGAAGCTGAGTCTAAAATTTGCAAATCTGTGATTTCCAAGTGATTTTTACCTTTTTCCGTATCCAGTGTGAAGCGTGGATTGTTCTCGAATACACCATAAAAAGCCTTTTTTTTATCAAGTATGGAGTAACTGGAGATGAGCATTGGTTTCTGTCCCAGAGGTTGTTTATACCAGTAAATCCTTGCAGGAACATTTTCTTTATAGAAACACTGCAAAGTCAAGTTGTCTCCAGTTTTAACTGATATTAAACTTATCTCTTGATAGACAGATTTCAGAGCAGTCGTCTGAGCTGAAGTGAAGTGAGAGAAAAAGAAAAAGCAGTTACTTTTATGTTCAACGTAATCAGTGTAGTAACATTAGAAATATTTGTATGAGAAGTTATCATAAACTTAAAAGTCATAAAATGTAACTTACCCATTTTGCCCAAGAGGAAACATGTGAGACAGAGCGCAAACACTGGAGATGTCATCATGTTCAAACTACTGTGCTGAATGAAAGAACATCGATGGTTCCTTGACTCTTCAGAGACAAGAATGCATTTGATTGGCCAACCTGAAGTGACACCCTATGTCCTGTATAGGAAACATGATCACATGATCACTGCAAACTGTAGTGGTAAGTTTGGTTTTTGATAAAAGGTTCAGATTGTGAGAGATATGAGAGGAACATTACAGCTCCTTATTGAGTTTAAATCACTGGAAATGCATGTTTGTATACAGATAGATTACAATTAAATTTCAGTTGCATCCCCAAGACCTCTGCCAATCATTTCAATATTCCTACAATCCCAAATCTGTAATTCCACATTTAACACAATTCCCAGAAATATTTCAATCATATTTATTAACTTTATCTCTTGTAGAGTAGCTTCTGTACAGTATTTAATATTGGATTGCAAATGGATGGAAATCAGAGGTTTGGAATAGATTTTAAATTGCATATACCTAAAAAACTTCTTCATTAGACAAACCACATTTATTTTGCAGACCGGTCTAGTTGTTTCCATCCAATAAATCCTTAATGGTTTATCCCTCTATCCCTCCACGGAGACCATCTTAATGGTGAGTTTTAAGGACCTTTCCAAGGATTGTTCCATAAGGGAGTTCTTTTTGGAACTTATATCAACTCACTCCAGATACTCTCCATTTTTCTCCATGTTGTTGTCTCTTACAATACAATTGATACAACTTGTGATTTTATCCTTTGAAAATATATATGAAAAGAGGTTTTGAGGTTGCTCTTATATTGTGTTCTTGACTGTGTGACATAAGTAAAATGCTTGAGAAGCATGGTGATATAATTCTAGATTATATCAAACCTTTCTCTTAATTATATGATAATTCTATGATTTTCCTTTCCCCATATAAAGTCTGTAATAGTAGAATATGCTTTTTGTAAACAATATGTCAGGTGGGGGTAATTAGTATGTTTGAAAACAGAAATAAAAAGACATGCCATTTTAAATAGATTCATTCTTCCTGTAAAGTTTTTAGGGAAATTCATCCATTTAATCAAGTCAGATTTTATAATGTTGAGTAACAAAATAAAACTTTCTGTCTTAGAGCTTGGAGATTTTGCCCATTATAGAGGGGATTACAGACTGATGTAGTGATTTTTTGATGGAATGAAAATGGGCGATTTTACACTAATATGTCTCTAGACAGGTCTGTAATTTTATACTCTATTGTGTTAAAAAAGCAAACTAACAAAAAACATATAGGCATTTTGTTTCTTAATGTGGTGCTGAGCTATTTGATTAATTTGAATAACTTTAATGTACTTAAAGTGTGCACTGTATCGGATCAGGACTCGGTATTACCAGATACTCAATAATAAATGACTCGCATCTGATCAGAGGCCAAAAGAACTTGATTGGGATCTCCCTAAACATTCACTGTTTTGAGAAGAGGACAGCTATAATGGAGTGTGTGTGTGTGTGTGTGTGTGTGTGTGTGTGTGTGTGTGTGTGTGTGTGTGTATGTGTGTATGTGTATGTGTGTGTGGGTGTGTGTGTGTCGCTGGTTGTCGTTTACAATGTGTGGTGAAACCTGCAATGTAAAAAACTGTGTGACTGAGCCCTGAGAATGTCTCAGGTCCTTTCACTGTGAGGGGAACGGGGCATTTATTCGTCCTCTGACTGCACTACACAGTGAATGTGAGCACAGCACGCTTTTCTCTCTCTCATAGACTGTATGCTCCCTCTCGACTATGTGTTGGGAAAATATACACGCGGTACACAATAGGGTAGGATTTGAGCTTTCAGTCTGCAAATTGTATCTTCATCCACCTAAATTCTCAGCTCAACGTGTTATCCTACACAAAAGACTGTTCATGTTTCAGTACATTGAGAGGGATTACGCAGCCAGAGCTCCAGTCAGTGCTGAACAATTGGGTGAATAAATCTTTATAACACATGTTTATACTGAACAATACATAGTGATTCAGTACACTCAAAAGAACTGTTTGACGACTCACTCACTTATTGAGATGGGTGAGGTCACCATGATAAGCGCGGTGCAGGAAGAGTTACTTCTGGATAGAACACACACACACACATATTGTTTGATACTCAAAGTGCTAGAAATTTGAATTGTTTATTTGATCATTAACAACATAAAATTCACAAACAATTCATTACTTTGGTAAAAACATTGATAAACACAAAGTATGAGAAAATCTAGATCCTTAAAGCAAGAGTGATGTCTCCAACAAAAAATAATCTAAGCTTCTAAATATAGCATATACTGGTTAACTTAAAAAAAGTATTCACCCATATGTACTAGAAATAACACTATAATTGCAACTACATGGTAAACAAAGTCAATCAAAAACAAAAGTATCCTAAATATACACATTAGCAAACATTAGAGCAATTTCATAATTTGGATGCAATCTACAACACTTCAGAAGAGGCACTCAGAAAATCCTGTCCAACTCAAAAACAAGCTACAAAGGTATATCCACCGATCAGCTATAACATTCTTATCACTGACAGGTGAAATGAATTACACTGATTATCTGGTAATCATGGCACGTGTCAGTGGGTGGGATGTATCAGGCAGCAAGTGAACATTTTGTCCTCAAAGTTGATGTGTTAGAAGCAGGAAAAATGGGCAGCGTGAGGATTTAAGCGACTTTGACAAGGGCCACATTGTGATGGCTAGATGACTGGGTCAGAGCATCTCCAAAGCTTCAGCTCTTGTGGGGTGTTCCCGGTCTGCAGTGGTCAGTACCGATTAAAAGTGCTCCAAGGAAGGAAAAGCAGTGAACCGAACACATCCAGGGTCATTGATCGGACGACACAGGCCAGCCATCTCTCCCCATATTGAAGTGTCCCCCAGGGTGCCCTTGCAGTGGGGAAACTTGGAGGAAGTGCCCTCTCTGGTGTGTTTCCAGTGGTAAAAATGTAGTAAAGTGTAAATCCTAACCCTGACAGAGCTGTTTCACCATAAACGCATCACAACGTTTTGCATGCAGGTGCACTTTTTATTCTTTTGACCTCTGCCGCTCAAAAAAGTCTTGATTTCTGGTTAAACAGGACCTGTGAGTTCCACCACCACCTGTCTAGTGTTCATCAGGGGGTTTTCGTTACCACACACTGCTTTGCTACCCCCTTAAAATATAATAAGGTCATGATGGGGTCGAATCGGCAAAAAATATTCATATTTCTCATCTTTATGGTGCACATGCCAAAAAATATATTGTTCAATCTTAACGAAGTCCGATTGAAAAGCTTTCCTATAGCTGAACCTCAATGTCATGTCTATTTAAGCGTCAGATAAATCGCTTAACTTGTAGTTATATCTGCACCATATGTGTGTCCAAAAAGCCGTTCAAAGGTCAAGAATTACTCTTACTTACATCATGGATGGATGAGGTCAGTCACATGCTTTGGTGCCACGTGTGACAAAGCAAGATGTGCTACTTTCCCGGGGATTGAACCCACATGCATTGTCTCATGGTCAAAATGATCCAAAAATAGATTTATTTGATCATTAATGTATATGGAAATGAATAATACACATACATAGTTTAAAAACCAAGACAAATAATACCTCTTATTTGTGTTGAGGTCCTCACAAGAGGCCCAAGAGAGCTTGTACAAACAAAACAAGAAAATCCTTACAAATGTATGTTTACAAAAATATTATGTTAAGATTTAAAAAATGTTTTGTGAGAGAACAAAGTAACAGTAGAAATCACCAAGACTCACCAAGACAAACAGAATATGCACGTTATAAAATCTTACCACAAGGAAGCTGGTAAACGTGTGTTGGTAGCTTCCTTGTGGTAAGATTTTATCGTTTACCTCTAGAGCTACGTCTAAATCTACATCACACCTCCCAAGAGATTCTAAGAAACTGACTCCTTACTCATACAATCCACTATTCTACTGCTTCACACTGGAGTACACACATTCATTATTGGTGCTGTTCCTCTGTCTTCTTGATCGGTTGGGCAGGTTGACACTTAAAGCAGCATAATGGAGGTTGTTTGTATCTTGGTGATCCTGGATAAAATATATAGAGCAGATCACAATTAGGTTTCTAACAACACAAATGTCAATGAGGCAGTTAATTGTGCTTCTATGAAGGCTGTTAAACAGTTAAACTGCTTTTACCTCTGCATTTGCTGTGAAGGAAGATGGTAATCTTGCTTGAGAATCTGATTGTGAAACAGGAAAAGTTATTTTATTCAATAGCTGAATTCAGTGAACACAAGCTGCCAGAAATAAAAGTACCAGTTACCTTTAGATTGGCAGCTGCTTCTCTTGTTCATCTTGTACATTGAGACAGTCAGTAAAACAACCAGGATGGTGGTGAATGCCAAAGCTCCACTCAAGAAATACACCAAGACAGAAGAGTCCACCTTTTCTACAGAGTCAGACATCAGATACAGAGCTTTCAGTGTGATTGCAGTTTTAATTCTAAGTTTGGTTGGAAGTAAGAATGACTAGTCAAGTACATTTTATGTATATAGCCCAAAATCACAAATTTAAAGTCTGTACGACATACAACACCATCTATTGTGAGACCAATAAGCTAAAGACAAACCCTTTAATGCTGAAACTACTGTTCAGTTTTTACTATTCATCAGACGAGACAAATTCTGCTAGAGGGTGACTTACCTTCAAAGTCCAACTTGGTCCCGTCTCCAAACAGTATGTGTCCACATGAGACAACAGCACAGTAGTAGGTCCCAACATGAGAAAGATCCAGGCTCTGCATTGGCAAGTTGTAGACACAGGTGTGTGCTTTTGTGTCGGGTTCCCTCTCACACTGATCATTACTGCCTCCATGGGTGTAAATGAGTCCTGGATGAGATTCTTCAGAGGTTTTGAACCAGTAAACACTGTGTTCTCCATCACAGGTCCCAGTGTGTACTGTACAGTTCAGAGTCACAGAGCCTCCTGGCTGGATGCTCTCAGATGCTGACTGATGGACCGAAGCTGGGATCTTCAAACCTGAACCCTTTACACTGACAATAATGCTCTCTGAAATGTCTAATGTGTATAAAAAGCAACTTATGCAGTTATAAGTAGCTGAGTCTGAAATTTGCAAATCTGTGATTTCCAAGTGATTTTTACCATTTTCCGTATCCAGTGTGAAGCGTGGATCGTCCTTGAATTCACCATAGAAAGTGTTATTTTTATCAAACTTGTAGTAACTGGCGATGAGCATTGGTTTCTGTCCCAGAGGTTGTTTATACCAGTAAATCCTTGCAGGAACATTTTCTTTAGAGAAACACTGCAAAGTCAAGTTGTCTCCAGTTTTAACTGATATAAAACTTATCTCTTGATAGACAGATTTCAGAGCAGTCGTCTGAGCTGAAGTGAAGTGAGAGACAAAGAAAAAGCAGAGTTACTTTCATGTGTTCAACGTAATCCGTGTAGTAAGATTAGAAATATTTGTATGAGAAGTTATCATAAACTTAAAAGTCATAAAATGTAACTTACCCATTTTGCCCAAGAGCAAACATGTGAGACAGAGCGCAAACACTGGAGATGTCATCATGTTCAAACTGATGTGCTGAATGAAAGAACATCAATGGTTCCTTGACTCTTCAGAGACAAGAATGCATTTGATTGGCCAGCCTGAAGTGACAACCTATGTCCTGTATAGGAAACATGATCACATGATCATTGCAAACTGCAGTGGTAAGTTTGGTTTTTCAGAAAAGGTTCAGATTGTAAGAGATATGAGAGGAACATTACAGCTCCTCCTTATTGAGTTTAAATCACTGGAATTACATGTATATATACAGACAGACTACAGTTCAATCTCAGTTGCATCCCCAAAACCTCTGCCAATCTTTTGAATATTGCTACAATCCCAAATTTTACTTTTTAAAAATATGATACACACACTCAGACCAGGTTGGATCCCTCTATATTCTTGATGTCTTGGTCAGTTTGATGCTTAAAGCGGCATAATAGAGGTTGTCTGCATGTTGGTAACCCTGGTAACAAAATATATATCACATATAACATAATTATTTTGTTCTTCAAAGAAAGCAATAAAATTATGTCTGAATGATATATCCTAAGTCAATTTACACTCAACAGTTTTTATTCACCTCTGTATTTGCTGTGGAGGGAGCTGGTGATCTGGTTTGAGATTCTGGTTGTGACACAGCAAAAGCTCTTTATTCAAAATGTTCAGTGAATACAAGCTGTCAGTTTCAAACAGTAGTAGTTACCTGAAGATTGGCAACTGTTTCCTTTGTTCATCATGCACATTCACAAACACAGCTTATAGCATGCTTTCTGTTTTCATCCTAAATTTGTTCGGGAAGTAACAATGAGCATTTATCAGATGCACCAACTGAGTCCTGGATGAGATTCTTCAGAGGTTTTGAACCAGTAAACACTGTGTTCTCCATCACAGGTCCCAGTGTGTACTGTACAGTTCAGAGCCACAGAGCCTCCTGGCTGGATGCTCTCAGATGCTGACTGATGGACCGAAGTTGGGATGTTCAAACCTGAAGCCTTTACACTGACAATATTGCCCTCTGCAAAATGCATGACAAATGTATTCATACTTGCGCAGTAGTATGTAGCTGAGTCTGAAATGTTCAAATCAAAAATTGTCCAAATGTATGTACTGTTTTGAATACTCAGTGTGAAACGTGGATTATTATTGAATTCATGATAAAAAGTGTTTTTTATATTAAACACATAGAAGGTAGAGATGAGCCTCGGTTGCTGTCCCAGAGTTTGCTTAAACCAGTAAAGCCATGATGAATCACCGCCTTCATAGAAACAATGCAAAGACACACTGTCTCCAACATTAGCTGATATAAAACGTCTCTCTTGACCAACAGATGAGGACGATTTCACATCAGTCGTCTGAGCTAAAGTGAAATGAGAGACAAAGCAAATACACGTTACTTTCATGTGACAGAATTCAGTGTAATTATTACATTAGAAACATTAGCCACATTGCTATGAGGAGTGATCATACAATAAAAGATACAAACTGGATGAATAAATACACAACTCACCCATCTCTCCCAAGAACAAACATGTCAGATAGAAAGCAAACTTTGCAGACGTCTTCATGTCCAAGTTGTCGTGCTGAATGAAGGAATACTGATAGTTTCTCCTCTCTTCAAAGACCAGACTGTGTTTGATTGGTTGGCCTGAAATAACGCTGTATGACAGACAGGAAACCCAATCACATGCTCAGTAGCACCAATAGAGTCAAGTTTGGTTTTTGAGTACTTTAACACAGCTAGAAATATATTTAGAACCTCATACTGGCATTGGATTTTAAAATAAGTGATCTGTATCAAACATAAACACTAGTACCAATGCACAATAGGAGTTCTCTCTTAACGTTCAGCAATGGACTGGATGCAGTCGACAAAAGATCATTTTGATCAAATGATGCACAGTTGATACCCTATAATTATTTTTAAAATAATATTTCAAGCTGTAGTCTACCAACACTTTCTTATGTATGATTATCGTTTCTAGTTAGTTTTGTAACTCGTTCTCTTAAGTGTTTAGTATTAGATGCTGGTAAGAAAATGTGAATTTGTGTGAGAGCAAAAACACCTTTCGACCCTCCTAAAAAACACAATAACAGCTGCACTGACATAGGTACAATGCAACAAAACTACTTCCTTGTTCACACAGTGTGTGACGGCTGCCTCGCTGAACTGCTGCAGCACCACGCCTATGGTGTCCACACACACAGAGTGTTTCTGCTGCGAGCTGCTGCTGCCAGCTCTACCTTTCTAGACTTTTTCTATACTATATATTGCTATCATGCTCACACTGACTAGGCTAGCACATGTGTGTCTTGCAGGTATAACCTTAACAATGCAAACCTTACTTTAGTGTGTTAGCATGATAACATTATCAAATTGCCAGTAGTATGTCATTAGTTAACCCTTATTTATTCAGGAAGATGTGTTACGAGAGAGACCTGTGAATAGATACGTCACAACAAAACCATTCAGTCACACAAGGAGTCATCACAAACACAGACACACACACACACACACACACACACACACACACACACACACACACACACACACATATACTTGCCATGCTAAATAAAAAAAAGAGCAATGAGTGTCTGTAACTCTTTTGTTTTTCACTGTATTCCAGTAGTGAGGTGTATAATGAATTTTCCTTAGTTTAGAGTTGGTATGAGGATCGGTTAAAGCTAACATATTTTGTAATCTGGTGTCAAAGTTGTTCAAATTTAACTCAATTAGGGATGGAGTTGTGATAGTTGTCTTGTGGTAGACAGCACTGACCGTTTTGTAGCAGTATGAGCATACTGAATATCCCCATAATTCAGTGTAAATGCCGTAGTGAATTGTATAATGTTTTTTTTCTGTTTTGGAATAAGAATCCAGTTCAACTTTTAAGTTGTAGTCTAAATTTTTACATAGGTTTTGTAGGTCAAACTGCTATCCAACCCAATTTCTAAGCACTTAAAATTCTGTACTGTATCGATCTATAGATTTCCATTAAGAGTATGGATCAGAGCAATAAATACATTTAGTGTTTTAGGAGTTTAGAGAAAGCTTTAATCCTAAAGATCACCAAAAGTAGACGGTAATCTGGTGAAGGCCTGCTTTGTGGTACAGCTGATTGAACAACCTGAGCTTTTTTCCATATTATGAGAATTTGCCAGGGGGAAAAGTTGTATTAAAAATTTGTAAGTGAAACAGTAATAACAGAATGGAGAGTAGTTTGTACTGCAGGTCAAATTTGTCTTCGCCAGAGGATTTAGGTTTATCAGCGGATTGTATACCCTGAGTATGTGACAAGTTTGCACGAAAATTTGCTATGATGGTTGAAAAGGTTGAACTAGGAAGGACACACTCTTGCTATGTTGGGGTAGGAAAGACTAATTCCTTCACTCTGCTGCGCAACACGACTAATCCAACAAGACACCCAACTAAGACCTGATCAGTTGTCTCTGTGTACAAACAAGCGAGCGGTGGAAAGAGAACTCTAGTTTGAGCACATAGACCTAGAACTTAATAATGTTATTCACAATTACATTGTCAATGTACTAGTTATTGCATAAATGACTGTGGTAGAGGTCATACTCGTACTATGGACACTTCAGACAGCTGTAAACCAACAGCAAGCAAAGATTACTTGATTAAGTGTTAGGTACTATCTCTGCTGTCAGGTTATCAAACTAGACGTAGGTTCTGTAGGATTCTATTACTGAAGGTCAATAGAAAAACCTTCCTGTGCCATTTTATTGTTCTTTAATATCGGTCATTTAGTTTCACCAATCTTCGACTCAGTAGGGCAGGTTGGACAATCATATGCTTTTCTGATACACAAAAATTAAGAAGCCAGAGAAAGTGCTACCCAGGAGTGAATGAAGATGCACACGTATCATTTTAAGATCAGAGTGTTCCATAAATATATTGGCTTTATTTGATCACTTTTAAGTTAGAATGGACATATGGAAGCACTTACACAATTTGGTTTGATTGAACTTAATCCAGATGTCAGCAATCAATTACAAACTACATTATCTGTAATGTGTATGTCTGTATGTTTGATGGCAGAGAAATGTAAAACATGGGTACGGTTAGCGATGATTTACTTGGTTATGGTTAGGAAAAGTTTGATTTTATGGTTAAAAAAATGGCAATGTTACCTATATGTCTGTGACAAGGTGTGAATCAAAGTCTAATACACAACCATCTACCACCACAACTCCCTCACTGTACTTTACACCTCAATAATTAAATGGCACACTTAATCTTGTACAGAATGTTGAAATTGGACGCAAATCTTCAGCTGTGCAAACACTTAATATGGACATAATACCTAATACTGGCTTGCATCTTTTGACAGCAGATGACACGGAACATACACAAATATATTTTTACAATATACATCAACATTACGTTTGAAACAATATCTAGTAAATGCAATATCTATGAATAACCAGAAATGTTACATGTACATGTCCAGTTCTACTGCTTCACACTGGAGTACACACATTCATTATTGGTGCTGTTCCTCTGTCTTCTTGATCTGTTGGGCAGGTTGACACTTAAAGCAGCATAATGGAGGTTGTCAGCGTCTCTGTGACCCTGGAAAAAAAAAAGTTGAATTATTAGGATATTGATCCTAATTGAAATTTTTAAATCTGTCCATAAAACAATTGGTTGCAATAAAATTGTGTTTTAATGATAATGAATGGATTATTAAAATACATTTTACCTCTGAATTTGCCTTGGAGGGAGCTGATAATCTTAGTTGAAACTCTGATTGTGAAACACAGAAAATGCTCTTTTATTAAGTTATATTTTGTGAATACAAGCTGTCAGATACAAAAGTACCAGTTACCTGTAGATTGGCTGCCGCTTTTCTTCTTCATCTTGTACATTGAGAAAGCCAGTAAAATAACCAGGATGGTGGTGAATGTCAATGCTCCACTCAAAAAATACACCAATACAGGAGAGTTCACCTTATCTACAGAGTCAGAAACACAACAGCTTTATCTCTGTGTTCATACAAAGTCTGGTTGGAATGCTCATCAAAAGGTGAGCTCTGCTAGAAATTTACTTACCTTCAAAGTCCAGCTTGGTCCCGTCTCCAAACAGTATGTGTCCACATGAGGCAACAGCACAGTAGTAGGTCCCAGCATGAGAAAGATCCAGGCTCTGCATTGGCAAGTTGTAGACACAGGTGTGTGTTTGTGTGTTGGGTTTCCTCTCACACTGATCATTCCTGCCTCCATGGGTGTAAATGAGTCCTGGATGAGATTCTTCAGAGGTTCTGAACCAGTAAACACTGTGTTCTCCATCACAGGTCCCAGTGTGTACTGTACAGTTCAGAGTCACAGAGCCTCCTGGCTGGATGCTCTCAGATGCTGACTGATGGACCGAAGCTGGGATCTTCAAACCAGAACCCTCTACACTGACAGTAGTGCCCTTTGTAAAATTCAAGACATATATAGAGATACTTGCACAGTAGTATGTAGCTGAGTCTGAAATGTTCAAATTAAAAATTGTCAAAATGTATGTACTGTTTTGAATACTCAGTGTGAAGCGTGGATTATTATTGAATTCATGATAAAAAGTGGTTTTTGTATTAAACACATAGAAGGTAGAGATGAGCCTTGGTTGCTGTCCGAGAGTTTGCTTAAACCAGTAAAGCCATGATGAATCACCGCCTTCATAGAAACAATGCAAAGACACACTGTCTCCAACATTAGCTGATATAAAACGTCTCTCTTGGCGAACAGATGAGGACAATTTCACATCAGTCGTCTGAGCTGAAGTGAAATGAGAGACAAAGCAAATACACAATTCATTAAATCTGAAAGTTTCAGCATAATTATTTCATTAAAAACGTTAGAATTATTTCAATGAAGAGTTGCTATAAAGTAAAAGATACAGACTGAAGCCACAGAAACACTACTCACCCATTTTCCCGAAGAACAAACATGCCAGATAGAAGACAAACTTTGGAGATGTCATTGTGTTCGAATTCTTGTGTTGAATGATACGAATCTCATTACCTTCTCCACATTAAAGAGACAAGACTTGCGTTTGATTGGCTGGCCTGAGTGACACTATGTCCTACTCCTACATGATCACATGTTCACTGCCACCAATAGTGTCAAGTTTGGTTCTTGAGAAGATTGACACGGTGGGATATTTATGAAAAAAATAACATCTCCTTATCTTGGTATCATATTTAAAACTTAAGGGGAAAATGGGTATATAGACCAGTAATGATGTACAGTAGATTCTAATTCTGCTCAAATTGTACCAATGCATTATGTCCAACAGATACAGAAACATGCAGGTATGATAATTTGCCTAGACATTTAAAAAAACATCAGTAATGATAAAACTGAGTATTTATAAAAAATAAAAAATCCAATTCTAAGTTGATTTTGAATATCCTGATTCTGGTAAAAACCTAATAGCTAAATACCAGTGAAAAACATGGCTTTAAAGAATTTTGGAACTGACCCTTGAAAAGATTTTAAAGCTTAGATGTTATTTTCATTATTATTAATAAATGGTAATTATAATAGTCTTTTTTAAATTGTCAGCTTGCATCTGCTTGTTAGAACAGTTTGTAATCTTAAGTCCCAAAATACACTGTGCAACTAATATATTCCATCTATTGTTTTTGTTGTTGTTAGCATTATTATAAATAGTACCCCAACTAAGTAGTCTTCTAAGAATTTGCGTTAGTGGTATTATTAGTATTACTATTTATATTGCTGGTTTCAGTGTTAAGTATTAGTCTTTGTTGTGTGATGTAATGTCACTTAATTGGGACTCCACTGTTTTTAGGTCTGTTAGAGGTCTTTGGGCTGAAGGAGAATCTATGTGGGAGTGCAACTACCTATACATCCTGCTTAAAACCACAGTAGCTGCTGCACAGACTGACAGAGATACTAAGCCAGAGCATGGGGGTAAATGTTAAAAGGTCTGTATTCATAGTAGGAGCAGTGCCAAAACAAAACATTTTGCTCTTCATAACGACTGCCGTATGTCATAGAGACTATCCTACAGAGCAAATCATTCCATTCCCCACCGCACCACCAGGGTGCATGTTTCTGGAGAAGGTATTTGGATCCTGAAAGTAGCAATACTGCAGTACCTGAATTTGACCAAAAAAATGCCAGTACCCAGTAATTCAACACAAACCAATGACATACCCACGACATAATGCTATTTTTTTTCCCGCATTTTTTTCTCTATTTTAACAAGGATATTTTCAGCGTCGTTTTTACTCGGCTTTAGCTAGCTATGTGTTTACACGGAAACACAGCCAATCAGAGGCAGAGTAGGGCGGGTATACACAGAATGCCGGTGGGGGAAAAAAGTCAAGCACTACACGGATGTTAAAGTGTTTGTACCAGACCGAAAGTGGCAGAATGCATTAAGAAGTAAGGGTACTCATGTGGACAAAATTCTGAAGTGTTTGTACTCAATACAGGTGAGTTGCAACCCATTTCAGGCACTGCTGCAGTATAAAACCACTCCATTACAAGTCAAAGAAATGCATGGAAAATGTCAGCAAAATGTTCTTCTGTAAAAAATAGTAACTAAAGCTGTCAAATAAATGCAGTGGAGTAAAAAGTACAATATAATAAGTGCCACCACAATACATTACATTATATTTCTGTCAAACACAAAAAGTCATGCAGTTACAGGTGGCCAGTGGAGAGCCATCTAGGGGAGCAGGTGGGTGAGGGCTGATGTGGGGGTGAGGTTGAAGCCACAGTTGTATATCTACTGGCCTACCAAGCCACAACTACACCACTGCTACCAGCAGAAAGAGAATTCTCAGGCACAAACCTTCTAAAACACTAACTTTAACACTTAATTTCCCAGTTACATAGTCAAAGTGCTGATGTCAAGGCCGAGGCATATATGAAGGTGGTGGAGGTCAGACTTGTGAAGACTATGAAGATGCTTAAATATGTGGGCAGAGGCCAGATGTTCAAATAGTATTTGATACACTAGAGTATAATAAGAATTTTGACAGTTAACACATTTTTTTAAATCTTTGCATTAATGGCATTTCCACCTTTTTCCACCAAACCTCTCTTGTACTTTGGTCCTGGTCATTGATAGCTCCACTATTTGCCCGAGGTGGATGAGGGTAGTAACATGCTTTCTCCACTATCCATGGCACCTCTATTGTGGATGGAACACACACACAGACAGTAAGTGTTCCAAAGTTAAGTTTGTGTATTTTATCCCTCACCCAAGATGCTATTTAATTATTTGGATAGAACACTTGATATAAATGATATAAGACAAAGGAGTCCACGACATATTTTAATGATTGTCAAAGTCCATGAGTCACTTGCACAACATTGATCAATCCAAAAAAGGACGACTGTAAAGATATTCTGCTTAAAAGAAAACAACAAAGAAAGTAGAGGGTCTCAAACATTACCACAGCAATTTTATCTTCATAATATCCACATATAATACTGAGACAATCCTATTTTATTCTCAAAGAAAGTACAGATTTCACATTCAGCAGTTCTGCTGCTTCACTCTGGAGTACACACATTCATTCTGGGTGTTGTCTCTCTGTCTTCTTGATCTGTAGGCAGTGTTAACATTTAAAGCAGCATAATGGAGGTTGTCTGCTTCTTGGTGACCCTAATAAAAAAATATATATAAGTCAGCATAACATGATACAGAGTGAAGATATGGTTCCTAATTAAAACATGTCCACAAGGAAATTATTTGTTAATTCACCTCTGCATGTGCTGTGGATGGACCTGCAGATCTTGCTTGAGACTCTAAGAAACAAAGACATGTATTTTTATGCAAAGCCAAACACAGTAAATACAAGCTTTCAGATACAGTTCAGCACCACCTACCTGAAGCTTTGTAGCTGTTGTTCATCTTGTACATTGAGACAGTCAGTAAAACAACCAGGATGGTGGTGAATGCCAAAGCTCCACTCAAGAAATACACCAAGACAGAAGAGTTCACCTCATCTGTAGAAAGACAGACACCAGAAACAGAGCTTTCAGTCTGTTTTCTGCTTTTACCCCAAGTTTGTTTGGAAGTCAAACGTTGACTAGTCGAGGAAAAACTTGAATGAATGAGTGGAGAAACATGACAAATGCTGATGCTTTCATACAGTACTTGAGGGGCCATTGAATAGTTTGATCAGAATGAAAATCATGTGAATCAATTGGAAGTATATAAGAGACTAGAGAGAGTTCCAGAGATGAGGAGGTTTGTGTTGCTTTTCCCTTTAATTTGTCACCCACATTGCCCAAAATGACAAATGTGCTTATGACACCCTCTACTGTTAGACCCTCCATTCAGATAAGCAAACAAAGACAAACTCTTTAATGGGGAAACTACCATCACCTTTTTAGTACTCTTCAGATGAGACAACTGTTAGACAATTAGTTACTTCAAAGTCCAACAATCATTAAGCTGTACCTTTTTAAAGTTTGATAATGGAGTAATTGTAAATACTTCTCTGCTAGAACTTTGCAGTACTTACCTTCAAAGTCCAGCTTGGTCCCGTCTCCAAACAGTATGTGTCCACATGAGGCAACAGCACAGTAGTAGGTCCCAGCATGAGAAAGATCCAGGCTCTGCATTGGTAAGTCGTAGACACAGGTGTGTGTTTGTGTGTTGGGTTTCCTCTTACACTGATCATTCCTGCCTCCATGGGTGTAAATGAGTCCTGGATGAGATTCTTCAGAGGTTTTGAACCAGTAAACACTGTGTTCTCCATCACAGGTCCCAGTGTGTACTGTACAGTTCAGAGTCACAGAGCCTCCTGGCTGGATGGTCTCAGATGCTGACTGATGGACTGAAGCTGGGATCTTCAAACCCGAACCCTTTATGCTGACAATAGTGCCCGCCCCAAACTCAAACATAAATGAATAACTGCTTGCACAGTAGTAAGTAGCAGAGTCTGACATTTGTGCATCTGAAATTTTTAAGTGATTCTCACCAGCTTTAGTTTGCAGTGTGAAGCGTGGACTGTTCTTGAATTCGTGATAAAAAGTGCCATTTTTATCAGACCTAAACGTAACACATATAAGTCTCGGCTTCTGTCCGAGAGTTTGCTTGTACCAATGATACTTTGCACCCGAATCGTCATAGAAACATCGTAAAGTCAAGTCGTCACCAACATTAGCTGATATAAAGCCACTCTCTTGACGCACCACCGTGGACTCTTTCAGATTACTCATGTGAGCTGCAGTGAAATGGGAGACAAAGCAAAGACAGGATTGCTTTTATCTGACTGAAATTATTTAATAATCTGAGAAAAGCACTTACATTAGGGCTGACTATACATTAACTCAAACTGCTTTCATTGAAACACAACTTACCCATTTCCCACACGAACAGACATATCAGATAGAAAACAAACTTTAGAGATGTCATCGTGAAGAAATTGCCATGTGGAATGAAAAGCACCTTGATAGATTTTCCACTCCTCACAGACTGGGCTGTGTCGAGTGGCCAACCAGACAACATTGATCACATGTTCAGTGACGCCTACAGTGTCAATTTTTGTTCCGTATGAAGCATCACATGGTGAAAGCTGTCTTAAATCTCCTCACAGTGTCACCAAATCTAAAATCACTGAAGAATGAATGCCTTTTATACATAAAGAAGATACAGTAGGGTACGGTTTTGCTGCAATAGAATTATTATCGCTCTGTTGTGCAAACCACATGGATGCATGGTAATTCTGTAACAACCTGCCAAGAACACTAGGAATACAGCACAGCAATGGGAACAAGACACATTTAATCCATAGTTGAGAACATGTACCACATAGAAACTATTGATTTCCACTAAAACATAACTTTAACATTTATAATATTTACTGGTTATATCTCTGACACCACCCCAGTACAATTGAGGTAGTGAAAGAGGTACAGTTTGTGATTCTGAGAGCACTGGAAAACTAAATCCGGCCAGACACTACATTGGCCAATCTGATACATGCAGGCACATGTTCCGAGTAGATTACTTACTGTTTAGCTCACCATTGTTGGGACAAAAGATAATAATAGTTGTTGAGTGATAACTTTTTTATTAGTTTTATAATCATGTCTCCTAAATATTAAACTTGTGATAAAGAGTTGTGCAGTGTTTTTCTGCCCAGTAGGCCTTTAAATGCATTCATCTGTTAATCAAACTGGACCTCTTGGATTGTATTTCATTCATTGGTGTCTTAAACAACACACCCCCGCAAACACCCCTGTATGGAGGTAACACAGCACTGTTTACAGCTTGACTGCCCGCTAAGAATGCAAACACCTCCACATCCTGCTGTAAACCACAAAGGCTGCTGCAGTGAAAGAGATACAAAATGGCTGCACGGTCAAAAGGTCTCAGTGAAATGACTCTGTAGACAGAGCCAATATCAAAGTTAAACATTGTACTGAACTAAATTTGCCATGCTATTTAATTAAATGCTTTAGAGCAAAGCCTGTTACTCTGCCCTCTTCCTAGACATTATTATTCCAACAACATACCTGTAGACATTGCAGGATTTCAGTTTGGGATATGTCAATGTTTCAATTCAATTTTGCCTGGACCTATAATTAAAGAACTTAAGACTGTTTGCCTTCCTTTGACAGTTTCCAACTGGTTGTCTCGCTAAAACAGAAATGACAAATATGTTGTGGAAGGCGAGTAGTGTATGTGGTTGATTATGCACTTTAAAAATCTATCTATGATGTAACATTTTCAATGTCTGGATAGCTCATCATTTACCCACGACAGTCTGTATTTCTGTAAGTGCACACTCAAGCATTATATTTTATTTCTATTTGAGGAAATACCATCTTGTTTGGATATGGTTGGGTTTGCAGGGAGGGAGAGCAAGAGAAAGAGCTCGACTGGCGGATGAGCTAGATTGACTTTTACCAGAGAGAGCGGTTACCTGCCCTTTCATTTTCATAAGCATGTCTCAACAGAAGCAGTCTGTGCTTTGAAGACGATATAAAGACAATCCAGTCAGGCAGGAAGTTTCAGCTCTACCTCCCGTCTTGCCTGCATTGTTTTCTCAGCTCTTCTAGTCTCAATAGGAAATGAACTTGCAGTTATAAAATTAGCGACTGCATCTGCATGGGCCAGTTGTATGAGTGGGAGGGCCCGGGGACAGGCCCATTAGGCCCGCCCCAACACCATGCCTGAATACCCCACTAACACAATAGGCCAAAGTGATGAGTGCAGAATTTCTCAGACCTTTTTGGGAATCCTCTTGTATGCGGCCTTACTCATAGATAACTAGATGAGACAACTGATGTCAGTTTCATCTCTTTACATTGAATCCTGCCATGTTAAAGCCTAGATTAGCTTCAATTCTGAAAGCAAGGGGGATAGGCAGCCTTCATACGTAGTGCCAAATCTTCCAACAACCCCGAAATTGTTAGATTTAGATGTTCTTACATGTCATCAGTGTAGGTACTGGTTAACAGACTGGTTGGTTTTCTATTAAACAGTTAAATACACATAACAGTTAAATACACAAGATAGAATGGGTAAATCAATAGGTATGAAGGCATTTTTCTTTTTTGAATTTTTGAATTTTTCATGTTTTGCAGTCCTAATTTGTAATGCTCATGTCTCTGTGCACTGTAATCCCTGTCACTGCTAACTCTGTCAGCTTGAAGAGGGTGAGGATAGCCATGTGCCTCCTCTGATACACACAGAGTCACAAGCTGCTTTTATTGACCCATCATCAAGGAGCTAATTCGCCAAAAAGGACACAATCCCTCACTGGCTTCCCACCTGCAAACGTTTCCAAACATGTTCACTGACAACTAACTTGGGAGGCAACTAATCATAAAGGCAATAAATGCTTTAAAAAATGGATTATGAAACAATAAAATAGTTTGTTAGTTTAAATCATTTATTTCCATTATGGTTCTTCACTTGTTGTACAGCATCATTGAATCTGGCCTTATAAATGAACAGGTTTCATCAAAAATTAAAAGGATTATAAATACGTAGTTGCTTGGGGAGAAAGCTATGTTTCAATGTAATGACACAGAAACAAAGATAGCCGAGGTTTGTAAAGATGCATATTTCCAACCAACCCGTGGCAAAGTATACAGAAATTTCATGGTTTCACTGCAGACCACAATGGAAGCTGTAACATGATTCTTAAATCATTTGGGTTGTCGCAACATCTAGAAAAACATGCGAAGACTAGAAGTAATGGGGCTAGTGTAAATATGGCACATTTGTCAGCACATAAAAAAATTAAGTAGTTAACTGCAACACAAGACTTTACATTCATTGTATAGCATGTGTTTATCATGTTGACAAAACTTCCTGTTTTAAGAAAATCCAGTTCTACTGCCTGACACCGGAGTACACACATTCATCCTTGGTGTGGTTCCTCTGTCTTCTTGGTCTGTTGGGATGGTTGACACTTAAAGCAGCATAATGGAGGTTGTCGGCATCTTGGTTACCCTGGTAACAAAATATAATAATGAATCACAATACAGTGCATTAAAGAAATATAACAAAATCCAGGAAACAGCTAACTGGACTGTTAAATGAGTCCAGATGTTAAATTAAAATGTATTTTACAGTAAATGGAAAACATTCACCTCTCCATTTGTTGTGGTAGAAGCTGAAACTCTTTGAAGTTCTGTTGGGAAACAGAAAAAGCTCTTTATTTAAAAGCCGTCTTCAGTGAATACAAGCGGTTTGGTAAAAACAGTACCAGTTACCTCTACACAGGCAGCTGCTTCTCCGGTTCATCTTGTACACTGAGACAGTCAGTAAAACAACCAGCAGGGTGGTGAATGCCAAAGCTCCACTCAAGAAATACACAAGGGAGTCGGGAGAGTTCTCTGCATCTGCAGATAGCCAGACATAAGGAGACATTACAAACCTTTTAGTAGAGCTAAAAAGAGAAATCGTCCAGGCCGATAATGGCTTGATGCTGGGTTTCAGGTAATGTAGAAATTTAGAAAAAATAATTAATCAAAGGGATGTGTAGTAAGGTTGTTTGCATTATGTGTTTATGTTTTAAAAATTACTATTGGCTGACATATTGTTTTCAGATTTTTAAACCAGAATAGAAAAATCAATATTGGTGTCAGCCTGAAACATTCTACATTTATCGGGTTATAACTTTTTAAAGTTTGATGAGTGAGTGATCGGAAATACATATCTGCTAGAATTTTGCAGCACTTACTTTTAATGTCCATGTTGGTCCCGTCTCCAAACAGTATGTGTCCACATGAGGCAACAGCACAGTAGTAGGTCCCAGCATGAGAAAGATTCAGGCTCTGCATTGGCAAGTTGTAGACACAGGTGTGTGTTTGTGTGTTGGGTTTCCTCTCACACTGATCATTCCTGCCTCCATGGGTGTAAATGAGTCCTGGATGAGATTCTTCAGAGGTTTTGAACCAGTAAACACTGTGTTCTCCATCACAGGTCCCAGTGTGTACTGTACAGTTCAGAGTCACAGAGCCTCCTGGCTGGATGCTCTCAGATGCTGACTGATGGACCGAAGCTGGGATGTTCAAACCTGAACCCTCTACACTGACAGTAAAGCCTTCTTTAAATTCAAACTCATATGCATGGCAACTTACTACACAGTAGTAAGTAGCTGATTCTGAAGTTTGCAAATTTGAGATTGTCAAGTGATTTTTACCCTTTTTAGTTTCCAGTGTGAAGCGTGGATTGTTCTTGAATTCATCAGTAAAAGTGCCCTTTGCATCGTGTTCAAAGTAGGTAGAAACAATCCTCGGTTTCTGTCCCAGCGTTTGTTTGTACCAGGAAAACACTCCTGTTTCGTTACATTGAAAGAAACATTGTAATGTCACGTTGTCGCCAACATTAGCTGATATAAAACCACTCTCTTGACGCACAGATGTGGACAATTGAACATCAGTTGTCCAAGCTGAATAGAAAAGAGAAAAAGAAAGGAGCAAAATGAATGCAATGATAGGAGTTTATCATAGTGATTATAAATTCTGATTATAATGACTAAACATTGACTATACACTTGAAAGCATACAAAAACATCATCAAAAGACCAAACTTACCTATTCTCCACAAGCAAAGACAAGTCAGATATAAAGCCAACTTCAAAGATGTCATCGTGACCAAAATGTCTTGATGAATGTGGAGATCCTCCATACGTTCTCTATTCTTACAGAGAGGACTGTGTTTGATTGGCTATCAAGAAGTGACACTGAATGTCCTATTTTGGAAACAGTGACCACATGTTCAGTGCCCCCACCATTGTGCATTTTGGTTCTCAAGTCAAGCGCTTGGAGAGAGGTATGAAAACCACCATATCACTTGTAAGGTCGATGTTTAAAATAACTAAGAACAGAAATAATTTGGTGAAGTCTAGTACTGCTCCACCAAAGTCACTCACTTTCATTTACCGACATCAGTAGCAAAAAAAAGCTCAAACAGATTCCAGTGGATATTCCATGAACATGATTTCTGCCTGATTCTCGTCAGATAGATTTTCATCAGCACTGGAGGTTGTTTAACAATGAAGACAACAACTCACATGATCCCTCGCTACTTCACGAAATCATCAAACTACGTTTCTATTTGCGATTTTGACGTATTGCGTCATAAATTCCCCACTGTGCGTTTAAAAGCCTTGATAGTTGAAATATTTGAAAAAGAATCTTACTTTTAACGTTGTATGAGTGTCATTTTGTCTTCTACACCAACCCAGATAAACACATCTTAACAGTGCTAACCTCGACAAGAGTGCAAACTCTGAAGCCCAAGTTGTGTCATTGTGTGGGTGTTCCTTTTATCCACCACAAGAAGATTGTGTGATAATTTAACACACCGATTATCCGTCTAAAATTAAAAGGTTAATGAGGGCTTATAAACTGCTTTGAACTGAAGCAACAACGAACACAATGTGGTCAACTCTAGGGTAAAGTTTGTGGTCAGGGTGAGCTGAGTGAGACTCCACTCTGTACTTTCTTTGTTATTGGAAATGAACCAGGATTGGTAGAGTCTGCCATTCCCCACCCTTCCACTTTAACTTTACAACGTATTAATGTAATATAAATTACATTATTTCTGTTGTCCTGCCCCCAACAATCCACCAGCAGAAAGATTTCTCACTCTTTACTGAACAAAGTAAGGTGTTTACATTTCAAAGTTAGCACATAATAGGTAATAGGTTATTCTTCCTGTGTTCAAGCTCAGCTGTGACCAAAGTTTCCACACCCCACCTTTACCACAGGAGTGAGAAAGGTGAATGCTGATTGGTTAGACTGAAAGATGTGACCAGCCCTCATGTTCCTTATAAGAAATTATAATTATTACTAATCATTACTTTTTACTTGTATTTGATAGAAAATACTAGTGTTAAAAAGTGTACGAAAAAACATGTCATAGAGTTATAGGCTTGGCGTGTCCATAATATCCATTATTCATTCTCTGCTGTGTTGACTGTGAGTTTGTGTGACAGGTTGTTGCCAATGGCAGCAGAGATGGAGTGCTCATGTGTAGGACACAGGGGGGTTGAAACTTTGTTCAAAAGAAAGATGCATGATCAGCCGACAGGAAGAAGAGGTTGGTGTGGTGTTGTAAACCCACATTATAAATAAAACAGGACTAAGACTCTAAAGCCATGCTAACAGCTCTGTTAGGTTGTACTTAGGCACAGTGGCGCTAACAAAGATGCTAACACATCTTAGTTTAGCACGTTAGCATTCTGATTACAATTCATCCTGTGGGCAAGATCATGTGTATATCAAATATAATGGGAGTCCATCTGGGTGTCATTTCACTGGACCACAAATGTGAACCTCATGGTGGTGCTAGAAGTGTTAGGGGATCACTAACGTCAGAATAATTTGACCTGGCCTTAGATGGGGGTGTTAATTGTTAGAGCTGCTTCTCCCAAGCACACGTACCATGGTCACTGTTAGGTTTGTGTGGTTGGTCTGTCGGACAGAAACCTGAGATTACTGTGGGAGGACATATTGAGCAGTTTAGGTTAACAGCAGAGTGCTGGTCATTGGGGTTTTAGCAGTATAGTTACACTGCACTCTAAATGATGTAGGCAAAAACAATGTATTGGTTGACTGCGTACACATTGTTAATGAGTTATTTGTAGATTACTCTGTTAAACCCAGTTTTAGCCTTTGGACACTGATTTATTGATATGATCTACTTAAATAGTCTGGGCATTAGAGTTATACTGTGTGACTGCTGTGCATGAAGACACTGCAGAGACATCCTGTTCGAAACCACAAAGACACAGAGAGCAAAGGGTCGTAGAAAAGCACATGACCAAGTACACTGAGAGCTAATCTTTGACTGACAACCACACAGAAGCTAAAAGAGATACTTAATGACAATAACCATCCTGCAAACACATTTAGGAAAGTCCTAAATATAATGAAGGCAGACACTCACTATCTGATAGACTGGCTCCAGCCATGTTAAAAATGTATATTCAGATATTACATGTTGATCAGTAAGATTTCTAGGGTTTAAGCAAGCAACAGTTTTCATTAATGTTTAAAATAAAACATTTTATGACCACTGCTTTTTGATTATTTTAATGTGGAAACTGGGGCAGAGAATTTCATATGACTTGACTCGTGACTTTGCTGCTTATAGCAGGGGCGACTTGACTTGCTTGACTCTCACCACAGTGACTTGGGACTTGCTTGAGACATTAAGGTTAAGACTTAAGACTTGCTTGTGACTTGCACATGTGTGACTTACTCCCACCTCTGGCTGCTACTAATAGGTGGGGCCTGTGTCTTTATGTACGTACTGCACTGGCAATAAGGAGGTGAGCTTCTGCAAGCTGCAGGACTTTCTGTGTGAATCACACTTGTTATAGTTGCAGTGTTCAGAAAACCACCAGAACCACTGAGGAAGTGTTTTGCTACCTACTGGCACAGAGGCTTGGAAATCATTACACTTTCATGTATTGTCTTTGTAAAAGCTTGTTTAATTAGTTTATTAGAAAGCAGTGCTTTATTTTACAGCCATCATATTTAGCTGAAATCATGTTCACAAAAGCCAAATTACACTTTAAAATGAATCATGTTGTGTCACATAGAGACAAGGAGGAAACATGTCTGACTCTACTACTTTACAGTGAAGTACACACATTCACTCCAGGTGTAGTCTCTCTGCCCTCCTCGTCTGTTGACCTTGTTCTCTTTGTCTGCACCTTGGTAACCCTGGAAATGACACAGAAAAACATGAGTTCGTCCATAACAGAAATAAAACCACAAACATTTTACTGCTTAAAATGTTTGAATGATAACACATTTTAACATCTAAACAGAAAATACCTCTACATTGGTTATGGAGGCAGCTGAAAATCTTGCTCGAGACTCTGAAAGGCAAAATGAAAGCTTTACAATAATGTCATTTTCACTAAATACACAGTATAGATGTGAACAGCACCAGTTACCTGTACAATGGCAGCTGTTTCTTTTGTTCATCATGCACATTGAGAAAGCCAGCAAAACAGTCAGAATGGTGGTGAATGCCAAAGTACCACTCAAGAAATACACAAGGGTGTTGGGACGGTTCTTCTCATCTGCAGATAGCCAGACATCAGAAGACATTTTCAACCTTTTAGTAGAGCTAAAAAGAGAAATTGGCCACGCCGATATGTTGGTCAAATTAACTTGTTGCTGGCTTTGAGTTTATATAGAAATTTAGAAAAAGAACGAATCAGAGGGATGTGTAGTGAGATTGTTTCTTTGAAAGAAACAGTCAGGATGGTGGTGAATGCCAAAGTGCCACTCAAGAAATACACCAAGAGAGAGTCTTCATCATCTGTAGATTCAGACAGCAAGGACATTACAGAACGTTGTGCTTATCTAGACTCTAGATGAACACAACTGACAGCTCTGTAGTTTAAATAGAAAGCAATATTCTTCAGATGATCTCTACTAGAAAGTGCCTTACCTTCATAATCCAGCTTGGTCCCGTCTCCAAACAGTATGTGTCCACATGAGGCAACAGCACAGTAGTAGGTCCCAGCATGAGAAAGATCCAGGCTCTGCATTGGCAAGTTGTAGACACAGGTGTGTGTTTGTGTGTCAGGTTTCCTCTCACACTGATCATTACTGCCTCCATGGGTGTAAATGAGTCCTGGATGAGATTCTTCAGAGGTTTTGAACCAGTAAACACTGTGTTCTCCATCACAGGTCCCAGTGTGTACTGTACAGTTCAGAGTCACAGAGCCTCCTGGCTGGATGCTCTCAGATGCTGACTGATGGACCGAAGCTGGGATGTTCAAACCTGAATCCTCTACACTGACAGTAAAGCCTTCTTTAAATTCAAACTTATATGCATGGCAACTTACTACACAGTAGTAAGTAGCTGAGTCTGAAGTGTGCAAATTTGAGATTGTCAAGTGATTTTTTCCCTTTTTAGTTTCCAGTGTGAAGCGTGGATTGTTCTTGAATTCATCAGTAAAAGTGCCCTTTATATCGTCTTCAAAGTAGGTAGAAACAATCCTCGGTTTCTGTCCCAGCGTTTGTTTGTACCAGGAAAACACTGCTGTTTCGTTATTTTGATGGAAACATCGTAATGTCACGTTGTCGCCAACATTAGCTGATATAAAACCATTCTCTTGACGCACAGATGGGGACAATTTAACATCAGTTGTCAGAGCTGAATAGAAAAGAGAAAGGAACAAAATGAATCCAATGATAGCAGTTTATCATAGTGATTATACATTCTGATCATAATGACTAAACATTGACTATACATTCGAAAGGATACAAAAACATCAGCAAAATACCAAACTTACCTATTCTCCACAAGCAAAGACAAGTCAGATATAAAGCCAACTTCAAAGATGTCATCGTGACCAAAATGTCTTGATGAATGTGGAGATCCGCCATACGTTCTCTACTCTTACAGAGAGGACTGTGTTTGATTGGCTAACAAGAAGTGACACTGAATGTCCTATTTTGGAAACAGTGACCACATGTTCAGTGCCCCCACCATTGTGCATTTTGGTTCTCAAGTCAAGCGCTTGGAGAGAGGTATGAAAACCACCATATCACTTGTAAGGTCGATGTTTAAAATAACTAAGAACAGAAATAATTCAGTGAAGTCTAGTACTGCTCCACCAAATTCACTCACTTTCATTTACCGACATCAGTAGCAAAAAAAAGCTCAAACAGATTCCAGTGGATATTCCATGAACATGACTTCTGCCTGATTCTCGTCAGATAGATTTTCATCAGCACTGGAGGTTGTTTAACAATGAAGACAACAACTCACATGATCCCTCGCTACTTAACGAAATCATCAAACTACGTTTCTATTTGCGATTTTGACGTATCGCGTCATAAATTCCCCACTGTGCGTTTAAAAGCCTTGATAGTTGAAATATTTGAAAAAGAATCTTACTTTTAACGTTGTATGAGTGTCATTTTGTCTTCTACACCAACCCAGATAAACACATCTTAACAGTGCTAAACTCGACAAGAGTGCAAACTCTGAAGCCCAAGTTGTGTCATTGTGTGGGTGTTCCTTTTATCCACCACAAGAAGATTATGTGATAATTTAACACACCGATTATCTGTCTAAAATTAAAAGGTTAATGAGGGCTTATAAACTGCTTTGAACTGAAGCAACAATGAAAACAATGTGGTCAACTCTAGGGTAAAGTTTGTGGTCAGGGTGAGCTGAGTGAGACTCCACTCTGTACTTTCTTTTTTATTGGAAATGAACCAGGATTGGTAGAGTCTGCCATTCCCCACCCTTCCACTTTCACTTTTCAACGTATTAATGTAATATAAATTACATTACTTCTGTTGTCCTGCCCCCAACAATCCACCAGCAGAAAGATTTCTCACTCTTTACTGAACAAAGTAAGTTGTTTACATTTCAAAGTTAGCACATAATAGGTAATAGGTTATTCTTCCTGTGTTTAAGCTCTGCTGTGACCGAAGTTTCCACACCCCACCTTCACCACAGGAGTGAGAAAGGTGAATGCTGATTGGTTAGACTGAAAGATGTGACCAGCCCTCATGTTCCTTATAAGAAATTATAATTATTACTAATCATTACTTTTTACTCGTATTTGATAGAAAATGACTGTGAGTTTGTGTGACAGGTTGTTGCCAATGGCAGCAGAGATGGAGTGCTCATGTGTAGGACACAGGGGGGTTGAAACTTTGTTCAAAAGAAAGATGCATGATCAGCCGACAGGAAGAAGAGGTTGGTGTGGTGTTGTAAGCCCACATTATAAATAAAACAGGACTAAGACTCTAAAGCCATGCTAGCAGCTCTGTTAGGTTGTACTTAGGCACAGTGGCGCTAACAAACATGCTAACACATCTTAGTTTAGCATGTTAGCATTCTGATTACAATTCATCCTGTGGGCAAGATCGTGTGTATATCAAATATAATGGGAGTCCATCTGGGTGTCATTTCACTGGACCACAAATGTGAACCTCATGGCGGTGCTAGAAGTGTTAGGGGATCACTAACGTCAGAATAATTTGACCTGGCCTTAGATGGGGGTGTTAATTGTTAGAGCTGCTTCTCCCAAGCACACGTACCATGGTCACTGTTAGGTTTGTGTGGTTGGTCTGTCGGACAGAAACCTGAGATTACTGTGGGAGGACATGTTGAGCAGTTTAGGTTAACAGCAGAGTGCTGGTCATTGGGGTTATAGCAGTATAGTTACACTGCACTCTAAATGATGTAGGCAAAAACAATGTATTGGTTGACTGCGTACACATTGTTAATGAGTTATTTGTAGATTACTCTGTTAAACCCAGTTTTAGCCTCTTGACATTCATTTATTGATATGATCTACTTAAATAGTCTGGGCATTAGAGTTATACTGTGTAACTGCTGTGCATGAAGACACTGCAGAGACTTCCTGTTTGAAACCACAAAGACACAGAGAGCAAAGGGTCGTAGAAAAGCACATGACCAAGTACACTGAGAGCTAATCTTTGACTGACAACCACACAGAAGCTAAAAGAGATACTTAATGACAATAACCATCCTGCATAGACATTTAGGAAAGGCCTAAATACAATGAAGGCGGACACTCACTATCTGATAGACTGGCTCCAGCCATGTTAAAAATGTATATTCAGATATTACATGTTGATCAGTAAGATTTCTAGGGTTTAAGCAAGCAACAGTTTTCATTAATGTTTAAAATAAAACATTTTATGACCACTGCTTTTTGATTATTTTAATGTGGAAACTGGGGCAGAGAATTTCATATGACTTGACTCGTGACTTGGCTGCTTATAGCAGGGGCGACTTGACTTGCTTGACTCTCACCACAGTGACTTGGGACTTGCTTGAGACATTAAGGTTAAGACTTAAGACTTGCTTGTGACTTGCACATGTGTGACTTACTCCCACCTCTGGCTGCTACTAATAGGTGGGGCCTGTGTCTTTACGTACGTACTGCACTGGCAATAAGGAGGTGAGCTTCTGCAAGCTGCAGGACTTTCTGTGTGAATCACACTTGTTATAGTTGCAGTGTTCAGAAAACCACCAGAACCACTGAGGAAGTGTTTTGCTACCTACTGGCACAGAGGCGTGGAAATCATTACACTTTCATGTATTGTCTTTGTAAAAGCTTGTTTAATTAGTTTATTAGAAAGCAGTGCTTTATTTTACAGCCATCATATTTAGCTGAAATCATGTTTACAAAAGCCAAATTACACTTTAAAATGAATCAGTATGAATCATGTTGTATCACATAGAGACAAGGAGAAACATGTCCGACTCTACTACTTTACAGTGAAGTACACACATTCACTCCAGGTGTCGTCTCTCTGCCCTCCTCGTCTGTTGACCTTGTTCTCTTTGTCTGCACCTTGGTAACCCTGGAAATGACATAACTCTGTTATGGAGTTTGTCCATAACAGAAATAAAACCACAAACATTCCACTACTAAAATGTTTGAATGGTAACACATTTTAACATCTAAACAGAAAATACCTCTACATTGGTTAAGAAGGGAGCTGAAAATCTTGCTCGAGACTCTGAAAGGCAAAATGAAAGCTTTACAATAATGTCATTTTCACTAAATACACAGTATAGATGTGAACAGTACCAGTTACCTGTACAATGGCAGCTGTTTCTGTTGTCCATCATGCACATTGAGAAAGCCAGCAAAACAGTCAGGATGGTGGTGAATGCTGAAGTACCACTCAAGAAAAAAACAAGGGTGTTGGACGGTTCTTCTCACCTGCAGATAGCCAGACATCAGGAGAATGTTCAACCTTTCAGTGGCTAAAAGAGAAATTGGCCACGCCGATATGTTGGTCAAATTAACTTGTTGCTGGCTTTGAGTTTATATAGAAATTTAGCAAAAGAAGAATCAGAGGGATGTTCAGTGAGATTGTTTCTTTGAAAGAAACTGTCATTTTGATTGGTGGTGAGTGCCAAAGGGCCACTCAAAAAAAAAACAAAGAGGGCTCTTATCATCATTCGACAGAGGACATTACGAACATTGTGCTTTTAGACTCTAGATGAACACACTGAGCTCTTATTTAAATAGAAAGCAATATTCTTAAGATGAAATAACCTCTACTAGGAAGTTCACTTACCTTCAAAATCCAGCTTGGTCCTATTTCCAAACAGTATGTGTCCACATGAGGCAACAGCACAGTAGTAGGTCCCAGCATGAGAAAGATCCAGGCTCTGCATTGGCAAGTTGTAGACACAGGTGTGTGTTTGTGTGTTGGGTTCCCTCTCACACTGATCATTACTGCCTCCATGGGTGTAAATGAGTCCTGGATGAGATTCTTCAGAGGTTTTGAACCAGTAAACACTGTGTTCTCCATCACAGGTCCCAGTGTGTACTGTACAGTTCAGAGTCACAGAGCCTCCTGGCTGGATGCTCTCAGATGTTGACTGATGGACCAAAGCTGGGATCTTCAAACCTGAACCCTTTACACTGACAGTAACACCCTCTGCAAATTCAAACTTGTATGCATAGCAACTTACTACACAGTAATAAGTAGCTGATTCTGAAGTTTGCAAATTTGAGATTGTCAAGTGATTTTTACCCTTTTTAGTTTCCAGTGTGAAGCGTGGATTGTTCTTGAATTCATCTGAAAAGGAGCCCTTTTTATCGTGTTCATAGTAGTTAGAAACAATCCTTGGTTTCTGTCCCAGAGTTTGTTTGTACCAGGAAAACACTGCTGCTTCGTCACTTTGAAAGAAACATCGTAATGTCACGTTGTCGCCAACATTAGCTGATATAAAACCATTCTCTTGACGCACAGATGTGGACAATTTAACATCAGTTGTCAGAGCTGAATAGAAAAGAGAAAAAGAAAGGAACAAAATGAATGCAATGATAGCAGTTTATCATAGTGATTAAAAATTCTGATCATAATGACTAAACATTGACTATACACTTGAAAGCATACAAAAACATCATCAAAAGACCAAACTTACCTATTCTCCACAAGCAAAGACAAGTCAGATATAAAGCCAACTTCAAAGATGTCATCGTGACCAAAATGTCTTGATGAATGTGGAGATCCTCCATACGTTCTCTACTCTTACAGAGAGGACTGTGTTTGATTGGCTAACAAGAAGTGACACTGAATGTCCTATTTTGGAAACAGTGACCACATGTTCAGTGCCCCCCACATTGTCTACGTCAGTCACTTTCATTAACCGACATCAGCAGCAGATAAAGTTCAAACATGATATTTAGAGAGGGTTTTCAGAACAAAGTGAATCTACAAAGACAAAGACATAAAACATATTATCACTCATTTCCTCTCAGATCAGTGTATAAGACTAAAAGTGCTGAATAAAAGACTCTGTGACTGAATTATCTCAAGAAGCACCGAACCTTACTCATAATTCTGAATAAATGTCATTTGGTCTATTACTACACCAACCTAGATAAACACATCTCAAAAGGACAGTTCACCCCACAATCAAAAATACAATTGTAAACGTACCTGTAGTGCTATTTATCCATCTAGATTGTTTTGGCGTGTGAGTTGCTGAGTTTTGGAATTATTGCCAAAAGAAATTGACTCCACTCAGATATAATGGAACCAGATGACACTCAAAGCTAATATATTTGAAAAACAGCAATGTCAATCAACTCAAGATAACCCAGAGACCTTTTTGTATGCAGTTTCATGTAGCAACTATAAATAGCGCTACAGGTAATGCAAAATGCAAATTTTGATTTTGGGGTGCACTGTCCTTTTAACACTGCTAAGCTCGATGCAAATGCTAACGCTAAACTCCAAATGTTGTGGTGTAGGTGTGAATATTTATTTAATCCTCCACAAAACGATTTTCTGATGATATAACATGCCCATTATTCTTCTCAAATTAAAATGTAAATGAAGACTTAGTGAACTTTAAGGAACTGAAACTTATCAAAACTACTTAGTCAACTCTGGGATAAAGTTTGTGGTCATGGGGAACTGAGAAAAACTTAGACTCCACTAATAGTCTGCCTTCCTTCCACTATGTGTAAATTACAGCCTTCTGTTGTCCTGCCCCCAACAATTCACAAGCAGAAACATTTCTCATCCATTACTGAACAAAGTAAGTTGTGTGTAAAGTTTGTGGTCAGGGTGAGCTAAGTGAGACTCCACTCTGTACTTTCTTTGTTATTGGAAATGAACCAGGATTGGTAGAGTCTGCCATCCCCCACCCTTCCACTTTTACTTTACAACGTATTAATGTAATATAAATTACATTATTTCTGTTGTCCTGCCCCCAACAATCCACCAGCAGAAAGATTTCTCACTCTTTACTGAACAAAGTAAGTTGTTTGCATTTCAAAGTTAGCACATATTTCAGATAATAGGTTATTCTTCCTGTGTTCAAGCTCTGCTGTGACCAAAGTTTCCACACCCCACCTTCACCACAGGAGTGAGAAAGGTGAATGCTGATTGGTTAGATTGAAAGATGCAACCAGCCTTCATGTTCCTGGTTAGAAAAGGGTATTACTTTATCAGTGTAAGGATTTAATATCTGTAATACCTAGTGATGTCTTCTCTATTATTTGATGTAAAATATTAGTGTTTACACGGCCATTAGAAGAACATTTAGCTGATTTTCAACCATTTATCAGTTATAGGCTTGGCATATAGCCATAATTCTTGCTATCGTTCTCTGTTGTGTTGACTGTGAGTTTGTGTGACAGCTTGTTGCCAATGACAGCACAAATGGAGTTCCCTGGTGTGGGACACAGGGGGGTTAAAACTTTGTTCAAATAAATGAAAGGAATAAAAGGCCAAGGGGTGCACTGGTTGACCCAAAACCTGCAGTCCCGGGGTGAGCAGGTTCAGTTTGACGTCTGCTAGTAGCTCTTAGGATGCACTTAGTGGTGCTAACACAAATGCTAACACATCTTAGTTTTGCATATTAGCACGCTGATTACAAGGTGAATGTGTGTACAGGATTTAATGGCAATCCAACCAATAGCTATTGAGATATTTTGCCCTGTCAGATTCCGAAATCAAATTCCATGAAAATCCATTTTATAATTGTTGAGATATGACACATAAAACCAGGAATTTGAACCTCATCAAAGTGCTATAGGAATTGGACATAATAAGCAGTTTAGGCTAACAGTATAGGGCCCCTCCTTACACTGCACTGTACATGTTATAGACAAACACAATGTATTGATTGAGTTATTTATACTACCAGTTATTATTATATAAAACTCAGTTTTAGCATTTGGACACTGTTTTATTGATATGATCTACTTAAATAGTCTGGGCATTAGAGTTATACTGTGTGACTGCTGTGCATGAAGACACTGCAGAGACTTCCTATTTGGAAGAACAAAGACAAAGTGAGCAAAGGGTCGTAGAAAAGCACATGACCAAGTATACTGAGAGCTAATCTTTGACAGACAACCACACAAAGGCTAAAAGAGATACTTAATGACAATAACCATCCTGCATAGACATTTAAGAAAGACCTAAATACAATGAAGGCGGACACTCACTATCTGATAGACTGGCTCCAGCCATGTTAAAAATGTATATGCAGATATTACATGGTGACTGGTCTTGTTGCCACCCTGCTATGAGAAGGCCGGTCCTGCTGAGTCACACCCGTATGGATCAGGCTTAATGTTTGCAATAGCTTGCTCTTAAATTTCAGAAGGTATAGTACGTGAAAAGCCTTTGAAATGTGTTCATGCTTGCTACCTTATTGTTGCTGAGTTTTATTTGCCTTTGAAGTAACCACTAAGAAGAACCCAGTAACGTTTCAACAGAGGTTTACTTTCTGTTATGTTTGGCCTTCTCACATTCTCTCGTGCACTTCCTCTAGCTCTTTCTTTGTCATTTCTATAAAGTTATTCCCAACTGAACCAAAAAAAAAAAAAAAAAAAACTCACATCAACTCATCTATGACCATGAAATGAGACATGACTACGACGATGTGTCTCCCAGTCAGAGAGGGGTATTAAACAGATGGGTGTGGCCAGTTTCTGTGCTAGTGTACACAATCTCAATGATGAAGTGTCATTCTTTCAACCATGCCGCATTAACAGTCAAACAGTTTCTCTGCAGGTTCTCCAACCTGGGTACTGATATTGCAATATTCCAGTGCGGTCTCTGCGACCTCAGGCACCACATAGATAAGCTGTGTGTGCTGTGTTTTTATGCTGTTAACTACTGTTAAAGTGACAGTAGACCAATTGAACTTTGCTGTATCAAGGAAGCTTGGTTTCTTGCAATGTTTTATTAGTTTATGGAAAAGAAAGACTTTACATTCAGTATACTGAGGTGAAATCTGACAGCAATGAAAATAATGAACGTTATTTAGTTTGATAGACACATTCTTCTTACACAGAAACAAAGTACAAATGAAATATCTCCAGCTCCTACTGCCTTACTCCGGAGTACACACATTCACTTTGCACGTCATTCCTCAGTCTCGTTGATCTGTTGACCTTGTGTGCCTTCAAAGCAGCGTAATGGAGGTTGTCTGAATTGCTGTAATCCTGGTAATAAAATATAATTTTAATGTTTAATCACCATATATATATATATACACATCACTTGTCTTACATATATTGTACACACCAACAGCAACACCTTTATATAATATCATCCACAAGAGCACAGCACTTAGAAAATAGAACCTCTGTGCTTTACATATAGGCCATTTCCACAGGGACTGCCTATTGTTTTGATGACCAATTACTCCAAAAAACCAACAGTCAAAAAGTCCCATTTGTCGAACAGCCTGTTTTCCCAAAAACAAAAGTCCACTTCTCCCAAGGCCCGTTATTCCAAAAAATACATACTACGATGGAGATTGTGCTTAATATCTTAAAGAATTTTGATATGCAACCATCACGTTACCTTCATCAAGTGACCTTTGTCATCATGGTAACAATAATCAGGGGACCTTCATCATCATTGTGACAATAATTAACATTGTGAAAAAGTTGCAGTTTGGTTAGGTTTAGGCATTAAAACTTCTGGATTATTTGAAGATCATGGTTTGGGTTTAAATAAGCATGCAAGATAAAACCACCCTTAACATATAGCTTATATTAACATACTCATGTGCTATTTCAATGACATGTAACCAAAACGTTCAGGTTTGTAACTGAGTGGAGTGGTTTGTAACCCTAACCCTAACCCTAAGCAGAACCTAGAACCGAAGACTCACAGTTTCTTTAAAGTTCACATAATGGATCCTAACAGCTACCGAAGTGTGTATGTCAGACGTATTATATTGAATTACCATAATTTGCACAGGTGTTGCTTTTTCCCTGCACTTATTGTAATGTTGTAATATACATTGTTATAGAGGTGCTATACTTCAGAAATACTCACCACTGCATTTAGAGTCAAGGCAGCTGAAGATCGTGAGTCTGGTTAAGAAAACAACAAAAGAAAAGCCTTCAAAATTCACTAAAGCTGGTAGTAAGAAAACCAATTATTTAAATGTCTTGATTTTTAAAATAATATACCACTCAGATATGATGGAAAATGTACCACAATAGTCTAAATGAATAACTAAAGAACCCACACTAAAACCAACCACAACTATTTTTAATATTATAAAGCCTTCATCAACTTAAGCCCTCTTGAGTTTATAGTTGTGTTAAATGGCTCAGTTTTTCACAAATTGACTGAAAATTGGAAGCTGTGCCCCCCTTTCCTGTCTATCTTCGGCTGTCTCTGACCAATAAAGGCATGAAAAGGCCCAAAAAATAACTTTAAAAAAAAAAAATAGTACATAAAGTTAGCCTACCTTTACACTGACAGCAGGGTCTGTTGTTAATTGTATACACTGCATATGCCAGTAAAACAACCAGGGTGGTGGTGAATGCCAAAGCTCCAGTCAAGAAATACACCAAGCCAAAAGAATGCACCTCATCTGCAGATACAGATGATAGGAGACATTACAGATCTGTAGAATATTGAGGAAGTAGTAATCATAACTAATATATATATATGAAACATCTGCTATAGTGTTACTTACGTTCCAAGTCCAACTTTTTATCCTCTCCAAACAGCATGTGTCCACATGAGGCAACAGCACAGTCGGTCCCAGCTTGAGAAAGATTCAGGCTCTGCATTGGCAAGTTGTACACACAGGTGTGTGTTTGGTTGTTGGGTTTCCTCTCACACTGATCATTCCTGCCTCCATGGGTGTAAATGAGTCCTGGATGAGATTCTTCAGAGGTTTTAAACCAGTAAACACTGTGTTCTCCATCACAGGTCCCAGTGTGTACTGTACAGTTCAGAGTCATAGAGCCTCCTGGCTGGATGGTCTGGACTGAAGCTGGGATGTTCAAACCTGAACCCTTTACGTTGACAGTGACACCCTCTACAAATTCTAAGTCGTATCTAAAGCAACCTGTGCAGTAGTAAGTAGCTGAGTCTGAAATGTGCAAATCAGAGATTATCAAGTGATTTGTACCGTTTCCTGTTTTTAGTGAGAAACGAGGATTGTTCTTGAATTCTTTATCAAAGATGCCACTTTTATCATGTTTATAGTAGGTAGAGACAAGCCTTGGTTTCTGTCCCAGAGTTTGCTTATACCAGTAAAACATCATTGCATCACCTTGATAGAAACATCGCATAGTCACGTTTTCACCAACATTAGCTGATACAAAACCACTATCTTGACGCACATATATGGGCGATTCCAGATTAGTCGTCTGCGCTGAGGACAAAAAAACAAAAATCGAGAAAAACATGTTTAATGCAATGATATAAATTGATCGTGATGTCTAAATTCAAAATGTGTAATCATATTAAATATTGAAGTTACAGCAGACAACTTACCTATTCTTCCCAAGAACAGATAAGTCAGATACAGAGCAAACCTCAGAGCTGCCATCGTGCTCAAAATGCCGTGATGAATGAAATGAATGAAGATACCTTCTCCACTCTTCAGAGAGAAGACTCCGTTTGATTGGCTAACGAGAAGTAATATCCTGATTTGGAAGCAACGAACACATGATCAGTGCTGCATTGAATGCACTGCACTAAGAGAAACCTACAAGCTGTAAACAGGACCTCTGAGAGACGCCCCACTCATCTGGTTTCCAATTTTCCATTCTATACATGTCATCAGTCTTTGTGTGGGAAATGGCACTTTGAATACTCAATTGCTAGAGATTGGATCAGCTGTAACCTAATATTATGTCCATATTACGTCACCAAATTAAATTATATATTTGTATTGTGGTTATTAGTGGCAGATGTAACCGCTATTATTATTATTATTATTATATATTCTATAGGGATGTTCATTGCCTCATCTGCTCCTTCCCAACACACATCATGGCCACTGTTTGGTTGATTCAACAGTAATACGGATAATGAATAATATGGAATACCTCTGTGCTGGCTAAACTGTCTGTCAGGCAGAAATACTTGTACCAGGTTTCTGTGGGTGGACATGATAAGATGTTTAGGCTAACATCAACATGAGCACATTACTCCCTCATGGCTGGTCCTGAGGATTCCTGACAATGTTACCTGTGTTAAACTGCACACTGAGAACAGTTGAGTGCATATGCACTAATGTTAGAGTTACTAGTTATTAGTTTACCAGTTCAAGACAACTCAGCACTAATTTAGCATTCAAAACTTTGATTGATCATAAACTTGTTATATAGTATCACTCAATGTTTGCAAATGAAATTAAAAGTTTGATTGCTCAAATGATTTCTTCTGATCTTAGAATAGTCTGGGCATTAGAGTTGTACCGTGTGGCTGCTGTGCATGAAAACACTGCAGAGGCTTCCTGTTTGAAACCACAAAGACACAATGAGCAGAGGGGTCTAGAAAAGTACATGGCCAAAGGTATTCTGAGAGCTAAAAAGAGCTTTACACCTTTGGGCTTGTGGTGTACAATCAGCACACTTACAGTAAACAACCTGTGAAGAAGAACAGGCATTATCAATACGCTGAGGGTGGGCGCTCACTTTTGGACGAATTAGCTCGTGCCGCATGCATCATCGCAGATATTTCTGAGCATGCTACTACGCCATATCGTATCAAACATACTGAAAGGTCGCAGTGCCATACTAATTGTGTCCCAATGACCGTGAGATAGTGTTGCTGAGAGTTTGATGTGCTTTTGATTTATTAAGTAACCACAAACAACACCCAAATAGTGTGTGTTGTGTGAAGGGGGAAACATTACACATGTACAGACTGTCAATGTTGAAGCTTTATATTCCGCTATCAAGTACCTGAGCCCACAGTCACCACAGACATCAGTTATGTGTGGTTGTGTGTTTGTACGTTGTTGACTACAAGTGTAGCGAGAGTGGAAATATGTCACCTCAATCAAAGAAACACGACTTAACTGTAACTGAAGGAACATGTTTAATTGGTGCTTTGCAAGGTAAATCTTTACATTCAGATTATGGAGGTAAAAAAACTGACAAACTTGTCACTTCTGTTAACACAAACACAAAAACAAAACGTCCACTTTTACTGCCTGACCCTGGAGTACACACATTCATTCAGGCTGTTGTCTCTTTGTTTTCTTGATCTGTTGGCATTTTTGGTCCTTAAAGCAGCATAATGGAGGTTGTCTGTATCCTGGTAACCCTGGGAATAAGATATAAAAATGGTTAATTGCCATATTGGTATATGTCTCAGGATTTACTGGATTTATCTGTTCAGCCCTGCAAAAGTAACTTCCTTCGTGAAGTGAAAAATGTAAATTGATTTTGTTGAGACTATAAGACAGGCATTACTCACCTGTTGTAGTTTTTGTGTTTTAAGCTGTGGACAAAATAACAGGAATACCCCCAACAACTAAGCAACAACTTGAGTACAATGACAATTGGCCACCACTGTACAATCTATGATCAATCCTCCAGAGGGTATGTACCACTTGTCGTGATATATTGAACTGCATATTGTACAGTTGTTGCTGTTTGCTTTTTTCTGTTTTTTCTCATGCTCCGTTTGGTTGCTGTTTAATATGTTGCAGTTACAGTAACAGTAAGACTTTGAAACACTCACCTCTGCATTGGGAGCCAAGGTAGCTGAGGATCTTGCCTGAGAGTCTGGTTGTGAAAAAAAAAACAGCGACTTCAAAATTTGCTCTGCTTGGGTTGAGAAAACCTATTCTCTTATTAATCTAATTATTTTGATTATTTGGAAGTGATAAAACAGTTTATTTGATTTTAAAATGTATCTTCTACACAAACACGACACATGTGGAACCACAGGACAAGCTGGTACTTTAAAATGAATGAATCAAAGAAGGCCAGCACTAAAACTACTTAATTCCACCGGCAAGTCATATTATCAGTGTAATTATAATTAAATGTAACACTTTAGCCAACATACTGTTTTATTTTGACAACTCCATGTAAAAAATGTTTTGCTCTTTACCAGTCTAATTTTCCAATTAATCTTTGGCTACAAATCTGTGTCAGTGGTGCACAGTTCACAACGCCAATGATGTTTGAAGCTGATAAAACAGAATAATTAGTATATATTCCCATTGTATGTATCTTACAGTAAGTGGTAAGTTCTGCTCTTCAATATTACATACATTGAACCCACTATCAATTTTAAGGAATGACAGTTTAGCCTACCTGTGCATTGGCAGTTGTTTGCAGTGTACAGTGTATGTGCTGTGTAAGCCAGGAAAACAAGCAGGATGATGCTGAATGCCAAAACTCCAGTCAAGAAATACACCAAGGCAAAAGAGTGCACCGCATCTGCAGATCATTAACATATGGAACATGAGGAGGCATTACAGGTACTTTTTTTTATTAAATCTGATTAGAAAGTATCCATCACTATTTAACAATCTTTGTTTAAAGTTACTTACCTTCAAAGTCCAGCTTGGTCCCGTCTCCAAACAGTATGTGTCCACATGAGGCAACAGCACAGTAGTAGGTCCCAGCATGAGAAAGATTCAGGCTCTGCATTGGCAAGTTGTAGACACAGGTGTGTGTTTGTGTGTCAGGTTTCCTCTCACACTGATCATTACTGCCTCCATGGGTGTAAATGAGTCCTGGATGAGATTCTTCAGAGGTTTTGAACCAGTAAACACTGTGTTCTCCATCACAGGTCCCAGTGTGTACTGTACAGTTCAGAGTCACAGAGCCTCCTGGCTGGATGGTCTCAGATGCTGACTGATGGACCGAAGCTGGGATCTTCAAACCTGAACCCTTTACACTGACAATAGCGCCCTCAATAAATTCATACACATAGGAATAGCCACTTATGCAGTAGTACGTAGCTGAGTCTGAAATTCGCACATCTGAGATCTTCAAGTGATTTTTACCAGTGGTAGTTTCCAGTTCAAGGCGTGGATCGTTCTTAAATTCACCATTCAAAGTGCCATTTTTGTCATGCTTATAGAATTTAGACATCAGCTGTGGTTTCTGTCCCGGAGTTTGTTTATACCAGTAAAACATCACTGCCATGCCATCTTTATAGAAACATTCCAAAGTCACGTTTTTACCAACGCTAACAGATCGGAAATGTAGAGATGATGATAGTTTAGGAGGGATCATATCCGCTGAGGAGAAAATGGAGACCAAACAATTGCACAGTTCACTTTATACCATGACTGGAAGCATATTGTAACATCCAAAATGTATTGCAAAACATCTGGAAAATATCAGAAGCAATCATTTTAAGAAAAAAAGAGACTAACAAAATGTAAAACTTACCCATTGTCCCCAAGAGCAGACATGTCACAAACAAAGCGAACATCGGAGGTGTCATTTTGTTGAGATTGCCGTGGTCGATTGAGAGAATCTCCACACATTCTCCACTTTTCAGTGTCAAGGCTGCATTTGATTGGCCAATCAGAAATGACTCTGAATGATCACATGATCTGTGCCCTCCTCATTGTTCATTTTGGTCTTTGAGAAAGAATTCTCATGGAATTCAAAACATAATTTGGAGAGATTTCTATTCACAAGGGTGTGTAATCAACATTAGTTAGAAATTGTACACAAAGAGACAGGTGTTATATGTACAAGAGAAGTTAGAAAAGAGAAAACTACCAAATCATCTGCTTTATAAACAAAGGGACCATGTGACCTTTATCAGTGTTAAATGCAAACAATTAGAAGACTCAAAAATGTCTCATTGTCTTAAGATAACAAGTTCTATAAAATTGGTTGTGACTGGAATGTGCTGTGAAGAGGAGGGACAAGAATCAGACCATAGACAGCCCCCCTCTTCACCTTGCTGCCATGACTGTTTGGTATATCTGGTTACTGACTTAAGGCAGACGTTAGACCTATATTATGCACGTGTGTTGAGTCACTAGAACCAGGTGACAAATGCATTTATGTAAAACAATTTTCCACACATTGTTCTCATTCATCAAAAGACACGTTTTAGTAAAAAAAAAAAAAAGTTGATCTTAGGTCACAATTTAACACTGACCTCTGACCCCTGATTGCAGCATGTTTATATTTTTTTTACAGATTATATAACAAGCTAGAGAATAACTCTTAATATGGTTCATGGACAATGCTTTATATTAAATTAACTTTGCACATATTGTTTATAATTCTGATCTTCATATCTTCAATAACATATCTTGAAATATTATTTTTATTTGGCAGCCATTTTGCCCATTCCTGTGGCACAGTTTCTGATGTTCATTGTACTGAAGGAACATTTAGTTCTTTCGTCTTTTTATACCGGTGGATTTATGATCTGTGTGTTCTGTTCAATGTGAACAGAACATAACTTATTACTGGATTTGAGTATGAGTTGTGAAACTGCATGATACTGTATGTCCTCTTCCTCAAAAAGTTGTTGTAGCTCAAACTGGACATTATCATAATGGTGAGTTTCCTAAAAAGCACAGCTTCGGGTCAGGTTGGGCCACATGAGTTTTAGGGAAGTGAACTGTGAAAGTTGAACTGTTACTGATGACTACAGCAACATTTTGATCGACTGAACTGAAAGCTTCACTTGATAAATCTGGACAGTTGGAGTTGTAGGTATGTAAAAATTCTTTCACCTCACATTGAAGTCTGGTCTGCAATTCTACTTCATTTCAGGAACAAAGCTCTGCGTGCTTTTAGTTTCTCAGGCATGTTTTCTGAACCTAAGACATGTTGCTTGTTGCACAAAGCTATGTGAGCCTGGGTTTGCTGAGGTGCAAGACGCTGTGGCCTGGATGCCACATGCCGGTCTTCCTGTGTCAAGCTCTGCTAGGACTTGTGTTTCCACCAGTGGAAACTTACACTCTGTAGTTCACACCACCGTCGCCACAGGAGTGAAAGGTAAATGGTAAGAGCCGGCTGTAGATTGAGAAGGTGCAACCTGTGCTTACGTTTCTGACGTGGAAGATATTTATAGGTCAGAGGGGATTTTTATGAGCCTGCATTGTCTATATTTGTATCTAGTGTTATACTCTGGGTGCAGAGATGCTGATCCATGTGACTGTTACACACACAACATATTTTACATACAATACTGCACACACACATTGCATCAAAAATATTTTATTTTCTTTCAACATGTTGTATATTGTACATTTGCATGAGAAATGTAGTTTTCTTGCAAGTGATTGACAGCAAAGATAATTCATGAAAGTAGCTGAATGTAAAGTTCTACTTCACTCTACTAGTCTTTACTCTAGAGTATACACAAACACTCTCCAGGCTCTCCTCTTGGCGGTGTCGTTCTCTGGTTCTGTTCAGACTCAGAGCAGCATAATGGAGAGCATCTGCGTCTTGGCTCTGCTAATGACAATAGCACAATGGCAAATTATATGAGAAAAAGAGGAAAACACGCTGCAGTTGTACATTTGGCTTCCATCATACAATTGTTTAACCTACCGTGGTGTCAGAAGCTGCTGAACATGTCAGATGAGAAACTGTTCCTGCAAATCAAAATACATGAATGATCAGGCCAGGTCAATACAGAAAAATGGTTAACATACCTTTATTGTGAAAATCTTACCTTTGCAGACAGAGCATATCTTTTTTTTCAACTTGTACATGACTAAAGCCAAGACGAAGAGCAGAATAATGGAAACTGCCAATGCCACACTCAGACAATACACCAGGACAGAGGGGCCTTTGGTAGAACCTTCTAGTCAAGAGAAAACATATCCTATTTTAGATATCTATATTTTTGGATATACAATACATAGGGTTTATTTTAAGGCTATTTTTAACTTACGGAAACAGCAATCATGTGCAATATCAACTATAATCACCTACCTGCAATCTTCACTTTAGTTCCTTGTCCGAACACAATCTCCCCACAAGAGGCCAGAGCACAGTAGTACATCCCAGCATCGGAGGAGCTCACAGACTTTATAGCCAGGTTTAAAGTGCAATTTTCCATGTGAGAATCCTTCATACACTGTCCCGCATTGTGATACATGATTGCAGGCTGAGCAACACCATGTCTGAACCAGTACAGATTCTGCTCCCCTGCACATTTTTCAGCGTATACCGTACAGCTCAAATTCACAGAATCTCCCCACTGAAGAGTCTCCAACGCTGGCTGATGGACAACAGCATGGATGTTGGACAGCGATGTTTTCACATGAAGGAAAGCTCCTTGTCCAAATTCAATTGCGTTGAATTCTAAAATCCCACAGTAATATGTTGCTGAATCCGACGGGAGAAGTTCTTTGATTACAAGATGGTTGATGCCCTTTCCTTTTCCCGCTAAGACCTGAAACCTTCCTTTATACGCGGGGGAGATGGTAGCTTCTGAGTTGTGCTGCATCCGAGTTGATACAATGAGAGGTTTGCCTCCCAAGCTTTGCTGGTACCAAGAGAGGAAAGTTACAGAATTGTCCTGACAATAGCATTTTAAAGTCACAGTCTGCCCAACTTCAGCTGTTATGACCCCACTGTCCTGAGTTATACCTGAGGTCTTGTCAACAGCTGGCACCTGACCTGAAATGAATAATAATAGATAAAGTCATATTTATTTTACTTTCAAAACCTCTTTCCACTTACTAAAAGTATATTCATGCCTGTAGAAACAATGAATAGATGTAAAATACTCACAGATTTCACCAAGAAGCACAAGAAAAATGCAAAGTGGCATCATCCCTGAAGCTCTGCAGTCTGTATCCTGTGTGTTGACGGACGCACTCGACTCTTATAGGAGACGAAGGCTCTTTGTGATTGGCTAAGCTGACTGGTTTCTATTCAGACCTGCCATTTGTTCTCATGCAAAAGAAGAGTCTGATCATCAGAGGTGTAATTGGGTTTATCGAGTCTTTATGGTAACATCATTGTGTTGTACACTGGAGGACAGTAGGTGTGACAGCATGTTTGTATACTATGAAAAGGAAATTCTCTCAAGTCCATATTTGAATAGAGGCATAGAGGTTGGTGCATGTCAGTTTTTGTTCTCAACAACATGCACAGTGCTTAGAAGTGGGGTTTTTTTGGTGTGGAAAAACATGCCGTGTTTTCATTCATGACACAGGTTTGTTAGATTTAGATGTGCTTTTTTTGGAGGCAGGTGTGTGTGTGTGTGGGGGGGATGTTCAAATGGTAAAGTGGGTTAAAAAGGCAGTGTGTGTGAGAGAAATGCAGAAAGAATTATTTAACCTATCTAAAGTACTTTAAAGTTGATAACTTACAGTTAATAGCTGGGGTTACAGATTGGTCTTTTCAGTGTGATTCTGGAAGTCCCATCATGCCATTGGTGCCCCTGGATGTGGCATTTATTCCAATACTTATCCTGAATGGGACAACACCCCATGCACACATCATCAGAAGTGGGAAACCACAGATGAAGACTGACCACAGTGTTGCACAGAGGCATTGTTTTTGTTCTTCTTTTGGTCTGATTATATTTAATTCAGTGTTGTATGACTGCCCTCAATGTTTTTCAATGTTTCTTTACTTATGGCTAGCCCTCAATGCCAAGTTTAGTGTTGAGAAACGTCTGTTTGTAGGTAAAAGTAGGAAGAATGTTGAAAGGGAAGAAATGGGAGCTAGCACTGAATCTCACTGATCTCCATTATTATTATATTACACTCATGTATATACATGGGCAACACCCTATGTTGATAAGCGCTAGGATTGTCCAGAAAGGTTTTCTAACAAGATATTTTTCCTAAACCATGATCTTTTTCTAAACCTAAACAAGTTGTAGTGCTGTAGTCAAGGCCACCTTTGTTGAGTTCAAGACCAAGAATAGTTCAAAGAGGTTCGAGTTTCGAGGTTTGAGATGTCAAGACTAAGTCCAAATGAGAGAGACAGAGTCGAGACTGAGACAGAAAAGAAAAGAATGCTTTTGCCATTGCCAGTGAGATGAGTTCTGGCAGCCAGGCATATGATTGTGTCTTTGGCCAATGTCAGTGCCCATTCTAGATGGATCTTGATTAAAACCAATACCCGTTTAATGAACAAGCTCAATGGTTTTGATTTGAAGAAGGAAGTTACTAAAGAAAAAAACAAACAAAAAAAAACATATGTTGCTGGACTCAGTCGAGACCATTTAGAATATCTGGAAAGACCAATGGCCAAGTCTAAGACAAGTCAGAGACAATAGAAAAAACATTGTTTCACAATTCGTTTCACGATTCAAAATGATGAGTCAAAAAGTGTTGACATTCCCATTAGCTTCTGCAACACGTGGGCACATCTTCTCTTTCAGAGGGTTGAAGATCTGCCTCACCTTGCAGAGTCAATCATACCGTTAACTCTTGCAGTAGACCTTTACCCGTCAGAAGCAGGCTACTGCGTGTGACTCAAATATGTCTTTTGATGTTTGTGGTCTGTTTACATGCTTGAACAAAGCTGTGGTAAAAGCTCTACAGTTGTTGACTCAGTAGAGACGAACTGACCAACATTTCTCTCACTTGAACCCATACTTCCTGAGTCGTGCAAAGTGACAGTGGGACGGCCAAATGTTCGCTGTTTCTCAGACGAGTCAAAGCTGAGACGGAAAATAGATCCTCCCATTCTGCTTTCAAGAGAATGTGAGGCAGACAAACAGTGAAATGAGGAAGTATTGCTCTAAATGCTTCATTTAAATAACTGTGAATATCAAATAATGTATTGAGTACACGCAAACAACAAGGAACGGCTTTATAGAAAATAATTGTTTACTGTGGTTTTGGCAGGTTGAGCTCATGGCTGCTTATCAAACTCCTCAATGTCATTTCAATGTCATCCGGGGCCAATCTGTCAATACTGTCACATTCTTGAGCTAAACTTCTAAACTCAGGTCATCTGCTGATGAAGTTTAACTATAGAAGGTGCTCAACTATTAGTCAGTTCAGAAAACCCTGAGCTTTCTAGAGACACTACACACACAGCATCATGCATTTTAGGAAACCAAGTTCGCCCAACATTTAAAAGTCACATGTCTCTTTATGTTGAGAGGCAGTGAGAGGTCGCTGCTGCTGGAGTTAACTACATTAGAAGCCACCCTTCCTACACAAAAGAGTATGTTAATAGTGGTTTTGTACAAAAATGTGGACACAATATCAACAGTAGCAGTTTCATGCATGAGGTTCTTTGTTTCCTATAGTCAGTCTGTTTGACCACAAACTGTTGAAATCGGGTCAGAAACACTGAGCTATCACCAGATCACCACTGTGTGCAGCAGATGCATCTTGAGGCAGTGGCTGACGGTTTTTTTCCACTGTGCTTTTGGCATTACAAGGTACACAAGGTCAGTTTAAGTTGAATAAACTTCCTGTGTACTTCTGCACAGAGAACAAATAGCTTTTGTAGCTTGTGTTGCATCAGAGGCATTTTGCATTTTTTAATTTAAATGTGTTTCTCTTTTTATTCTTTTAAATGCATGCATCAGTAACAGGAACATGAAGGCAGCCTTTAGCTAGAATTAAAAAAAAACCCTGTGGTTAGAGAGAGGCGAAAGTTAAGCCCGGCCCCAATGACCTCGTCATAATGCTCCCCCTCCTCCTCCTCCTCCTCTTCCTCCTCCTCCTTCTCCTCCTCCCTCTATATCTGCTGTGACAACTCTTTCAGTGATGTGATGATGTACTTTTCTGTTTATTTGATGCTAAAAGTGTGACTTTGTGTATCGTAAGCTGTTAGCAGACATATAAATGTGAAATATAGATACATGGGAATGAGAAGTGAAAGAGCAGAGGCGTTGTTGTGAGGCGATCAGAACAAACAAACAGCATCAAATAAAACCACATAGACATCCTGTCAGAGGGGAGGGCAGCGGGGGGTGGGGGGTGCAAAACCACCTTGTTGAGCTCTGTGCGAGCAAGCTTGACCAAAGCGGGAACTCAGAAGCGATACGTTGTTGTTTTTTTCTTTTCTTTTTAGTCCGTCGGCTGCAGGACTCGAAAACACTTCACTGTCGGAGTGTTTGAGAGAAACAAACAACCAACTTTTATTAATTCTCCACTCGTGGGGATATAGGATAAAATAAACACATCTGTGACAGTGAAAATGTAATATTTGCCAGAGTTGATCATAATACATGGTTAAGATGATTAAAGGCTGACTTCACTGAGGAAATATGGCTGCTAAAAATCTATAATGTTTGTTCTTTATGTATTTTGACCAAACTTATCTGCTGAAAACCACATTGTGTGCAATAAGCAATGTTGTCTCGGCACTGATGGTACTCCGAGGCTCTGAAAAAGAATAATGTCAGTCGACCACAACAATACCTCCGAACACATCGCTGTGTGGGTGGAACAAACAGGACACACCTCACTGAGTGTCTTTGAAATGTTCAGATGCACTTCTGTATCCTTTCTCTGTGGTGTGTTCACTTAAAATATCTTATCTTTCCAATCTTAGCCATCTAGAGGTCAGAGCACCAAGTGTGTGTGTGTGTGTGTGTGTGTGTGCGTGTGTGTAGGTGTGTGTGCGTGTGGTTTGATCGTTTTAGGAAACATCATGATGTAGCGCCTCTGTGATATCTACTGCAGGTGTACTGCTGCCCCCTACTGACCAACAGCTTAACTGCACACAGCAAACTGAACAGAGACAACTAAGGCCTGAAACTGACCTTAAAGGTTCACTGTCAGGAAGAGAACTACTCATAACGCAAACATCATTCATTTTGCTGAGTGAGATATAACATGTAGAATGAAACTACCACCTTTAACAATAATTAATGATATGTAATATTCAATAAAGCCAGAAAGAAATTTTTATAATTTTTGTACTTTTATTTTTCCTCTATCATAAGAATATACTTTTAACTATTCAGTTAAGCATATGCAGGATTAAAGATGATGAAATGTGTTAAAAACACTAAAGTTGAGCTTAAAATAATAATAATAATAATAATGATAATAATAATGATGATAATAATAATAATAATAATAATAATAATAATAATAGGTGAAATTACAGGAGGAGTCAGAGAGAGATTAGCGGCAGATGGAGGTGTAGAAAGTTTGGGCAGATTAATCAGCAAAAATCACTTCATGTCTGACGGTCTGACTCCAGAGTAAATCACCTCCTCCTCCTTTGTGCTCCTCTGTGTCCTGCTCTTACTTTGCCTCTTCTTAAAGTCCAGAGATACGTACTGCAGAGCATCAGCTTCCTCATTCTGTAGGAAAGAAGATCAATTATTTTTTACCAGATGTGTCTCTGTACAAACAAATATGAGTTGGGAGGATTTTTTGATCTTACCTGACTGTCAGTGGTGCATTCAGGGACACTCGGCTGGAAGTGTAGCCCTATAATAAAATAATCCAGTTTTATAGTCATTACCTTTGTCAAATGCCATTCTCATTAAAGGGTCAGTTCACCCCAATCATATTTATATTTATATTTATATTTATATTATTATTATATATGACACTGTTCACAGTGAGCTCTGTGGATTATCTGCACTGTAACCACACTGTTTCTGAAAAATATCATTTACATGTATTTGTTTAGCACCACAAATTAAAATCCATTCACGTTCACAGAGCATCAAACAGAAGTCTGAGAGACAGATACTTCAATGTATGAGGAAAAAAAATCAGCATGGCTAGATACCAATGAGGTTGAGTTAGAATATATGGTTTTGAAGTTTGGTTCAATCAACCTTTCCTCTAATCCTCATCAAAACAGCCAGAAAAACTTCTTCTCTGGTAAATATCATCTCACTGTACCTCCAGAATGAAGATATGTTCTCCTGGACATTTTGCAGAGGATACTGATTAAGACGACGTTCACGGTAACAGACACAAGCAGAGTTGCAGCCACACAAAGCACCAGTACAGAGGAAGTGTCCTCATGTTTCTCTGTGAAAACATAAAAAGCAATAGAGACTGAGCGAATGAAGAAAAGAGACGTGGCTTCAATTTATATAGAATACATATGTTGCTCACCTCCAACATCAGCATGGACCGTGCAGTTCGGAGTTACAGAGCCTCCTGGCTTCATGGTGTCGAACACTGGCTGCAGGGGGAAAGAGCTGTGACCAGACTCTGAAAAACAGAAATGTTACAAAGAGTAATGGAAAATTAAAAAAGTGATAAAGATAGTTTTTAAATTGTTAACTGGTCAAAATACCTACGTTTTAAATCCAAAAATATTCCATTCTCAAATTCCGGGACAACAATGATGATTTTTCCACAGTAGTACATCGCTGAATCCGAGTCCTGCACATTAGAAATGTTCAGATGGTAGAACCCTTCTCCAGCATGAACTGAAAACCGTTTGTCATGTTTAAACTGGTTGTGGAAGCTGTTGCTGTCAGGTGAATGTTTGTAGACAGAGGATATTATATGAGGTTGCTCCCCTGCAACCTGCTTGTACCAGGACAGATATTTAACCCTGGCATCGTAGAAACACGGTAAAGTCACACTGTGTCCGGGGTTAGTGTAGAGCACAGTGCCATCTGAAACAAACAAAGAGATAAGTTAATCACCACTGAATGCAAATTGAGCTTTACACATTACCCATAATTTATTTTTTATCCCTTACCTGCTCCAAAGAGAGGAACCAAGAGCACATAAAACTCAAACATCCTTCGCTCTGCACTGACCTTCAGTATGACGGTGGTTTCTGTAAAGGGGTCAAAGTCAAAAGCTGCACCTTCAGTGGAAAACAGTCTGTATGTAACCCAGGTGGTGTAGATTTGTGGGTGTAAATATTGCACAAAAGGAAGTGAGAAGCTCTGAGTTGCCGGTTTACATTTTTTTTTTGCAACACATTTTTCTGATTTTGCATTAAAGTTGACTGATTTCTTCCAGTCCACAACAAACACATTTCTAAAATTCTAAATAAAGATAAAGATTAGATAGCTACCAAACACTCTTGGCTGAACTTTGTGATACGTTTTTGTGGTTTAGACGTTTACAGACGTATAAAGTGCGTGCACTGAGATCCTGCATCCTTTTGTGCATGCAACTGATGCTTCCACACAACCACTCTCCTTTCTTTGAATGTGGCGCTCCATGGCCTGAGGGGGGCGCCAACAACACAGCATAATCTTTACAGGATGAGACGTTATGCCCAGCAGTCAGTACCTGCTTTTCTACGGCAAAGGCAGACCAAGTTCATTTGAACAGCACCCATCAACAAGGCAATTTAATGAAGGAAAAAGAAACACAAAGCAATATAAAAAGAGGCAAATAAATAGGATTTAAAATGACTAAAACTACTAAAATAGATGATATAAGTAAGCTAGAACTGCATAAAACAGATGATAAAACATAAAAACTGGATGCTGCTTTTCAGTGTGAGCATCCGAGAGTTTTGGACGGCTCTGGCTTATCAGCAAATCATACGTATTGCATTTAGTGCTTAAAAAAATAAACAGAAGTAAAGAGGAAGCCTGCAAAAAGACTGGACTGACCACATATTCCACCCTCTGCATTCTCTCTCTCTCTCTCTCTCTCTCTCTCTCTCTCTCTCTCTCTCTCTCTCTCTCTCTCCCTCTCTCTCTCACACCCACACCCAAATACATACAGCAGTGAGACACAAAAGCAGAAGTTAGTGCTTCTCACTAGAATTTCTGCTTCATCACCATATGCACATTAATTATGTCTGCGCCAAGTGCTTACTGATGAAAGCTGTGGTGGCTTGTATTGTGTCGACACAGATGAAAGAGAGAGAAAGAGGTGCATCATTAAAATGCACACAGGAAACGGCTCGGATGGATTTTCTCAAAGGGGGGGTTGCCAGAAAGAGTAACACCCCAGTGGACCAGCAGGTGTCAGTGTAAACCCAACAGTCAAGCCTAAAGGTGGCATTTGCATCCTCACTGTGGGGTAAAAAGACAACATGAAGTTGTATTTCTCAGTATTTGTAGAAACAGGGGCATTTGGTCATGTTGCAAAAGCACTCCCTGGAGTTTGGCAGCTCATGTTACACCATGTGACAGCCTCACTTGTTTGATAACTTCTGCTTTGGCTGCTTTCTCTTTTTCTGTAGGTCTGCACACAAAGTTCAGTTTTCTTCTCTTCCACTCTACTACACATGTTTCTGAATTTTGTGTGAAGAGATAAAGTTAGTCGAGCTTTATTTAATCCAGAAGTTTGTTTTGGAAAACTTTTCTCTAAAGTACACAAACTTCCTCAATCACGTTGTTAAATGGTCCAGTAGGCCGATTGGTGAGTCACAGCTGATCCCCGTACAGCAGACAGTTACAGCGGAGGAGCAGCTCCATTTTGAATGACCGGCTTCATTCAGCTTCTTCCTTCTGGACGGACGGTTATAGTCTCTAGGTGTAGAACAAAGCAATATAAAAATAGTTTCATTCCAGCAGCTATCATTCATATCAACAAGTTGTAGTAACGTGACACAGATTGTTTTTCTTGTTTTAAGCTTAATTATATATTTTTTTACTGATCTCTCTTTTTAAGGCCTGATTTTTGGAGCCTGAAGCACTTTTATCTTAATACTTTATTGTCTATCATTTATTATGTTTCTTGTTTTAATATTTTTATCAAGAGGAGTGCCTTGTTTTTTACATCTGTGACTTGTCATTGTCATCTTGAGTAATAAATCAAAAATAGCATCTTCGTCTAGCAATGGTAGGTTGTGGTTTTGGGGAAAAGGCCGCTGAGTAAGCAGACAGGATATCTTTATAACCAACCATAGAAAGCAGAGTGGACTGAATTATCAAGCTCTGGTATAAGAACCCAGTTAGAATTCCGAGCTTGGTGGTAAACATGGGTTTAACCAAATTCAAGCTTTAAAATGAAAACATAGGCTAACGTCTGTTAGTTTAGATTAATGTCAATAGTGTAACACTTGATGTATCTCCAGGAGGGAAATTAGGTGTTACAGCTGTACAATAAATAAACCTGATGAATAAAAAAAAGCTAAAAAAGCAAAAAACTATACAATGAAAAAAGGAAAACTACCGTAAAACTTTAATGAATAGCCCAGGCTTTTATTTCCTTCAATCACTGATCTAAGCAGCTTAGAATGCGAGGCGACCCGGTGGGCTTTAAGCTGTTTTATTGATCTATAAAGTCCAGACCAGGCCAGAAAGCATGTAGCCACACCAGGCTAGCAAATGAGGCCTGCTTCTAATTGAAGTTTTACAGTATATATAGATCAACCTAGACTGACGTTCTTAAATATGCTTTATGTGCACAAAGTAAGTGAGCAAGTACACTTTTATTTATAAAGCACTTTTCGAAACAAAGTTACATGGTGCTTCAGAGGATACAGGAAAAATAAATTACAGCTCCATTACAGGGAAGGGAGATCGGTAGAAATGGGGTTTGAGAAGTTTTTTTTAAAGCTGACTCAGCTGATGCAACAGAAGGGGGAAGAGAAGGATGTTTCAGAAGGATGGGGCCCTAACAGCAAAAGTATTTTGCAAGTTTTGCAGGCGGGACAGGGTTGCTTTACTGAGACAGGAGAAATTAGGGTATGATTTAGTCATTCTAGGTCTATGGTTGATTGCATTGATCAGGTTTTGTGTTGCATAAGCTTGTTTATGAATGGGTCAAAGTTCATAACATCTCATCCTGTAAAGATAAGAATCAGAAAAGACAGGATGAGAAAGTAGCTACAGGCCGGACACCGAAGAAGGGAAAACACTACCTCTTTTGAGGTTGAGCAGAAGACTAAAGCAAGGTGTCAAAAACAATGCAATTGTGGTCAGAAACAAAATCACACATAAAAAGAAAGTTTAAAGTCAGGGCGAAGGAGTATGACCGTGGTGACGCATAGAACATGACACACGCTGAACAAGGTTAAAAGAGTTGATGATATTTCAACATTTGGTAGCAAGAATACCGAGAAGTGGCCAATATGCCAATGTGCAGACAGGATATTGTTTTACCGCAGTTTATAAAGTGGGACTCGAGGTCAGACTGTAGCTGAGCTGTAATGAGATCATTATAGTTCCTACATGCACGATAAGATTTAGCCAATGCTCTGCTGGTTGCATCAGAGCACCTACCACTTGACACAACCCCCCACAACACACCACACAGTAACCATCTTTAGGGTCATCTTTAGAGCCAAATAGGGTTAAAGGTCCAGTGTGTAACATTTAGGAGGCTCAACTGGGAAAAATTTAATATAATAACGTTGCAGATCACCTTCCATGGAGTCTGCCATGTTGAACTGCAATGTTTCTACAGTAGCCCAAAAGGGTGAAACCAAACACTGGGTCTAGATAGAGGCGTTCACTTTTTTCACACATTTCGCAGCCACAGTAGTTTCTCCTTCGGGGAGGGTGAAGCGAGGCAGTTGCAATCTGCAACTAGGCCACTAAATCCTGCAAACTGGACCTTTAAACTGATTTCTGCAGCCCACCCAACCACTTCAATATACGCTGACTACAATTGTCTGTTTTTCCTGCCATTTTAGCATATTCAGGTCAGTGTGTTCTGTTTATAAAAGTATTCTTTGTTGTGCACACTTCAGTAATCATTTTGGTGTGGTTTTGGTAAAAGGTCAGTAGTCATCTGTTTTCAGAAACCAGTAGACCAAACAGACTTTATTTAAATCATAGGCCTGACTCTTAGATGTCTTATAAATTAGGTTGGTTTGACACTTAGCTCTACTCGTCTGAGAAGAGTTGAAGTTCCTTTTGAGGTTTGTGACTTCCTATTACCGTACTTAGACGCCCATGAGCATACATACAGGAACGTAACATGACAGAGACCTCATTACGCTTGGCAGAGACAGAGGAACAGGTGAGTGATTTAGAGGAGAGGGTCTGCTTGTTTGCATAAGGGGTTTAGCACAAGGGGTAAGTTAAAGACCATTCTTTTCACGTGTTAGAGTCAGTATCTTGCAATGCGACTAATAAATCTACTAGTGTAATTTTTTAATTTATTACAAAATCAAATTAATGTGCATTGGTCTGTTAGCAAATCAATTTTAAGATGGCAGGCTTTTTAAAAATTCTATTTGCTATGTTTTCTCTTATGCTGCAGAGTTTGCATCAACAGCCGAGTTGTAACCACAAATGGCCAGGCGATTGGTCTAGCTATAATTTTTTTCTCTCAGAGCTGAGAACAAGTGTTATGTATTCAGCATTACACTTTTTTTCAAAAGTCAACACCTATGTTGTTTATGTGTTGTGCATTTAGCGTTTTTTTTTTTTTTTTTTTTTTTACAGATATTTGGTATCTGTTTTTTACATCTGCATTATGAAGTTTCATGTGTAGTTTTATGTGATATGTGAAACTTACTTGCATGAGCAAATGTTACCTTGAAAAGAATATGTAGAGGATGTGGGAAATTAGAAAGATAAGAACGCACAGAAATAGTGGCACTACAAAAACTGAAAAGATATGAATGCATTTCGCCTTAGAACTGCTTTGGTGAATTGGAGTATAACAGTTAAACACTTTTTATTTGTTTTGTAAGGGTATATACAGTAATGGTTGTTTCTCTCTTTTTTCTGGAAATTATAATAGGTACCACTTTGTAATAAGGCATAAAAATGTTTAAAATTATAATTAATCGTGTTTTTATGATTTGGTTGTATGGTATTGATTTGACAAATCATTTATTAACAAGTAGTAATCCATTAATAATATCAACATCTGGGTTGCCAGATTGTGAAATTTTATAGGTAGTGCAAAAGATGAAAAAAAAAGGAAACACGTGCAGATAATTTGCATGCACAAACTTGAGTCAGCTGTGAAACAAATCCACACATTCCCTGCACCTCTGTTGTATTTCTTGTACCGTTATAAATATAAACAATGGTGTTTGTGAAGTTTGGGAAAATGTATTTTAGCGTAAAAGGCAACTTTTGCATTTGCAATTGAAACTGTAAATGGAGTTTTACACAGCAAGCTAAATGGCCCACTGGAGAATACATATGTAAGTTCCTAGAGCTAAACGTTTAATTTTAAAATGCTCTTTCAAAACCGATCCTGTCACTTAGCATTGTAAATTGCCTGTTTAGTTTGACATGTTCTAATCTCTGTTGTAGATCTCAGCAGTTTAAGTTAAAGGACATCAGCTGAGTACGACAACAAGACGATTTTCCTCCAAGATGTTCTGTTCTGTCAGCATGAAGGGGAATATCAGCAGTATCCCATCAAACCAAACAGCCAAGATGACTTCTTTGAATGTTTTTACCATTTCCCTCCATGGAATGTTCTCTACCATCGGCATCATAGAAAACCTCCTCATCCTTGGAGTAGTGGGCTTCCATGTCCGCCGCTCTGTCATCAGCATCTGGATCCTGAACCTCGCAGCCTCTGACATGCTGGCCACCTGTAGCCTGCCCTTCTTTACCCTCTACATGGCCCGCGGTAACACCTGGACTCTGGGAAACACCTTCTGCCGCATAAATTCCTCCATCTTCTTTCTCAACATGTTTGTCAGTGGCTTCCTGCTGGCGGCCATTTCTCTCGACCGCTGCCTGGTGGTGCTGAAACCTGTCTGGGCCCAGAACTACAGGAACACTCAGCTGGTAGGGAGGGTTTGTGGGGTGATTTGGGCGATGGCTGTGGTCTTCACTATCCCCTTCTACATATTCCGTGACACCATTGTCCTACCTGATGGCAAGATCCTGTGTTACTACAATTATGCTCAGTTACTCCCCAGTGAGCCCTATGACTTGGGATCTTTGTGTAAGCACCGCAAGGAGGCCTTGGCCTTCATGAAGCTCTTTCTAGCCTTCCTGATCCCTTTACTTGTCATCATCCTCAGCTATGCTGCCGTGAATGCTCGCTTGGCGCGGAGAGGCTGTCGACGCCCTTTCCGCTTTGTTCGACTCGTAATAGCCGTGGTGGTGACCTTTATACTCTGCTGGGCTCCGTACCACTTATTCATCGTCATAGAGGTGATTGCTCCCACTGGGAGTTCTGCACAGAAGCTGGCAGGCAGGGCCCTCCCGATTGCAGCAACCATTGGCTTCCTTAACAGTGTCCTTAACCCCATTCTGTATGTGTTCAGCTGCCCTGATCTTTGCCATAAGATAAGACATTCTCTGGGTGCGGTGATGGAGAGTGTTCTGGCTGAGGACCTGGCAGAGCTCCGACGCCGAAGCACCGCTCGCAGCTCTATCAGTACCAGTGAGATGGTGTTGAAACCGAAGAATTCTATTACAAACATGACTCTGAACACAGAAGTGCAAGAGCATGATTAAATTCTTGTTAACCTTGCTCAGAACTGAGCAAAAAGGTATCGTAAATTCTCTAATAGTGGCCAGGCTGCCCAGAGATCCAGCCTTTATTTGAAAAGGGCCCCCTGCTATTATGACCATTACTGAATCCTGGCTTTTTATTTTACAATTATGGTATTTAAAAGGTCTCAACCAAGTGTTTCCAAGTGTGTTAGCTGGTCAATATCACAGTGGCATTAATTTTTTATATTCCCAAGAACATTCAAGGGTTTAGTCATCTTTACTATACAGTGTGTACGGATGACCTCCACATTAAGTACATGAAGTGCATGAAAACAAACAAAAAGCAAAAAAAAAACTAAAAAGCAAGAAATGTTGTCTTGTCTTAATATGATGCTATATATAATATGGGTGCTCAATTGATGTGTACATTTGTTTGAATGACTCATACATTATTGCTTCTTTACAGTTTGTTGCTTTGTGATAAAAGAGTTTTGAATAGAGGTGTCTCTCACTAGATGTTGCCAGTAGCCACAGAAGCTGACACAAGCTAATTTTAGATACAGTTTGCGTTTGCTATAGATTAGCCCATTGTGCTCATAATAGAGAATAGATGTCAGTCATGAAAGTTAAATTGTATATCTGCTTCTTCCATGCAATGTAATGTACATACTTTTTGATGCTGTTGAATTTCTAAACATTAATAAACAGAAAGAAAAGCACTCTCATGCAGTATGACACGTACCTTGCAAATAACCACATTCTTGCATTTCCGTATTGATGCACACCAGTCCTATTTTTAGAAGGATTTACAGTAAACAAGTGATTAAACAGGAGTTTTAATCATCATTGTAAACATAACAGTAAAAAACAGTTTGACTGTGAAATGTCCACAGGGGCTCATTTTCATACACTGGTCACACTCTTCAAAAACATACATACAAAACACATGTAGTAAATAGATGAATTAGATAAATTGGATTTCACTTGGCTTCATTTGAATCACAGAACAGAAAATGACATTTCCATATTTCTACTCCATGATATAGTGTTGATTTCATGTAAGCAACAGTTAAAGTCTTTACACTGTGTGCTACACACAAATGTTTCTATTTCCGCCCTTCTCTGAAGCAGTATTTATATCATCATGAGAAACTAAAAAGTCAACTAGTGGAATAATGTTTGAAACACAAATTGATTTACTTAGAGATGAAACTCACATGGCACAGCAACTGTACATGCACATTTCCACTGGATGGCACAAGTGCCTTGACTAAATATTAGGAGTCAGGTCTGTGGTCAAATCCAAGTTATACTGCTAGAAGATTATTGTGTCCAGTTTCACTCTCCCTCTGCCTGTTGGGGTGAGATCTGGTACTGAGGGTGATCTTTTTGCAAGTGTTTTGACCCCTTCCCAAACAGGGCAGGGACCTTTGCAGCTCTAGTCGGGCATCAGGGCATAGAAAGATGTAGAAGAGGGGATCCAGCAGGGTGTTGAGGCTGGTCAGACCGTAGCACAGTCGATAGATGAGGAAAATTGAACGCTCCAGTCCACACGGCTCATCAGTCAGCAGCAAGGACACAAATCTGTACCCGCCCACGAGGTGATAGGGTCCGAACACAACGATGAAGTTGACAGTGATCACGACTAGGATGCCCACGATTTTGTGCCGCTCGTGGTCAGAGAGGGACGGAGATCGTCGGAGTGTCACCCCAATGTGGGCTGAGGTGTAGCTAAGGAAGGAAGTAGAGTTGAAGGTGAGAACCAATCATCAGAATATATAAAATGGTATGGTATGTATGCATTGTATTATTTCAGCTTGAGGTTGGAAAATAATCTGCTTCCCTTTTTCTGTCTCACAAATTTGACCAATTTAATTATTTAGACATGAAAGAACTTCTTGTGCTTTAGGCTGACGGATTTGAGCACAGAACCTTTACATGAACAGATTTGAACATAATATTACGTTGGGATTCTTCAGGTTAACTCACCCTAGTATGGTACATGGCAGCAGAAAGCCGAGGGCCACGGTAGTGATCTTGAAGTGGGCGTATCTAGGGCTGACGGGGTACTGCTCGAGACACAGCAGTCTGTCAGAGTCAAACACTGAAGGAAGCAAACCACTCAGGCAGAACAGAAAGGTGAGTGTCCAAACTGCAACACCGGACAGAGCTGCCACCTTGACAGTCCGCACGCTGCGGCTGCTCAGCGGGTACACGATGGCTAGGCAGCGGTCTAGCGCTATCAGGCACAGGAACATGACACTGGCGTAGACATTTACATAAAACACGTAGCCCACCAGCTCGCAGGTTAGTTGGCCATAGGGCCAGCGGTGCGCACCTTGAAGATAAAGTATCCACAGCGGCAAGGTGAGTAGCTGGAGGAGGTCTGACAGCAGCAGGTTTAGGATGTAGACCAGCTGGCAGCCTCCCCCACCTGAGCGGCCCAGGTGGTACAATCCCCAGAGAGACAGAAGGTTGCTGGGGAGACCCAAAGAGAAGATCAGCCCATAGATGCACGTCAGGCCAAATGTGTCCGTGTCCAAGGGTAGGTTGCAGCTGTCATTGGACATGTCTCTTTTGGTCAACAGCCTTACATGGGAAACTAGAGGTGAACTTGCTCAGGATGAAGAGTTGGTGTAGAAAAACCCATTCATACACTCAAAGTACAAGAAAAGGTAACAAGTCCTAGCTGTTATCAGTTTGACACATCCACTTGTCATTTGTCCATTGTGAAATATTCATCAGTGCATTCTCCTGTGGAAAACAGTAGGCTCAGATTTGGTGCTGCCAGTCAACCAGTCTTCAAAGCATCCAGGGTCCATCAGGAGAAACAAACACCTGCAAAGAGCATTCACAGATGGTTTAGTATCTGCAGGTGCATGAGCAGTTGAACCATATAATTTAAATCAAGACTTTTCACTCACCTCTTAAGGCGGTGAGAGCGACTTTGTTCCACAAAAGCCTGTGTGCTGCCTGCTCTGCAGCTGGGTGACCTGTACTCAAGAAATGTTGGGAACACGGTGTCTCGAACAAGCCTTGTCTATTCTGTGATCGTTTCCTCCACAGGAAACCCACTTCTTCAGCTTTAAAAGCAACATCCTGAGGCAGGAGAACGCCTTTCTGGCCCAGAACAAAAACATACAGTCTCTCTTTCTCTCTGTCTCTCTTACTACAGCAGTAGACAGGAAGATTAAGGTGGACAGGGGCTGCGGGGAGGAACTGATGCAGGGTGTCCACTAATGCCCTTTAGATTGTCGGTTGCTGGCTACGTGCCATTAAACACATTAACTCTTACGCTATGCCGTTTTTAAACATGCTTTTCAACACATTTGAGTGTTGCTTTTACCATGTAAGTAAGCAGACTCCCTGAGGTTACCCAACAAATTATTTTGGATTTTGTGTGTGTGTTAGGGTTAGTGGTAGGGTTATGTTGAGGTGATGGGATTGTAATTGATATTGATGAGGTTATGGTATATGGTTTGTCTCCACAGCAATACAAGTCAATGCAAGTGACAAAAACAAGAATTGGCGTGCGTGAGTGCATATCTGTTTTGGCATCACAGAACTGAAGGTGAAAACCGCCGAAAGTGAGACAAACAACCCTGCAGATAAAAGGCACACTTATTGCAATAAAAGTAAAATTATAGAGATTTTAGACAGTGAATGTGTGTAATCTACTCAGGGTGAACTTTTCTCAGGCACTACTGGGAGAAAAAAAATCTTACACAATTGAAATTGTTTTGGGGAAGAATGGGTATGTTGAGACAATGGGTGTTAGGCAGTATTTTTACCACAGGGTTTCAAAGGGTGGAGGGTCGAATTACACACGTGGTTTCCTTTCAAATGTCACCAACGTCTGATTTATTGAATAATCCAAGATTGAAACTAATAAATTGACCAGTCCCCTGAGACATTAGTACCACCCTATGCTCTCTGGAGATTTGGATTAAGGTCTCCATGCTCCTATGTAGACAGATATCAGCTGTAGTACACTGCATAGACAGCAAATCCGCTCCAAAGGGAAATGTCCCTGGAGTTGAGAGGCAGCATGATAAGTTGTTCCTGCAGCAGGCTGGCTGCACACTGCAGGAAGTTTTCAGCTGGATTTTAATCCTGTCATGGAATAGGGAGTTGTACATACTGTGCAGACACAGAAAGAATGAGATGAAGCCATTGCCACGTAAACTTCACCAGTATTAACCCCAATAGGGAACACTGGGTAGCACAAGGTCAAACTTTCAATTAATAAGCCTGGAACTTCAGAGTTCTGCAACATAGAAAAATCACACAGGAAGCTGCGGACTTAGAAGTTGCTACCTCATTTTGACATCCTTCTGCCACTCAAATGTGCACCCTACTGGTGGCCCACTTTGTAGTTGTACTATTTGCTGCATGAGAACAGAAGAAAAGTAAGTATTATCATTTATAAAGCTAAAAATACTAAATGCTAAAAGAGGGACTACAATACTATAATTTTCTATATTCTAACATCTACTTTTGTAGTCCTTTGCGCAGCTGTTTGACAAAAAGTCATGAAGTTGTAAACGAATACTGACACACACACACACACACACACACACACACACACTTCATCATCACCATAACACATAAACATCTTATAGCTTATGTGAGTGGGTCTGTCAAATGAAGTGAATGAACTGCATACTACATATGTTATTATGCAACCTATTTTCCATAACAACTCATCAGCACTTGCTCTTATCTTTCCTCTGAATCACCAGCATACATTGCCCAATCACTGGACAAAAATGTTAGTTTTCCTTTTTGTTGTATTTTTTTTCTAAATCTTTGCATTTGAGATAAAATTGCCAAACTGTAAAAACATTTTACAATAATATGGCGAAACATCCTTAGCTCTGCTACAGCGAAGTGGGTAGTTTCTCTCCTCATTGCATGAGCTCTCTGCGTGACCTGGCCTAAGGTTCTTTTTCAAATTGAGCAGCTACAAAGTACACCATGCTTGCACATTTTTTTCTGGTTTGCAACGCTGGAGTGATCTCAAGATAAGACATTTCGTATAATGCTTGTATACATTCATAGAACATGTACACGATGCACTGTATGTAAGAAAAAGTATAAGTACAACTACTCGGAAAGTATGACTGCATTAAAATTGTCAGCATTTTGTAAGTGAGAGCCCTGCAGAATTGAGTCTTCAGCTCTGAGCATGTTCCTCTTCATGCATTTGTGTCGTACAGAAAGTGAGAGAAACAAATGATAAGGATCTGTTTCTGTGTGTCTGTGAGTCCTTTGACTCCACCGATGTGATGAAATACTTGTGTTGCTACTGTCAGGCAGACAAATCCTTTGTTTTATTTCAGTTTTAGGTCAACCACTGTTTGGTAGGCATGTTGTGCCACCTACTGCCAGTTTACTCTCAGGTCAGAGTGCTCTGATAACACACTGTGGTGGCAAGTTATGGACTTTACCCATAAAGTTGTTTTTTGAAATCTATGTAAAACAACAAGTATGGAAACTAGCTTAGGAAAGCTTTGTTTTCTATCACTATGAATACTCAATAGATCAAAATATGATTGAGGTTTGAGGACAATTGTATACCATTAAAACACGGGGGGACTATATTAGACAAGTGACTGTATTACCCAAAACTGACATCGTGAATATGAATCTCCTAAATCTCTGACAAATATATTTCTATAACAAGATTGTCTGCATGTAAAACATAAATTTCACAACAATTTACACACTGAAGAAATTCTGCTAAACTGAAAATGTAGCTGTTAAACTCTACTTATTTAACTTGAGTGGTTCCCCTCAGAAAAACAGTGGGCAGTCACTAAGCTCAGCGGCGTAACTATTGTATATGCAAGGCATGCAGTTGCAGCAGCAGTCCAGGGCCCTTTGGATTGAATTGACCACTCCTATCTGCACCGCTGCTATAATCTTGATTGATGAGAGCTAAACCTACATCATATGCAGCAGTTGTCGCTGTAGGTATTTATCTTAGTCAATGAGCTACGGTCACTCCATAGAGTCTCCGTCTCACACTTGATGTCATTCATATTCAATAACAATACAAAACATAAAACATCACTTTTACATACATTTTATTGGCTCATAACTCCACAGTATGTAAATGTATGTTGTACAACAATCAATCTACACACTTGTGTTTTGTGTTTGTAATGCAAATGCATAGACATGAAACATTTTGTCAGTAATGTCAATGTGGTGCGCCGTTACTGATCATCATTACCCACAGGATCATGGTTTCATATGTGTGAAGGTGTGTTTACTCTTATGGTCCTCTGGTCAAGCCGCCTAGTCTATCACTGTTTTAGCCATGCTATTATGACTCCACTTTTCTGAATCAGTTACTCTGCTTTCGTCTTTCTCCTGGACCTTCGGCAGCAGAGAATCCTACAGACTAAGACTGAAGCCCAGACAAAGGCTCCAATAAGGGCCATGATGAAAGCAGCCACATCCAGACAGAAGTAGGAGTACCAAGACAGGCTAAAAGCAGCTGACTGCAGATGGGCTGCTCCTTTGTTCCTGATGACGTACTCAGTCCAGAAGATGGCGGTGTCCATTGGAGACATTGGCTGGTCACGTTGTAGCTGTGAAAGACGCTGTATGTTGTTACGGTATGAGGGAGTCTCCAGGATGTCCTTCAGAGCCTCCAGGAACTCCTCTTTCGTGAGTGATTTGGCCTCCACCACCCGAGCTGCCCCACGCACCTTCAGCCGGAGTACGTTGTCGAACTGGTCAAAGAGGAGGGGCAGGCCCAGAACGGGAACACCATGGTAAATAGCCTCATACATTCCATTGGTGCCTCCGTGGGCCACAAATGCTCGAGTCTTGGGGTGCCCCAGGAGGTCATTTTGAGGCAGCCAGTTCACCAGCAGGGTGTTGTTCCCCAGGGATGGAGGCTTTTCACCCACAAATCTCCACACCACCTTCTGAGGAAGCTGAGCAAAAGCAGCAGCGATGGCATCTGTGACCTCATAAGGCAGGGCTGACACCAGCGTCCCCTAGAGACATCACCACCACCCCGTGCTCCCCGGAGCTCTGCATGAAGGTCTCCAGCTCAGCAGAGAGGGGACGGGCCTTTTTACACTGGAAACCCCCTATGTAGACTACGTTGGGCATGGTGGGCCGAGGAAACTCAAAGACAAAATTCGTCCTCACCAGCCAAATATCAGCTGCACGCTCCAAAGACAGCAAGTCTGTACCAGGAGGGAAGTGCCGCTGGAGCAGATCTGAGTACGCAGGGTTAATGATAAAATGCTGTTCAGCAGCATTATAGAAATAATGTAGCATATTCTTGGTCCTTTCCAGAAAATCCATTTTATCATGGAGTTCACTTCCTGACACGGGGACATAGGAGACTGGAGAGGGAGCTATAGTTAAATGTCCCTCCCCATTATTAATCCAGCGCACATTGAAAACTATCGGCAGCTTCAGGTAACTACCCAGAAGAATCCCTAAAGTTAGAGCAGGGTCTGTTAACATTAAGTCAAACTCGGTATCTTGCAGCTTCTTCACAAAAACAGGATCATCTAACATTGTAGCAGCAGCTCTGGCAAGTATCTCATGGCCCATTCCCAACATGGATGTGATCAAGTACTGCTGGCAGAAGGTGCGTATAAAATTCGGCCACCTGCGGCATTCCATCACATCTATGAGCATTTTATTGTAGTAGTTCATATCTGCCTCATCCTCCAGCATGGGCACATTGATAGAAGTATAAAACGTAGAGTTACTGGGGATGTACCAGCTCTTGGCGGAGCGCAGCACAGTGAGGATGTGGCCTCTGGAGTGCAGCTCTCGGAGGATCACCTCCATGTTGATCCAGTGGCTGCCATCAACAGGCACTACCAGAATCTTGCTTCCACTGCAACAAGTGGGCCTGAGTAACAGGAAGCAGAGCCCTGTCAGGAATACAGGGATCATGCTGGACATTTACTGTGAGAAACAACAGAAAGAAATTATTAGACTAAACCTGGTAGCTTTAATGTATACTGTAGCTCATTTGTCTCATTGGTCTACACCTGATTTTGAATATAAGTCTAATTTGTGGCATAGCCACACAGTACACTGGCAGAAATTATAAGCTTAACTGTGTAGATATAATGTGATATGTAGTTTACTACTCAATAATCAATCAATAATTCTATGTGGACTGTGAGCAAATTGCCTTGCAAATCATTGTGAAACAGGGACTGACCAGCAACTTTAGAAAGGGAGAGTGTCAAAAAGATGAAAAGAGTTAAAGCTGCACTAGGCAAAACCTGTGCAAACCTATGCAAAATCTACTGAGTGTCTTCTGCCTCCCATCACACCGTTAAGCCCCTCCCACTACAAGTTTGAATGACAGCAGAAGGAATAGGAACAGATTCTCTCTGAAATGACCTGTGATTGGCCAGAATCTCCCGTCACCGGCTATATGTTATAAAGATTAAAAACAGAGTCAAGAGGAGGTGCAGAGGTCTGATTTTTTGCAAGGTGACCTCACTGTGAACAGTCATATCAGAATTTATGAGATTGTTATGTCACTCTAGATTGCCATTCATCATGTGGGTCAGTTTCATGCCACTGACCATGTGATGTGCTACTACTACTGCTACATGCTCATATGCAAAGTAGGTTAATCAAAATCAATCAATCAAACTTTCAAAAACTATTTCTTATTTTCTTCGCATAGAAATGCAGTTTTGTTCAGCTTTACCTCATAAAGTGCTGTTATATATATCTGTAGGTAGTGACATAAAGATTGTTTAAAAATGCCTCACCTTGTTCTTGTAGTATCAAAATGCTGAGGTTTGGCTTGAACTCCAGGTCCTGAGTGCGCCGGGATACTATGTGACATGTGTTTCCACACGGCTTTACCTTTACACACACACAGGCCCTGTTCTTCCGGGGTGAAGTCCAGTATATGGACTAGAGGTAACTAACGGGTATTGTAATAAAGAGCAAGGGTCAGTGTGTAAATGCATGTTTTTCTTAACATTTTTCAGTCTTTAGGGGTTGGTTTTAAATTATTTTTGTTGTTTATGAATTTCAGATCTTCATAGTTTTTTTGATAAACACACATTCTGGGCTGTAACAATCAAAATGAATTAGGGAAAAAAAAGCAACCTGTTGTCCAGTATTTCCATTGTGCAGACCCAGGAGACATTTTATAATGTATTCTTATGTGATAAAGTGAATAGCCCCTAGTGACTAACCTCGGAAATGGCTTATGAGTTACAACTTCAGTTTCAATAATATGTGCTTTGATCCAGTCTAAAGCTGGTATTTAATGTTTTAAATGAATAATTTAAAAAAATCTACTTCTACTAACTATGGTATGATATATTAAATTAAATGTTATTTGTCATGGGTAGCCACATACCATGACATCTTCCACAGCAAATTTTGTTTCCACCTCTAACAGAACAAAATCTATGAGATTTTTGCTAAACATACTAAATGTGAATCATTAATATGGGTTAAATATGGATTGGATCAAGTCATTTCAGTTGTTTTTGTCGTTCCCTTCACATATCCACTCATTTCAGAGCTTTAGAATAAGATAAGTAAGATAAGTTATCAGGTGGACTAAAGAGAGTGCTGAATGGCTGTTTTTGCACCATTCAATCTATTTGAGTGACTCAATTAAAAGTTACTCATCCGTTCATCCCCTGCTTACAGGAAAGTTCATTGCACAGACTTCACAGTTTAATGGACGGGGAAACTTCAGGAGAGAGCTGGGCAAAACTGCTCCAAACTAGGACACAGTCAGAGCGTGTGAGACGGGAGTGGCAGGGAAAGAGGGAAGGAGGAAGCAGCAAGGTCACACAGTGGAGGCAAAATAAAATGAGCGCTGGTGATTACAATAACTGCACGAACCGCTGTTCAACAGTCATATCAGTGAACCGCAGCCTTCCCCTCCTCTCCTCTCCCTCTGTGGAGTTTTATAAGCCTGAGCCAGAGAACAACAGCCAGTGAGGTAACAGCAGAGATGATGACTGCAGCCTGTCGCTCAAGAGTTTACAAGTAAAATAAATATACTTGCTTACCAAGGTGACATGTCTGAAAAGAACTGAGTCGGATTGAGTTAGAAGTAAAGGTACATATGATTGATTTCTGTTGCTCACTGGAAGTTTGTTCTGCACTTTCTCTGCCGTTCTTGTGTGACCAATTACCTAGCTCCGGCAATATCGGCCTAGCCTTGTAAAAGACTCCAGTCATGCTCAGTGAGTGCACAGGCAGAGTGTAGGCAGGTAGTCAGGCAGGTAGGCTTATTACAGGCCTGTGACAGTCACAGATACCAGATTTACTTACGTCTTCTCAAGATGTAAAGATAATTTGTATTTAAAATACAAGACCTACCCTAGCTTTAACAGGCATGTTGCTTCTGCTTACTGTTAAGTGTAGAAACCTTGAAGAGCAGCGTTTAAGTGATCGTGTGATCAATCACGTGAGCTCAGAGCAGGAACAGCCAAACTATGGCAAGTACTAAGTTAATTCTGTTAAAAAAAAAACTACTCTTTATGAATGCAGTTAAGTGTTACTAACCACATTAACAAGACCAGAATTAGAGGGAATTAGGTGAAATCTGGAGCAGGGAGGGAAGTCTGCTGCTGGAGGAGGTACGTGAAAGGAAATATGTAATAAAAGGAAATTAAAAATATCTCCAGTGGAATGCAAAGAAAGTGTTCTACCATCCTTTCAAAAGTGCATTTCATAACTTATAAGAAAGTAGCAGCTGCAACTGGTATGACAAAGCTATTATATGAAATTACAATTCCAGATGATTAGTACTTGCCTCTGTGTCCTTCCTGCAGCCGTTTAGGACCCTATACACTACTCCTAACCAACATAAGAACATTTCTTGAGTCAAAATAAATCAGATAAATAGCATTTATTTTTTTGTTTGCAAATATGAGTTAAAGTATAGGATTTGAACTCTTAGTTTTCACTCACACTTAACAGTTGTGTTAAGAACAAACTAAAAATAGGTACAGGTATCTGGCCAAACAGTACAAGTGGCCAGTTAAAGAGCTGACTGAGGGATCTAGCCTACCTCAGAGCAGGACAAGAGCTATTTCTGAATGTTCCTACACAAACTCTCAATAAGCAATAGAAGATTTCATTTGAGAAAAAAACCAACATCAAATCAAATAAATTTTGACATCTCTCAAATACATTCCAAAGGCTCTGAGAAGATCTGATGCAGGTTGAGTGAAATTAATTTATGACTGACACTACTCAGCTACTGACACCCATTTTAAAAATAGTTTACATCAGTTGACACAGTTTGACCTTATCTGTTCAAGACATTTTTGACTCCAAATCCAGGGAAATAAAAAAACGTACAATTTCAAAAGCTGCTATAAAAGTTGTAAGGGGGCCTAATGCTGCAGTGGTGGTATATTATGCCCATTACATTGTGTTTATGGAGTCCTTAAAACCATCCATATCTTTCAATCAGTCTATATTTACCCACCTACTGGAATGTGTGAGAGTGTTTGCCTTATCTTATGCCTAACAGGTTAGGACAGCTCTGTAGCTGCCCTATATCCTGGAGGAGATAGGATGATATTCCTGGATTTGGAAACTTGATTCTTCTCTAAAAGTAGACCCAAATATGCCTCACTCTGAGAATTCTCAGCTAGAGTGATTAGATAGATAACTGTTGAAACTCAGAGGCCTAAAAGAAAGGAGGATTTTTAGAGAACCAGGAGTCACATGAGGGTTTAAGACAGAGGAGCAGCTGAAATCATTGGCTGAGAGGTGACGACCCCCGGCTGGGTGGTTATCATATATTGCTGGGGACCCGCGTACATTGGCTGGGCGGAGACAACGGTGAGTGGCTGTTTGCGTCTTTTCATCTCTCTGGCAATCTGGCACCAGGAGCAGACGTTGCAGAAGGTGGCGTACATGCAGTCAGATGATAAATCACCCTGAGCAGAGACACACACAAAACAGAAAGAAAGTAGCAGCCATGAAGAACAAAAAAAGGGGCGAGGCATCTCTCCGGCTTCTTCCTCTTTTTCTAAACTCACCTGGATTCCGTAGCGGGTACGCACGGCAACCCTCATTGACATGGACACAGGCGGAGTGCATGATGGGACAAACATCATCTGGACGGCGTTCCACATCAAATCCAGCAGGGGGAGACAGCAACACTCTCCGAACTCAGAGGTGGTGTTGCAGGCAAAGCAAGGAAAGCACCAGTAGGCAAAACAACCTGGAACAAGGTTGAGGTGGGGTTACAGTGATAACAGATCTTATCTGGAGAGGTCCTTAATTGTGGGAAAGTTCAAAATATCCCTGGGTGCTGTGTTTTTTTTTCAGATTTCAGATTAGAACATTCTAAATTGAGACTTGAAAATGCTTGTCATGATGTGTTTGTATGTATGTTTGGTTTGTTCCTTCTGAGCTGCTGTAGAAACATGGTGGCCGACATGGAAGGCGACCCATGGAGTCCATAGCATTATTATAGTTTTGTATTTTCATTAGGTTTTATTTTTTATTTAGTTTTTTTAATTTCTGTTTTCAATTCAGTTTAGTTTCAGTTATTTTCCAGAGTGCGTTATTATAGATCTTATCTTATTATAGTTTAAAATGGGGAGTATTTGTCAGTATAGGCATTACAGTACGAACACACTGACTCAAAGTCTCAATAAACATATGTACCAATGCCTCTTCATGCTTGTTGAGGTGACTAATTTGACCAAATTAACTAAATAAACTCAAACTAAAGACAGTTCCTGTATATTTTTTATTTTATTTTAGTTAGTTGTGTAAGCGTACAATGTAGTTTCAGTTAGTTTCTGTTTTTTACTAAAGTCTAGTTTTTATTTTTATTTCAGTTAACTAAAATGTTTTTTCACACCTAGTTTTACTTTTTAGTTTAGTTTTAGTTAACTATAATAACTTTGGTCTGTAGCTATAAAAGGCTTATTCTAACATACCAAAAACCTGGAGAATGAGCCTAGATTCAGATGATTATACACTAATGAAAACATACTTATGCATATTACATTCCATTTCTGTGAATACCCATATTCCTGTTACACACTAGACATTTTAAGATATGTCACTTTTATCTTTTGCCACTGAGGTTTGCTCAACTGTTGGAACACAGAGCAAAAAGGGACAGAGCATAGGAAGGGTGACTGATTTTCTGCTCGGTCTTGAACTTGACTGCAGTGGTCTTGACTACAGTCCCTGTTAAAGTAAACTTAAGACTCAGTCCAGGCTCAAATGTCACTTTGACAGCATTTGCATCCGCCAGTGGACACACAGGAGGTATAAGGAAAACACCTGCCGCTCTGCACAGAAAAAGACTTACAGACGTTTAAATCGTCGAAGCAGTCACATATGCCGGTGCTCCACTGGTTGGACTGGACAGCAACCAGAGTCGGAGCCTGGGGCTGATTGTTGCTGATGAACACATTGGTTGCCATGATGATCCCTCAAATAAGGAAGGCCTGAAAATGAAAACATTTATAGCTGTTTTTTTTCTCATGGGAGTCTTTCTACATTCACTGCACCTTTTACAAAGTTGAACTCAAGCCCAAATATCTGAACAAGGCTCCCGGGACGCCTGCTGGTCCAGAACCTTTCCTTCCTTCAATTGTTCTACGTTATGATATGGCGCATTTAAATCTTCAGGACATGGTTCACACCATTTACCCAGACCCCTAGCGCATTCTATCACCTGGTGACATCTGTTTACTGTGAATCAAAACAGCTGCTGAACTTCCTTGCATGCATGCTGTAAAATTCATCCTCCTCACCTAGCCTGTTGTTTTACTTTTTAACTCTAATTTGAACAACACTCACCTGAGCTGGTGTTGGATCCTCTCTCCGTGGACACTGGTTTGATCACATGGAGCAAAAGCTGGCATTTAATCCTTCAGGGCATGATTTAAATTTGGCAGATTTGCATGTGTGGTTTGCATAAGATTGCAAGGAGGTACAGTTTTGCACTGAACTTCACTTCTGTGTGGTATAAGAGTTTTATTACCCTGTTCAACAGGTTTTAAATGCAAAAAACTTGAATATGAATGACACAAAAAAGCTCCAGCAAATAAAACAAAGTGAATTAAAGGAACATAAATATTAAAAATGTGTAATAAAATCAAATCGTACAACTTCTTCTAACAATCACAGTATTCTAATTGTAATCCAATACAAGACAAGAAATCACTGCACACCCTTATAATGAAGTCTGTAGGGAAATAAGTGTTGAGTCAAAGTAACAACAAAACAAAGAGTCTACAGCCATTTTAGCAGCTCTGTGAGGCTGCGCTCAGGCCAGTGGTTCTCAAACTTCTTCTGGCGTGCCCCCCTCTGAAAAAGTCCACACATCATAACAGACAATTTTTAGGCATCATTAACGATGCCAGGGCAACTAAAACTTATAAAAAATGATCCAAGTTGAATTTAAGAATTCAATTCATTTAAATTCATTTAAGTTTTCCCTACATGAAAATGTAGCTCCACTTCACATTCTCATCCATGCCCCACCTGCAGTTGCTTTGTGCTCCTGCAGGGGGGCCCACCCCACAGTTTGAGAACCACTGACTTAGGCACAGTGCTGCTTTGAGCTAAAAGCTAACATCCCACACACTCACAGTGACATGCTGATGTTAAGCAGGTAGTGTTTACCATGTTTACCAATGCATGTTAGTTTGCTAACATTTGCTAATTAGTAATTAGCACTAAACACAAAGTACAGCTGAGGCTGATGAGAATGGCATTTGTTGTGGTATTTGGTCATATATAAATAAAGTATTGGAACCAGTTACAAAAGTCGCTTAAACTGTGAATAACTCAGTACATGTTTTAGTTGTGTTGTGTATGTAACTGTATATATTTTGCTGTTTTTACTCTATTTAACGGTATTATTCTTTTAGCTGTATGTACTATATGTTTCACTGCCTCCTGTTGCTGCCTAACAAGTGAAAATGAGCCCATACAGAAACATATACATACTTCTAAAGGATAAGAACCGCTACTGGGGACCAATAAATAATCGAAAGGTATAGAAGCATCTTGGAAGTTGTGGTAGAAGAGAGAGAGCGGGAAAAAAAAAAAACATAGTGTAGGTTAGAGTTTAACCAGAATAATCATCAGTACACCACTAGCTGTCACTGATAGTTCACAGGAAGTCACAGAGGCCAAGTGTCTGCTTATCTCTTTCTTCTGTTATTAAGTGACGCAACATTAGTGGCATTCCTCAGAGGCAGACTTGCTTGAAACAGATCACAAATCAGCCGTGGTAGCCCTCTCTTATCCCAAATAGCATGAAAAGCATTGATGTCAACAGTCGTGACGGTGATGACGTTAATGTTAATTATGATGACGGGATTGTAAATGTAATCTTTGTTCTCATCAGACCATGTTACTGACAAAGGCCATGGGATTCGTCCTCGTTTTGATTTCTCTTGATATTTGGCACCAGGAGCAGGGCCCGCAGAAGAAGGCGTACACGCAGTCCCTGCAAATTGTACCCTGTGAAGACAGACGCAGTGAGGATGTGGGGTGTAAAATATGCACAAATACAACAGACATGGGAAGAAAATGCCCCCACATAGTTCATGGTGGACAAATACTTGCATATAGTAGAATAAAGGTGGAGCTACCAGTTCTATAACACAGCTTTTTGGCTACAGTCATTAATCATTGTCAAAGTCGGACTAAACAAGTCGGCTGGAACAAAAGAACACAGCGTACTGAAACTCTTTAATGACCATACGGCATGAATTGCTGGATGTTCTCAAGGAACGTACACACAGACTGTGACAAAAGGATAAACAAGTTTAATACTGATCCTGGATCTGATAAACCGTCAGGGCAACAGTGACTTATGCTGGTACGCTTGGAAGCATTGACGCAGCTGAGGTGCATTTTAGTCGGAACAATGGTGGCTTTACGGCTTTTTTGAATAGGGGATTAGGATAACATTTACCTCAATGCCATATCGTTGGCGTACTGACACCCTGAGGGCCGTGGTTATAGGAGGGATGACTCCAAAAGAGTCCAGCAGAGGTAAACATAGACACTCTCCGGCCTCGTGTGAAGTCTTACAGGCGAAGCAGGGAAAACACCAAAAGGCGAAGCAACCTGCAAAAAAAAGTTGCATTTAGGTTCCTTCAGTCGCTGAGGTCAACTTTGAAGCCTCTTAAAGGTGTACACACATTAAAAATAGTAAACAAGTCAGAATGTTTCAGGAGCTTCCGTTTTGAGATTGTTTCGTTTTATCTGAGGTTGCATCAAGAATGGTAATACACAGCTCAAATACTTTATACACACTATAAAACCTGATAAGTAACTTTGACTGAAAATATTCAACGTAATCAGTTTCAACAATCTTTTCAAGCAAAAATAACTTATCGCGTTACAATGTACACCCAGTCCTCTCCAATCAATCTGCCGTCTGCCTGCATTCCTAAACCCAGATCAGTCTGAATGATCAGCATGTTTCCAACCTCCTGCACGAGAGGGGGATTTCAGTTCTTGTCTCAACTTGTGTTCTAAAAATGTATCTTATCACGCAGTATAAAATGTGTGTACTTGGTCAAAGTGCACTTACACTGGGGCAGGTCTTGGAAGCAATCGCAGATGCCAGAGGTCCATTCATTGGACACAGTGGTCATGATGAAGGGCCTGGGCTGAGTCGCGACCATCTTTTCCGACATGACTTCAGCTTCTGACCAAAAACACAGATTACAGTCACTGTCAAGACCAGACTGTCTGCCAAAGGCTTTACTTGCAAAAACACTTATGTCAGAGTACTGTGCTAAGTGGCAGTACACTGACACGATATCAAGGAGAATACCTTAGTAAAATATTTTATCCCCATGACAGGAATATAATCTCCTTGGATATGGAAAAATAGCTAATGGACCATTCACATGATCCAGCTTTTCTCCTCATTGTCTCACTGGTTAAATCCATGTTGCTGTAAGTACAGGGACGATAATGTTTTCAGATGATACGGTAAATACGGTACTTGCTCTTCCTTCTACCCCTCAGATGGGAATCAGTGCATAGTCCATATTACTATAGCATGTACAGTGTGTGTTTCAGGTCATCATTTCATACATACTGACAGAATGTAACTCTAAATGCATGTCACATTTCCGTGATCGGTGTACTGTACTGTGATGCATGAATAGACTTAGAGAAGCTATTCACCACACTAGTGGGTGGTTAAAGAGCTGTTACATCCATTTTAAGATTTCATAACAGTGTAGTTAATTTTCAGTTTCTATAAAAGAATTACTCTCGCTGTACTGTGTCATTTTTAGACTTTATATCAGTTTGTGGTCTTGAAATTGCAATATATTTGGCCCGATAATAGATACTGGTGATGTCAAAAATGTACGTTTTTTTCAGGTTTTAGTTCCAGGAAAGAGAAGTGCACACTCATAAGTATACTGGGGTGTCTAGGGTTATCAAAATTACACATTGTTGAGCAAGCACCTCATCTCAGACAGGCCTGTATGTTGGAGCTGAACTACTTCTGTTTTTCAAAGGTTTTAGAAAACCACAGGTTGCCGAGGTTCCCGAACAGATACAGCGTCACACAATTTTTCACCTGAAGTTAAAACACTGAAAGACTGTGCTCAGAACAAGCCAGTGGCAAATTATTATAGTATTTCCCCTTTCATAAAAATACAAAGCAGTGTACAGTTTTCCTCCCTGAGCACCTAACAGTGGATGGTCTTACCTTACTGTCCTGTGAGGATGAAGGAGCAGGGTTGAGTCAAGTGATGGGTTTGCAGGGCAGTGTGGCATCTTATAGAGCTGCTGCAGAGCGGTGAACCTGACAGACAGCAGGGGATTCATGGCACTGACCGGTCTGTCCAGTCTGACTAGTGGCAACACCTTCAATAGTCAGACATCAGGATATCTTATCATCACTCATCCTTTTTCAGAATGGCTGCAAAATGCGCATTACCTCATACTGAAAGTGTGCGACTGTCACAGCGGTATGTGATAAGAACAAAAGAGAATGTCCTGTGTAGTGCTTTGTGCCACAGTGACATGTGGCTCTACACCTTTGTTTGAATGTTGCAACAAGCTGTTGATTCTGCCGTTTCCTTGAATTCACATCTCCTCAGCAAACTGTAAAAACACTTGCTTTATCACTTCAATGAACAAAAACAGTCAGTTTTACAAAATATGAAAGCTTCCTGGAGAGCCAAGCTTTTTGGTAGTGTATAATTTCACTTGTAATATCCTTGAATGATGTAACCTGTTATCTAGCAAAAATCAGTTGCTATACATAGTGTGTGTGTGTGTGTTCCTTTTGCTTAAAATTAAATGTGCTTTACAATAATAAAACAAGTTACTTCCTCCCCTCTTTTTTTCTAAGAAGAGGAGTTCTAAAGATAAAAAGGAAAGTCACATGTTACATAAATTGAAACAGGAAGATTCATTCAGGCATTTGACATAGTTTCAACAAGCTGTGCCACCAGTTCAATTTATAATTTTATTTTTGATTTTGAATACAAAATATACAGTGTCAGCTTAGTGAAAGAAGCATTTTTCCATATATAATGTCTAAATTCTTGTCATTATTAATCTGTTTGTCTTCAATACCAATTTCGAGAACACATTTTTTTTTTTTAAATGCTGCTTTCTTCTGACTATTAACACGTCCATAAGTCCATGTCCATCTGTCATAATGTCACATTAGAGGCTATAAGATTCCAGAATTGACTTCTTAAAACCTCAAGCTAAACAGTTCACGGATTAGCAAGTTACAAACAAATGGGTTAATCATATTTAGGAAATTGCAAACAGGAATTTGTCTTTGTAAACGTGTGGCAAGATCAAACTTAATTTATATATTTTCAAATTTAGGCTTTACAGTCTTTGTGTACTGTTTGTGACCCTAATGTGTAGCATTTAGGAGGCTCCACTGCCATAAATGGAATATATTGTGTTTTAATTAGTGTGTAATCACATGAATATAGGAATTATTATGTTCTTGTTGCCTTAGAATGAGTTATTTTTATCCACAGATTACCTACAATACCTCCCTGGGGCCCTACGCAAATACTATATATAAATACTATTTATACTATGGCTTGACTTGAATACTTTCAGTCAGAGATTCACTGCTAGCTGCATACTGAGTAATCTTAACCTTACTCTTATTTACTGACATCACACTTGGAGAGAACACAAGTTTAGCTGATTCCTCGTCCCACAATTGGTTTTCTGGGCTACTGTAGAGACATGGCGGCCTCCATAGAAGAAGTCCCGCTCCCTCTGTAGATAAAAACAGCTCATTGAAAGCACAATGATTCTTATTTTCAGCTGATTATACACTAATGAAAACACACTTATGGATATTATATTCAATTTCTGTCAATAGATCAAGATAAATCTGAGGGGCCATGAGATGATTCATAGGAGAGGAAAGAAGGAAACAGTTCTGCTACACAACTCTGTTTTACTTTTTCAGGCTATTGGAATTTCTTTTTACCTTTTTCTGACAACTCATAGACATCTTAAACACCATAAATGGCCCCAACACTAGTTTGTTGTAAGGAGTCACAGGGCAAAAGGGAATCACTGTTTAATTGAATCTATAGCAACAGATTATTTATAAAACTTCTCATATGTCAGATACATGTAGAGGCGAAAAAAAGTTAGTGACATAGAATTAAATAAATGAAATAATAAATAAGTAATAAATAAGAAGTGAAGTAGAAGTACCTCAAAAGTGTACTCAGGTAGTGTACTCAGTTATTTTCCCCCAGTGAAAGAATATAACATGCTAATTAGTTACTCAAAATAGCCCTGCTCAAGTATTTAAATTAGTTTTATCATACTTCTTTCATTTCATCTTGGTTCAAACTGAACTTTCCTCTCTGTGGGACGCATTGTGTCCCAGCTGAATTCTCTGAGGTAACAGGGAGTGGCTGCAGACCAGAGGAAGTGTGATTAAATCTACTCCTGTACTCTGGAGGGCAGGAGGCAGCGGAGGCCAGGAGAGAGGAGCGCAGCGTGTGTCTAGACCAAGTGCGCCCCCTGCAGGGAGGTCAGAGCGGTGTATCTGGCTGATGAAGAGGAGGAGGAGGAGGCGTGGGATGCTGCTCTTCTCTTCAGCTCCCTGGAGATCTGGAGCCAAGATAGCGGATAGCAGCAGCATCCGTACAAGCAGTCGCTCCACACACTCCCCTGTAAGACACACAGAGAGAGGCCTGAACGCAGGTGGGAGGCTCGAACAAAAGGTGAACATTTGCATTTAGGTGCAAAAAAGACATTTTTACTGATATATACTATGCAGTGTCTCCTGCCTGTTGTGCTGTGGTAGGAGCTTATACTCACAGCTTTAGTAATTATTTTAGAGTATAATCTACAATAAAACTTGTTGTAGTTTTACCCCATTCATTTTTATTAAATGTAAAGTAGACAAACACGTGTTACAAAAGTCCAAATTAGTAATGCACAGTAGCATACAGCTTGAAGTTCATAGATGGCAGCGTATTTGTCAGTCTAACAGTAATAATCGTGCTCTTCTGTTTCAGTAAATACCGCATCCTCCCCCTGAGGACAGTGAGATTGTTGCAGCCAAGTCTTTGCTCTTAGCAACAGCAACCAGGATAAAGAGCCTGTCGGTAATGTCAAGATGGAAATGTTGGTGGGTGAGATTTGATAAATCAATAAAGTCTGAGAGACACAATAAGAGGGCAGATCGTTCCATGTGCAGCCTGAGCATGTGATTTCTCCTTCGTGATACTGAGTCAGCACTGCAACTTAGAGCCCGATGAACAGTTCCTGTCAGTTTTGATTACTTCTAGCTTGAACGCTGTTGAAGTTGAAACATTATTCTTTCAGAATATCAAATCCTCAAAACAAAATCTGCCTCTATTTTGGCTCAGTCATAATGCATTTGTGAACTTTACCAACAGGATAGTGATGAAACATGACCAATGCATTCAGCAATATGAACTGTGTGTGGACCACAATCACGCAATCTCGCTGTTAATGCTGTTATATAACAAAATAATCTCTCCCCACAAGTGTCAAGATATGAATGCAATTGTTGATTGTGACAACTGTGAGGTAGGCAGCCTCAAAAGAGCAAAAAACAACAAACATCTTGAGATTTACACACTTGTCTTGTGTAAGCAACAGACCTGGGATCTGCTCAGTACCACACTTTCTCTGCTGCGCTGCCTCCCCTGCGAATTCAATGTGGGAGGGTGACATTAACAACTAAAATTGTCACGCCGCCCCCAAACATCATTACACGTCTGAGGATCTGAATGCAACATGCAACTCTGGGATAGTTTGCATGTGCATACAGTCCTACCACAATAAACATACACAGACAAAAATGCCTCATCAACAATAAGTTTAGATCAATATGTTCGAATGCCTTGTCGGTTTACTTGATACATGCAGCCTGCACACTAAAAGTACTTTGTTACGATGTACAAAGTAAAGAAAAAGCATAAATACACTTAACAGAATAAACAAAAGTTCTGAAGCAAGTAAGTAATTAAGTGAGACCAAGCAAGACTAAAGCCATGCTAGCATCTCTGTGCTCTAATACATCTCTAATATATGTATACCGGACTATTCAGTCTAATAAGAATTCCCACTCTGTCCATAGACCTTACATTATGATGACGTCACAAACTTTTAAATCATTTTTCAGGGAAAATTTTTAAAAATATATTGCTTGGATTCAGGCAAATGGTAGACAGCAGACAGACAGCATCTTCCTCACAGCACAGGAAAAACAATCAAACAGTCCGATGGAATGGCAGAACAGCAAAACAAAATCATGACAGGCATGACGATATGTATTGTATGTTTATTGTGTATATTATTTGATCTAATTTATTAATTATTAGCATGTTGTCCAGACTGCCTGTATTTTCTCTTTCTGTGAGGGAGCCACGCAACATCCGGTTTTAAATACTATCGCTGAAGACACGAAAAAGTTTCAATTTTAAAATATTTTAACCTTGGTCGGCGGTGCAGTCTACTGTTACTAATATGACAAGCAGTTTGCCATCCTCCATTTGCCTGATTCCATATGAATGCAGCATAAGACCTCCATGGAGAGAGAGAGAGAGAGAGAGAGAGAGAGAGAGAGAGAGAGAGAGAGAGAGGGAGGGAGAGAGAGAGAGAGAGAGTTGTAATTGACCTTGATCTGCACTTTTACAGATGTCTCTCATTTATGCTGCAATACCATCAGTGGCCACTTGGCAAAATTGGAAGCAAGGCTGAACGCCGGAGCCATATCCAGGTCCTGTTGTACATCCATGATTTGTAGTCACTTCGTAGTTCAAGCTAAGCTGAGCAAAGAGATCGCATAACTGTTCAAAGACACACTGAATGCACCACTGTTCAAACAGCCAAGTTATTAAGGATTGATTCGGTCTTCAGTTCAGTAGTAGCCTGCCATCAGTCAAGTCGCTGTCACGTTAGCCCGTAAGCACATGTCAACAAGTCACCCGCCATTTATTTACAACAGAGTTATCAGACTATGTTTGTTTTTGTGACTTTCACAGTCTTTTAACAAGCAAGCAATATACTGCGAATCACAACTGAGCTGACAGTGGCACTCTCAGTCACCAGTGAGGAGCCCCGCTGCCAAAAGCCACTGAGTCAGTCAGTGATTCAGTGTGATATTCATTCGAACATGCACTGAACATAACTAGACTAGAGCCATGGTCAGCTATGCTAACATCAGCATGCTAACATATTCACAGGTGCATGCTGATGTTAAGCAGGTGTAATGTAATGGTGTTCACCATGTTCACCATCTTAGTTTAGCATGTATGCATGCTAACATATGCTGCTAGCACTCACCACAAAGTCCAGCTGAAGCTGATGGGAATGTCATAAGTGTTGCAGGTATTTGGACATAAACCAAAGAAGTGGACAAACCTGATGGTGATGCTGGATGAAAATTTGAGTTGATCACCAAAGTTTAAAATGCATCCTGGTTATCCATCCAATAGTTTCATTCAAAACTACAAATGTCAACCTCGTGGTAGCACTTGAGAAAAAGTCAGGGCATCACTAAAGTCATCAGGATTCATTCTCTAGGGACCATAAATGTGTGTAGAAGATGTTATGGCAGTCTATCAGATAGTTGTTGAGATGTTTCAGTCTGGACCAAAGTGGTAGACTGACCGACCAACACTGCCATCCCTAGAGCCACACCGCGATGGCTAAAAATCCTAAAGTCAAAGTTTTATAAAGACAAGAAAAGGTAGCGGTACTGTACACACAGAAATAAGATAAGTAAGCAAATAAGTAATTGCATAGAAACATGATCCAGGTCTTTTAATGCATATCTAAATGGCTGAAGTCTACAGTTTTATCCTCAAGGTACACACTGTTACAGCATTGTCTCCATCCACCCATGAGAGAGTAATTACCTTGCTTTACAAACAGCCTACATGCTGGGACTTGTTTTCATAAGAACTCCTGGCACCTTCCTAGCTCATGCTCGGCAGTACTGACAGCGATCCACGGCCCACTCCACCTCCAGAGAAGCCAACATTACCAACCACCTCCTCCTCTCCTATGGCAGCGCTCCAGCTTCTGGCCTCCAACCACTCCCACCTCCTGCCTTATCTCTCCTTCTCTTCACTGTCCCAGAAACGTCCGGCTTATCCAACATCAAACTTCACAACTTGGCCGTGGTATTTGCTGTTTGCATGAGAAACATCTGTTCTAGTATTGGTTATGTTAAGTGATCAGTGACGGAGACCTGATGTCTGTTGAGATCTGTGGTCATGCAGGCAGGTGTATGAGCGCTCAGTGTGGACAAACAGCACAGCAGTGAAGCAGTGGGTGGGCAGCCTGAGCAGCTTGCTGTATCTTAAAGGCACTAACAGTTTGTTGTTTATTCATTAAGTTATTTGTGGCTCTAGTGCAGATTTATTATGTAATAAATGTGTCCTGATTTCCCAGCATCCTCAGTGTACATCTAAGCTTTATCTGATGTCACTATGTAGACTCAAATCGTTGTTTGCATTGCTAAAGCAATAACCAGTGTCATCAGGCACATCTACTTGATGTTGCAAGTATTTCCCCTGCGTGCTGTTATTGTGTTTCATCACTGAAACGTCTTCATCTCCTCAGCAGTAATCATAATTATTCAAAGCCCCAGCAGCTCTGTGTAATTGAGCTGGGGACACAGTGTGGTGCGAGTGAAAGCAATCAGCTGCTTTGTGCAGACCAGGGTTTATCACATCACAACTACAGGGGCCACTAACACACTTGACTGAAAGAATTTTACAAATTTAACTCTCACATTCTCCCTGCAAAAACAAAACTTCTTGCGAGAGATGTGTTCACAGGCAGTTCAATTGTTCTGTCACAACACTGAAAAGGAGGAATTAAGCAACATGGCCGAAGCTGTCAATGTAGCTATCAAATGTTAGTTAGCTATCAAAGCTGTAAACTAATTGCAGTACTCACTACCTGTCGAAATGATATCACACCATTGGGTCTGTTGAGTGCAGTGACAGTTTTCCTGACAGTCTTAGTAGAGTTCTACTTTGAGCAGAAAGCAAGAAGAAAAAGAGAATATGGAAGCCCAGATGGCTGAAAAGATGCCCATGGTCTGCTGTTTTTCAGAAAAGTTCAGTTTTATTTTATCAAACCACAGTCTCACTCAAGGCAGCAGCTATCCATAACATGTATAAGGCTAAAGCTTTCCACAGTTCACAATAGATCTTTGCCAGAGGCCGTGAAATCAGATCACAGAGCTGTCAAAACTGCAAACGTGGGAGAAATCAATCCAATTGGGGGGGTGACCGATTCAGGATTTAAAGTTGTACGGGTGCTGCCCACCTTTCCACCATTAATACATCAAATGACGGAATATTTTCTCAGAAACTTTTCGGTAAGTTCTGAAACTGTTCTGGAGGCTTGTGGTGGAAGAAAAACCTTACTAAAACCCTTTATGTTGGATTTTCCTTTTATTCGTCACCATTTTCTTTCCCAATTATCCAGTGTTGTATGAAGCCATGCAGATAAAGTATAATGAAACTTTTATTTTTGTTGTTTACCTGTATGCCGTATCGTTGCCTGACGGACGCCCTCATGGCGAGGGATGCCGGTGGTACACAGCCGATACAGTCCAGCAGAGGCAGGCAGGGACACGCGCCCACTGCACTGGTCACCTTGCAGGTAAACACTGGAAGGCAGCACAGGGCAAAGCAGCCTTTGCACACACACACACACACACACACACACACACACGAGAGAGAGAGAGAGAGAGAGAGTAGATCAACTCACAGTATGCAAAAACATGAACGTTTATATTAAAGATTCATTATATATATTTCAACATTTCAGCAAATGCTTTTTATATGCTTTCAGGAGAGGTATGCTGTAAAGTGAATTATATTTTGTATCAGACTGTATGCTGCACGATTCATGTTCACTTACAGTCTCCTACGTCTTTGTAGCACTCACACAGGCCAGTACTCCATTGACCTGCTTCCTGAGCCCTACTCTCCGGCTGGACCTGGACCACCTGTTGAGACATAGCTGAGCTGGCCATCCACGTCCATAAAAGAGAGGGGAAACAGTTAAAATATACCAACGCATATGGTCACAGTTACATTCTGGTTTTAATGCTCTTCATACTGTATGCTCAAATAATGAACAAAGCTTATCATAAACAGATGTTTTTCTATTCTAACTTGTGAACAGCTGGGCCTCAGTCACCAATCGGTGCTCGTTCCACTATGCTTATACACTGTAGAAGCTTCTAATCACGTTAATTAAATAAACTCTTCTATGTTAGATCTTTGTAAATTGGCCAACTGTCACATTTGGAGCCATTTCAGAACTTATCATATTAAGTTCCAAATGATGAATTGACTAAATATACAGTTAATCATTTACTTAAATAACATTGTTAGCCTGTTTGAATACTTCCCATCATGCATTTACTTAAGCTGAAATTCTCCAGAAATGTCTTTTTTATCATGCAACCCTGCCAATATACTATACTGGTGTACATTAGCAAATACACTTTATATGAAACATAATGGCATTCAGATTGTTGTCCAGCGTTCACTGCCAATACAAAAAGTTCAAACCGAACACATCACTGCCAATGCGTTACATTTATCTTCCTGCAGTAGCTTCTCCTGGCAACTCTAAAACATGACTAATATTTTAATGGTTATCTTTAGACAACTGCGAGTACTTGGTTATGGTGAAGGAAAGAAGAGTCCAGTGATGGAAGAAGCATTCAGGATCCTTTACCTAAGTGCAATAGCAAAAAATACTCATTACATATAAAAGTCCTGCATTCAAAATGTTCCTTCCATAAAAGTATTTTCAGTAAAATGTATGCATTATGCTTTGTGTCAGTGTTGAGTTATTATGTATTGGTTATCATTACTGGACCACATTCATGTGTAAGTAGCATTTTAATTTGGCATCTGGTCTAGAACGAGCTACTTTTAACTATTGTACTTGTAATTTAATTTAAAACCAGCTGGTGATATGCTTTGTATGTAAAATATTCATTTGTAAAGCAACGAATGTACTGAAATGTAGCAAAGTAGACACATTTGTTATTTCTCACACTTTTTATTTATATATCTTTTTACCATTATTAACTAATTGTTATCATTACTTTTATGCATTAGGCAAAAGATGATACAAATCAGCAAACTCTGTATCAGTGACCCATAATTCTGAGCTATAACCAAAGCAGCCTTCCGCAGGATACCACTATCTTAGTCAGAAGATAAGCTCGACAAACCAGTGAGGTGTTCGCTGAGGACAAAGGTCCACGCCCCTCACTCACTAAACACTACTAGATTGAACGCCGCTGTCTCCTGTTATTCTTTAGCTCTCCTCCTCAAACTCAGAGGAGGGAAAGATTCCACCAGAGCTTTCTCTAATTCTGGTACATGTATGGCTCAGAGCCAGCCTGCTGCTGTACGCTGGAGAATGATTTACTTCGCCTTTCTAGGTAGAGTGAAAGTGTAACTGAAAATATGTAACCAGGTTTGTTTTGATCAAGAATAGATGACTTACCTGTATAAGATAGTAAATCCCAGGAAAAACAAGTACTGGACCCAGTTTTGTCTGCTGCTTTTTCTTTCTGTTCGTCTTCTTGCTTTGTGTGTGTGCTCTTTGCATGACTGTAGTGTTTTGGTGTAAATATGAAACAGATAAGAAAGGTAAACACAGCACCAGGCTCCCATAACAGTTAACTCTGCTGACCTGGGGTATTTGGACAGATTAGATTCTGGGGTCTCTGACCCCCTGGTCTGTAACTGTTGAGTAAGAAGCATGAAAAATCACAAAATGTCATCACAGAGCACTTTCATGGTGTATCGTCTCATTGAGAGTAATAATGAGAAGTACACCAACCACCAAGTGTTTTTGAAAGAGCACAAGGACACATCAAATCAAATGAGAGGATTTACACAAGCAGCCTCAGTCTCACCGTGTGAAATTGCACCACATCTCCAGAGATCACTCTCTGTGAAGGAGTGCAACATAACAAATGCCTCCGCTGTGATATCTGATTTCTGATTGTCTTGTTAGAAGCGAGTGAAAGGGGAAAGGCCATGTGGATTGAATCCAACTCCTATCAAGTAAAACCTGCTTCTTCTCCCATAAGGGCTTCAGCTGACTCAGATGATTATACAGAGGATTAATGAAGGTGACATTCATGGTAGGTCGGAAAGTACCACGTCCAGCCAAAAATGTGGAACCTGACATTCACAGTAAAACTTGTCAATAAAAAATTGTTACCATTTATATCCTGAAGATATAGTAAAAATATTTATTTGGTTACTTGACTGCAAATAAAAAGGTATGAGAGTAATATTAGCAATATGACTGTAATGAATGTTTCAGCTGTTGTAATTTGTTTTACAACCATTCCAGTAAAGAAAGAAAATGGTAAATGGTAAATGGACCTGTACTTGTATAGCGCCTTCCTAGTCTTCCGACCACTCAAAGCGCTTTTACACTACGTACCACATTCACCCTTTCACATTCACTCAGTGATGGCAAAGTCCATCGAACAGAAACTAACATTCATACACATTCACACACCGATGCACGGCATCTGGAGCAATTTGGGGTTCAGTATCTTGCTCAAGGATACTTCGACATGTGGCACCAGGAGGCGGGGAACCCTCAACCTTCCGATTAAGGAACAACCCACTCTGCCTCTGAGCCACAGCCGCAAATATTTCACCATTGTGAGAAATTAGATGAGAAGATTGATACCACTCTCACATCTGTGCAGTAACTATGTAGCTGGAGCTAGCAGCAAGGTATAAAGACAGGAAGCGGGAAAACTGTTAGCTTAAGAAGTAGTCCGGCATATGACCCCCATATAAATGCTCATTGTTGTACACACCGCCAGGCTCGCTGTCTTTCCCTGGTTCCAGTCTTTTTTCCAGTCAACAGCTGCTGGCTGCCGGTTTCATATTCCCGCTACAGACATGAGATTGGTATCAGTCTACTCAGTGCCTAAATTCGACCCGAAAAAGTGACGGCAACTGCTTGCCACAATATGTTATTTTATTTTATTCTCCACAACCATTTGTCCACCCCCTGGAAATTATCTTGCGACCCCTTATCTTGAGAACCTGTGGTTTAGGAGTGGCTCACCAACATTGCTGACAATTATTTCACAACTTTTATTGTGTACCCCTCTGAAAGAGTACCGGTGGATATAGCCATGCTCACTCAGGTGGAGGTACTCAATAAGAAGTAAGGGCACTCGTGGACAAAAATCAACTCTCAGTACTGTGGAGTACCGGCCCATTTCAGGCACTCAGTCTTTTCATCTAACTCTTGCCAAAAATGTGAATAAGCATATTTTTCCACTTCACCTCCATTCAAATGTACACAAACAATGAAGCAAAACAAAAACCGTGTAATAGTTTAAAAATGTATTTACAATGTATAAAAAGTCACAGACATGTAGTATATTGTAAGTATGATGAGATTTACATTCATGTCATTTAATGGCTGTTGACATAGTGGGATGAAATGGTTAACATCATGTGATGATGAGCAGTGATGTGATCCTGTGTGATGTGTTCAAGGACCTTCTGGTCTTTCTGCATAATATTAATAATTCCAGTCATTCAAAGTGGAGTTCCTTGAGTATGGGTAGGCCATGATCTGCAGGCTGCCCGAAACTCTGGAAACTCTGAAGGGGGAAAAAAAAACAAAAGTGGCAACAGATTAAACATCTTTACTGAATATTAGCAGAGAAAAGAGACAAGCTCTCTATCTCACACCCACATACAATGCCAGTTCACTCACTGTGTTGGTTTGATTTGTGGCAGAAGCATTTGAGCAGATCATCATACTTGACATACTCGGGAAGCAGTGGGGAGCGACACCTTATCATTCCATTGCGCCAAACTGCAATAAGAAGAGAGGTTGAAAGTGAAATTCATTCTATGGAAACTCTGATCATGACCACTTTTAATACAGTATTGTGTACAATGGCAGAACACAGCAGACCCAGTACAGGGTCAGAACAGCCCAGATGATCAGGCTCTTTTCCTATATTCATGCTGATTTACACCATTGCTAATTTTTAACCATAATATATGAAAGACCCTCACCTCTGCACCCACACTTCCGGATGTGCCCTTTGGTCACATGGATTTTTGCTTGTGAAGCTGTACACAGTGGAAAAAGACAAATAGCAAGAAATCATTTAACAATAATACATCACCCATCAACATTTCCCATCAAATACAAATGCACTTCCTGTGTATGTTTCACAAGCAGAGTCAGTGATTTACTCGGATGTCACATCATAAGTAGCCCAAACAATTAAAATACAAACTCTCACCTGTGCTGTGGTAGAAGCTGGCAATCAGAACGACGAGCAGGAGAGCGACACAGGCGACCCTGGACATGATGGAAGTGTATATGCGCCGTCCACGACAAAGTGTTCGAGTTATTCTGCGAGAGAAGGCAACCTCTCACTCTGAATTTATACCAACCCTCCTCGTAGGTCTGCAGTGTTTGATCTACAGGCCGATTAGTCTCGGCAAGTCTAAGAGGTGGGGGGGGGATGGGGGCTTGGGACAATCTCTCAGTTGTGCATGGATATAATCATAAAATGCGATGAACATGGAGATAACACACTCACCCACATGCAAACAGGCAAATAAAACAAAAAACATCTGTTGAACTTTTACCTAACCATGCTCTGATTTTGAGTTTTTCCAGTGAGATATAGAAGATGTGGCCCCTGATTCAACGTACCCCCACAGCCCTCAAGTCATCATATGGGTTTAATAGACAGATAGTGGTTACATGGAACTGCTGATTAGCATTTAACCTCAGGAAACACAGTGACTCTGACTGGGATTGTCTGTGTGCAGGCTCAACCATCTGTTATCGGTTATCCATTCCGACTTTTCTGCTCACTTGCTTACTAGTTTACATGCACTCAACTACAGCATATGATGTTAAAGTGTAACAACTGAGTCTTGTCTTTGGAAGGTCTGTCCTGAGCAGCCGGCCTATTGTAGGTCAAAGGTTACTGCTTTCTGTGACAATAAATGTTCTGAAATGATCCTCATACCAATGTGTAATTCTATTTGGCTTTATTTTCCACCTGAACTTTTTTTTAAATAAAATTAGCTAAACTACTTCACATTTTTTTCAACCCCCCCAGTAATTGCAGAAGTTGAAATGACTGCAGTATACAGTTCTGGCCTTTTACAATGGTAAATCTAAATAATAACAGGCCTACATGTTCAAACTGTCATGCGTATGCACTTTTATTGATCATTTATTCACTTCAATGATTAAAATCTATTCAATTTATATTAAATTATTTATATTTTATATTTTAATTAACCCCATAACATGGACTTTTTGTCTTTAAGTAACTTTAAGGTTACCACATTGTCAGGCACTATCCTACACAGGCCAATCCTGCATTTGCTTTTTCTTCATTGAAGCTACATGATGTGTTCTGTTCTAGCTCGTCATTAAAGCTGCAGTGAAAGATTCAAACCCAAGGCTCTATATGGTTATGACTGCATCATTTTATAGACATTTCCCCCAAAATTCTGCCTGAAATATTTAGTATCTTTGAAAGCTTCTGTGGGTTTGAATGATGTTTGGCTGCACAGCACAGCTCTGTAATGTGTAACCGTTGAATTTAAGAGAACAGGATGTAGGATTTGCTATCTCTTTGCCTAAATAAGTCCAGAGTTTACTCCTCTGACACGTTTTACAGTCTGTATATCATAATACAAGCAAAAGTCAAGTCAAAAACATTAGATTCTTCACACCTCAAGCCTGCCCTCTCTGTGACAGGTCACAGTGGGTTAGGTCATGGTTAGGTGTTGCAGAGCACTAGTTGGGGTTTTAAGGTTGGATTCAGACTAAGTTAAGGGGAAACAGACTTTGACACAACTCTGGCACTGATTCAAGATCAGTGAGTCCATTTAACAAGCTGTTGACAAACAACTGACTAAGCAAATAATCTTACCAATAATGATTACTGAGCTATTTAAACAGGTTTGACGTGTTTGGTGGAAACTGAAACTTCCTTATTATATATAGTTCTCCCTATGTAACAGTAGTATTATATTCTATATGGACCACAGAGCCGCAGTTACATGAGACTGGCTGACTTGAACTGCCTCTGACATAAAGCATGACATGAGTACAGTATGGGGATTATCGAGCAGTCTGCCATTGGCTGGCGCCTGAGTCACTCTCTCATTACCGAAGGTGCGTAATTACGCAGCGCGCCCTCAGAAACTTTGGCACACCTCCACTGTATAATCCCAAGTGTCAGCACTGTCCTTTACATCAACCGCACGGTGACGTCTGCACACGCCGCTATGAGTCAAGACACAATGCGAGGAAATCCCCAAGGCCGAGAAAACGACGAGAGGCCCCTTTAAATCGACGCTTCCTCGGCGTTAGTGCCAAGAGAGAGAGAGCTCTGATAAACAACAACACTGCTCTCAGTTCAGCCGCTTTTACCGGATTCAGCTCTTTACTGCGGCCTCGTCCAGGAAGAGGTGAGCTGATATTTATGATATCGAACAGTATTTGTAGAGGATTATAGCGAAGGGGCGATCAGTTCGTGTTGATTGGAGAAGCGGGCGGAAAGGCAGTTTAGAACAGTGAGTAGATCCAACGGAGAGACACGTTATTGGGCTGTTGGGCTGTTGGAGTGACCAGGAAGGCATTTGCTACACCTGTTAGTTGTAATCGAGTGGAAATCACATGAGGGGACATTGTTTATTTCTCTGTAAACAGCGGAGAAGTGTGCGTGTGTGTGTGTGTGTGTGTGTGTGTGTGTCCGCACTTGCCAAACGCTGGCCGCTCTCTGACGCACCAGAGCTATTTTTGACAACCGTATTTACTCTCTTCCACAGGCTACGAGGACTTTCTCTCTGCTCCCAACGTTTGGCCGTCTGTTGTTCATACATTCGTTGTTGAATGCCATTGCGGAAGTGAGAAGCCTTTCGACTCGACACAAAGCTTGGGGCTGCGCGGACATCTAGCGGCCGATCAGGAGAAGGCAGCCTCGTAGAGATGTACGGAGCTTCAGGTATCCCAGAGCTCATCCCGCCCAGCGGGCCGCCGAGGCAGCCCGGCCCGGCGGACCAGTACAACCCGGGACACCCCCAGGTCAACGGGCACGGCGGCGAGGCCAACCCTCAGAGACTGGGGCAGAGGGCACCAAAGCTGGGCCAGATCGGTCGGTCCAAGAAAGGTGAGCGACCTTTTAAAGCAGTTTATGTGTTTGTTTGTTTGTTTGTTTGTTTACTATTCTTCCTGCTGGTCCATCTAAACATACAGGCCTACATGAAGTCAGACATTTAAACACACACACACACACCGACATGTAACTCATCAGAATGATATACAATAAAACATACAGGAGAAAATATAGAAAAGATATAGACAAGCTCTAACAAACACCACACTCCATATTAATGCATGTTGTAATGACAGACACTGAAAGGCAAATACTCTTTTTAACAATAAGGCCTTTTAGGTAAATTCTAAAACTAGACACTATTTTTTTACTACTATTGTTTTTGTAATCTGTCGAGGGAGTGAGATCTGTTCCTACGTTGCTCGGTTTGTGACAGTGAACTGCCATCGAGCCCTGTGTCTAGTTGACTTTCATTTTTGTACAGAATGTATGACAAGTAATGAATACACTCATCTGTTTTTAACATCAAGTGGTTCCCAATTTGGGGCCTGAGGACCAGCAGGCAAAAAGGGGGAATAGAATCTGTAGTGAAGTTTTTTTATTATTATTATTATTATTATTATTATTCATTTATTAATAATCTTCACATTATAGTGCATGTTTATGTCGGTGTCCTTATTTTTGTTAGTGGGGGTGGGGGGTCTGTGAAAAAAATGAGATCCCCTGTCCCAGCAGGGAACCATTTTATACTAAAGAACTCAATAGTTAGACTAAATCATGAATCTGCATGCACACAGTAACTCAGTGTCTGCACATGCGATGTTCGTGGGCTGCAGTGATGAACAGATCCGTCGGAGAGCAATAATACTGCCTCTGTAATTTAACAATAACGCAACTATTTATTACCTCAGTGCTGTGTCTATCCTCAGAGAGCAAGAAGAGACACCTTGACTGGGATCTTTTGTGTTTTGTGTGATAGTTTGGGAATGTTGGTTTTCAAAATGTAGCTGATAGTCAGAACCCTAAATGTGCTCAGTCACAGTGAGTATAATGGAAACTTCACTGCAGCCTCAGAAGCAGGGAGGGTAAAACTGTAAAATATTTAAAGAAATAGTTCGACATATTGGGAACTGTCCATTTAAACGTAGTACAAAGTCTGGAAACAAGAGGAAACAGCGAATGAGCAACTTTGCTAAAATGTTGACCCATACATCTTGTCCAGACCTTTATCACAGGATCATTTTGACATGAAACAGTAGGGTAAACGCAGTTGTTACCAATGACACAAACTAAGGCTCCGTTCCATTTAGTGTAGCGGAGCCTTTTCAGTGAGTCAGCATGCACTACAGCAGCACCCTAACACTGTCTGACCTGAATGGAACAGAACCTTAATCATTAGTAACTCCTGTGTTTACCCTACTATTTCATTTCAAAGTGGCTGCTGTGAAAAAAGGGTTTGGACAAGATGTATAGTTCTAGCAAAGTTGCGCATTCGCTCAGCCAGGCTAGCTGTATTCCCTTAAGCTAGACAGATGTGACAGTGGGATCAACCTGTTGTCTAACTCTCGGCAAGTTCATTAGCAACAGCCTGGTTTACCCTACTGTTTAATCTAAAAAATGTCTGCTGTGAAAAAGGTCTAGACAGAATACTGTAGATGCAACCCGCCCTGTTTCAGCTGGTATTAGTATCAATGCATTTTTTACCTAGAGGCACACATTCCTGACCTTTGACCTTCCCTCCACAGTGGACTTGGAGGATGAAGACTTGGATGACATCATGAACAACAACGGGCAGTGTCCTGTATCCCTGTCGCCCATCTCCTAAACTTCACCAAGAAGTGCCAAAAGAAAAAAAAAGGAAAATCCCCCGGGACGCCAAAACTCCCCGTCAGTGATTTTGGCCTCGAGCCTGTCCAAGTGTCCTACTGAAGCTTCTTCTGATGGCTGCACAAACGGCACAAAAAACCCGGCTCATTTAGCGCCAGCTGAAGCCTACAGGCCCTGATTGTACATAGTGTTTATTTAAACTCTCCTTTGGTCAGACTGTGAATGAATTGTATTGCATCGGCCCTCTACTCTATACCTCGGTAGGCGGTAGACTTTCAGGACTCGAGTAAGGTTTTGGAGGAAGTGTCTATATTTTTCAAAGCTTCTTAACAAGGGCTACGTTTCTAAAGTTGCACTGAGCAAAGCGTTAGATGAAAAGCAGCTTCTCACCTGCCTGTTTTTCCGGACGAGGGTTTCCGATTGGCCGTGGGCTGGCTGTGCGGGGAGGGGGGGGGACACACGCCTGTTAATGTGTGTACCACACGGGTGAAATGTTAAGCTTTTGGTTGTGCAATGACTATCATTCTCTACTCTCACACTGATGAAAGTGGTGTACTATTATCCAGTGGATGGAAGCTCGCTATTTACAGTAAAGGAAAAAAAAACTACTGCTAATTATTTATTGTTTTAAAAAAGAAAATGAGAAGAAACACTTTGTTGTGTTGTTATGGCTTCTTCATGTTTTTTACTTGTTTCTGAACGGAAATGCTTCTATAACTGAGATTTTATTATGTTTCCAAATGGTGCACTTTGTGGGAATGCCTGTTATGTGCAGTGACATGTTGCAGAATTCTATGCATGGAGTCTGTTTAAGCATCAAAAACACGTAACTGGTATCCTGTTTATTAAGGGCTATGTAGTAGTATTTTTCGAGCCACGCCACCGTTATGCTCTTTAAATCGCGCCGAGTCAACATTTTCCTAAGCTCTAAGCGATCTGCAGACTCGGCAGTAAAATATCGTAAACAACCACAGATTTATAGAGGTTTTGTTTGTTTTGGACGCACAGGGTTTCCCAGTTGGCCAGACAACTGTGATTAAAAAAAAAAGACACGTACAGTTCAAAATGTTTTGAATAAATTGCCAAATGACATTCGATGCGATGTCAGGTTGATGATTAAAATGGATTGGCACACGGACACGTCATGATGAACGGCACTTACTTTGAGTGAAGTTACACAGCAGCCGTCTGCTCGTTGAGCTTACACCCTTATGGCTTCACAGTGTCTTTCAGGTTCAGGTGAACTATTTAAAGCTAATGTCGACCTCTACTTTATAATTACAGTATGAGATCATGAAAACAAGCATGAGCTCTCACTGCTGAGACAATCTTAACACTGATGTTGTTTTCGTTTTGTTTTTTTAAAGATTGCAGTGAACCTTGAAATGACATATTATTGTCTGTAAAGGCTCATGCTGATGTCATGTTACTTAGTTGGCTGTGAAATTGTTACTAGTTCACTTTTACTGTTTTTGCGTCATGGAAGCGCTGCATTTCACAGCTCATGATTCAAAGATCGCTGTTTGGGTTGTGGTTTACCATTTGCATGGAAATGGTCGACTTTTCTTAATGCATCTCGGGAAATAAAAGATGAATCTTTGTGGAATCGTCGTGTTTTTGTGTTTACTGGATGTACTTTAACTGCACTGATTTACAGTTTTTCTCTGTTGTTCTGGTGCATTTGTGTTCTAAAACATCAAATGGAGTCACATCACTTTTTTTAAATGAATTAAATACACATTAAACTCATAGAAAGCATGGTTGCAGAGTGCAAATTTCAAAATAAAGTTTCTGTTTATTTCTCATTCATTGTGTGAACATATGCACGACTCCATAACGAGTCCCATGTAAAGGTTACCTGCTGTTTTAAGTGTGATGCAAATGTAGAGGCTCCAAGCTCGTCCAGAAATACCAGTTGTCTCTCTTTCTCTAAGGAATTTAGCTTTTCAGTGATGTAGCTGAGTCACAGACATCACAGTAGGCATGTCAGTGCTAAATTTGCCATGTAAAGTGTTTTTAAGATGTCCAACCAGAGAGAATATTACAGTTGCGTGATGTGGCCTAATGCAAATTTCAGGCAATATATGGAGTAGGCTGGTACACATATTTAAATACTGTATGTTTAAAAAAAACCCTCCAGACATAAGGTATATAATATAGTAATTTGGTTATATTTAGCTCACTTTCTCACATTTGATACAGAAATATGTGTTACATATGTTATATTTAATTGTTAACAATATATTTATATGTAAAAAATAAATGTCAAATCTAAATGGGTCGCTGAATGTAAAGCTCAATCTTTAGAGAATATGCAAACACTGACTGTGGATCAGTAGGTGAAACACGTGACAGGACCCTAAACATGGCAGGTCCTGTTAGGAGAGGTCGACGGGCGGTTGTCCTGGCTGCACTCCAAGGTGTATTTCCATCGGTACAGAGTAACTTCCACACCATTAACAGTAAGTTAAGTAGTTATAAATTTAACTTCTGAATGAGTTCAGGAAGGGCTTAAAAAGTTTGGTTTGACAGTGTGGAGCAGTGTATTTTAACCTTAATAATTCACATAAAACGAATTTACCTCACTGTTTGCCTGGATTTAGGCTCTTAATAGCTAAAAAGCAGTACAGTATTCTTATTTTATAGTATTAAATTGGCAAAGACATCGGAATATACATTTGCTGCTAGTCAAATTAGAGGGACTGCTTTCACCCAAAAGGGGGCGAGGGCTTGATGTAAGGCCAAAGTACCCGGATGGGCTGCTCTAGTCTATGCATCATATTCTATAAGATCTTTGTAGCATTGCTGTCCTGTGAGTACGTCCCTCTTAAGGTCACCTTTTCATGAGCTCAGAAAAACAGCCCTGTTTTCAGCTTAGTGCATTTTCCAACTAATCCAAGAGGGGGTTTTAAATTGTTTTCTTGGCTTAACAAGTAGGACAATTTTCCAAACCAACAAAGGACAACATCATCCTTCAAAGCTGGTGGTTGTATGTTAGTACTTCATACAATGACTTAATGGATGCCAATTAAATGTTCAAAACCCACCAACCAGCATACCACATGTAGCAAACACCACAGCAGTTTACTCAAAGTGAATGAATGACTGAAAATAATTTCAGTTCCTCTTGAACACATTTAAATAAAGTGAATGAAACATGTTTAATGCAATATTGTAAATGGACAAACCTTTGATGACCTTTGATCTTTTTCTAGTCAAAATCCTCCAGGGATAATGGAATATTAATTATTCCATTTTTACATTTCTCAATTATATAATCAATAGTCAGAACTTTCAAGATCCTTCTCTCCATCAGATTTCTGTGAGCTAACACTGGACCCAAACACAGCACGCACATTCCTCAAACTGGATGAAAACAACAAAAAGTTGACCAATCTGAGAAAGGACCACCCACATCGGGATCACCTGGAGAGATTTTACTAATGGCCTCAGGTGCTGTCTGTCACTGGGAGTGTGGAGGAAAGGTGTATGTCACATTGACTTACAGAGGAAGGAGTGGAGATAACAATGAGTCATGGGGGGGCTTTTCATTACACTAACTTATAATAATACCTTAAATGCACCTGGAGGAGAGAGGAGGCTTCTGGAGGAGCTGACAGCGAGGAAAGTCTTTTATCAAGTAGTGTGGGCGTGATGTAAAAATGCTGCACCTGCAGGTTGGAAATTGTTCTGTGGGCAACTCTCGCTGAGAGTAGCTAAGATGCAAGGAAAGGAAGCGAGTGAGGGAAATGAGGAGACACGTTAGGGTCTGAAAAGCAGCCCTGGTGTCAGAGCTTCACCAGTTAAACTCCTCATTTCTGTTCCAGCTGACGGGACCAAATTGGACCAGATGATGTAGAGTCTAATGTGAAGTCTTCAGTCTTCAGTCTTCAATTTGTTTTGGGGGGAAATACACATTCACAGTGTTTACATTTATAAGGGATAAAGTGTGTTCATATTCATGTTACATAATCTTTATTATACATTTAAATATATCTGTCTATGTTTTGTGACATTTAATACTTAAGAATTTAAATCTAATAATATAGTAGTGTTCAGTTTGATGAAGAGTGCCCTCCAGTGGTCAGAGTGAATAAATGCAACACTCCATGCAACTCTTAATTAATATTAAAGGAGTTCACTAGCGCAGTGGTTCCCAACCTGGGGTCAGGACCCCCACTAGGAGTCGCCAAAGCCTCATGGGGGGTCGCAAGGCTTTCTTAATTTTAAAGCATGCTAGAAAACTTAAAAAAATATATAGAAAAATTAAATAATCTGATAGAGTCTAGTCTAATAGAACAATGGGCAAGCATCAGGGACAAGAAAACACTGAATTTGTAATAAGTATGTATGATTGTTAAAAACAAAAAACAAAATACATAATACAGACAGAGATTTAGGAAATAATCTGCTCAAAGTTCATCAAAATAAATCCTTTTACACAAACTTCTTAAAGTTATTAAGTTCACTATTTGGGTTCATTGTACAGTTTTGAATATAAAAGGAAATATCCATAAAATCAGGGACTCAGGCACCCCCTTGAGGAAAAAGGTTGGGAACCACTGTCCTAGTGTTATTGCTATTTATATATTTACATTAATAAGTAATAAACAATAAATTAAATCGTACCTCTTGACATGAATGTTCTATTCAGGTGTTATTTATTGAATATTAATGTAGATTTAATATTTATTTATATTTATTGAAAATGTTCTGAGAGTTTTACACATGTGAACTGCGTTTGCATCTTTTATATAACTCAGTACAAATACTCATGAATGGTTACTGATATGAAACATACATATAAACGTATTTCTGTATATATGCATGCTCCAAATACATTCTACTCCATCTACAATATCCGGCTGTCATGTTATTCTTCAGAAAATTCAAGTACAATAATTAGTAATTGGTGTGAGTTATAGGGTTCTACTACATTACAGTAGAGTACAGATAACATGGCTGATAGTCAAATAGCTGCAAATACATATAGCATAAAGACATAACTGATTTAATAAGCAGCTCAAAAAAGTCAAAAGGGAAACAGTCACAAATGCTTTCAGCAGTATATGTGGCCAAAGTGACTCTGTGAAATTATAGTAGTTGCTGGGAACTAATGGCTTACAGGTTGAGTCTGGATGGTGAGAGTGAGAGATCCAGTCTCTCAGACTGAGCAGCTCATGACTTTTGAGTTCTACTGGTTCTCACTCAAATCTATGGATTTTGAAGCTGGATGTCCAAGTGAAAAGCTCAGAGGAAGGAGTTGGAGTGTGCCAAATGCATTAGTTCAGACAAGGTGTTAGAGGACTGATATTAAGTTTTGAGGATGTGGATTTGATCCCCGCACAAATCTATGCATTCAGATGAAAAGTGAAAATCTCAGAGGTAAAGAGATGAAGTGTCTCAAGTCAAATAGTTTGTGGTGTTGGGAAACTAACAGAAAGTTTTGGGGATGTGTGTTCGATCCTTACTCAAATCTGTGAATTTTAAAGTCAGACGTTCAAAGCAAAAAAGTGAAATACAGAAATACAGGAGAGTGGTCTGAGATCAAATAACGCAGTGTGATCACAGATTCTGAGGTTGTGTGTTTGAAGTAAAGAAATAAAAGTGCTCAGAGTAAAGACTCCAATGTGAAGGGGATTTGGTTGCATTGGTGACTAAGGTGACCATGGTCACTGGTTCAACTCCCATTGCAGTGGGACAGGGAGGGTTAGCACACCTCTGGTTAGCGCACCCACAGCCGAGCCTTTCCCTTCAAGACAGGTGGCCTTGTCTCGTGGCGGTTTGTTTTCGGTGAGTCGAAAACGGCAAAAGAAGAAGGAAAAGAGCAAAGAAATCTTGTACCTTCTCAAGACAAGTGTTCTTCTGTTTTTTTGAAAGGTTGCACTCTTAACTCTTAGGTGCATACTGCCACCTACAGTACCGGAGTGTGTAAAACAGGAACTAGTTAACTTTACATTAGCCTTTAAACTAACTAACTAAATGAATTAATTAATTAATGAATGAATGAATGAATGAATAAATTGTGTTTATTTATCTAATGAATAATAACAATATTCATCTAATTGTTATTTATTCTACTAAACAACCCTGTTCAACAATTTCAATATGATTAAAATGTGATTTTATGCTGATGAAAAATGTGGTTGTTTTCCATTTTGCTGTCTTGAGTGGGAAGTGGGAGCAGTCTTTGTTTCTAACAATGAAGAAGAAAACTACAACCACCACACAATTTACAATGTTGCAGTGTCTTTTTATTATTTATTGTTGGACATGTTAAAAATGTTCTTTCATTCATTACACCATTATCTGCTACAGTAGATGAGCCAAATGTATAAAACTATGACATTTAAAAAAAACAGCCCACACTGTTCAGAGTCTTAATAAAAATACGACTCTATAATCTCTGAAAGCTAGAACTGGTGAACTACCAATTATATAAATCTACACAGGAGCAACAACTTCACCCTACGGTTGACAAAATAAATACAGGCAGTTTAATCTCATAGTGGCTGATATGGAAGCTGTTAGAGCGATAACGGCACAGTGACTACATGATAAAATATTTCATATCCGAGCAGGGTTTGTAACAGACTGGTATGAAGA